GCACTTGTTGGTCACAAGGTCAAGCGCATATGCGGCACAACCCACAAACACCACCACGTGGATGCTGGCGTTGATCACGCGGAAGTAGTTGGGGCTGACCATATGTCCTCATCGCGAATCTTAGTAGATTCCAGGCCCCCATAGGCCCCCTGAACAAAAATGGCTGGGTATCAACCTTTCATAACCTTTCCATTGTCAAAAAACATTCACCGGTATCAACCAGCCCAGTCCTTTCCAATCCAAGGTCGTCTCCCGAGGCTTCATCGCCATAGTGTTACCCTTGGGCAGCTTCTCCTTACCGACCAAGCCGCAGGCGATTCGTGTTTGGATTTGCACCCCAAAAAAGCTGCTGTAAAAAGAAATGTAAGCATCCACAATGGGATCCAGGTGCAAAGAACTGAACCATGTACTAGATAGATCTAGATAGGATACCACACACAAACACAATAGATATAAACAAGTGCAAAAAGATGCTATACGATTATAAGTATCTAAGAGTACCAAAAGAAACTCAATGCATCATCATTTCGATTTGGCATGATTTGGCATCCCATGTTACACCAATGTTACACCTTCCACCTCTTTCGCCCTGCAGTCTCCTGCAGGAATCGTTGCACCTCGACGCCTCCCGTGGGCGAAGACTCGGTGATGTCCAAGGCAACCAGATCGGCACTGAAGCGTGACGTGGCGAAGGTGCGCATGGCTCGCATCTCAGGACCTTCAGGGCCATCCTCGGAGGTCCTGGTGGACGATAGGACGAAGAGCAAACTGGTGGGACATATTCGGAGGGGCAGGAACAGCTTCTAAAAACCTGGGGCGTGGGACAATCTTGAGGATATCTGGGAGAACAACATGGATCAACATGGTAGAAATTGGGAAAGAGCATCATTAATCAATCATAAATTAAAGTCAAAGCAATAGAAACTACAACTATAGACTATATACATTGCCGTTTGGGCAATCCTTTGGCCTTCAAAAATCCAAAATTCCTAACTCCTATCCCCAAGGTAACAAACCGTCCCGGAAACCCTGGTGTTTGGTCTTGAGTCTTGTGGGATCCCATGTGGTCACATATTTCTCGGCCGATTTTCCCCGCGCCTTCCAGTCTTGATGCTCGCCTGAGAGCCTGACTTGGCCTTCTGCTCTCCCGGCACCACCGAGCCCAGCTGATGGACATCCGAAGCCGTGATCCACTGCTGCAGCCCCAGGCTCGGTACATCGCTGCCCATCAGCTGAGTCACCAGGCTTTCCAGGGTCTCCCGGGCCAAGTCGGGCCAAAACCTGGGATTTTCTAAAGCAAAAAAAGGAAACTGAACCTGGTCCTTCCATTGCTACTTAAATTTCCTGCACGGACCCAGATTGCCGGCCCTTTTTTAAAAAAACACGTTTGTTTGTGATGAAAAGGACGAGACTGCGCCCTGAGGTATGGTACATCCTTGTTTGGCAACCTTAGGGTAACCTAGCTGACATAGCCAGTGATTGTCGTGTCGGTCCTTGATCCAAAAAGATGGCACCATGAGTTGGTGCAAAGTGAAACCTCCAGTGTCCTGCGTACCTGAAATTGAATTTGCGCTCGTTTTGCACTTTTTGCTCAGTTTTTGCACGTTTTTCCGCTACGAATCGATCCTCAAATTTATCGAACACCTCCAAGCAAGGCGCTCGTGACCAATCCAACCCCATTGGAGCGTGCGGGGCTTAAACCCACATGGCAACACAGTCGCCGGGTAAAATAAAAAAAACGTTGGAAACCACCAAAAACAAACGAGGCAATAACAACAGGTACGAACTGCGATTCAAAATGATTTAAGGTACGAAGAAGGGGGGGCCAGAAAAAACCGGTACCTAAATGATCCAAGATTGGGCCACCCAAATTCCCAGATTATTCAGAGATCTATTCCAATGTGATCTGTAGCATGTACACTTTTCTTGGTGGGGGTGCACCCATGCCACTGGAAATGGCATCTCCAACGTCTACTCTCACTCTCACCCCCTCTCTCCCATGGCAATGTAGCAAGATCTCCTGATTGCCAAGAAGCATTTTCAATAAAATCTTACCCCGAGGCATTGCATGTCACAAACATCGTATCACGGTATCACACAAAAATCAACTGATAGGGCCCCTATAGGGCCCCTATAGGGCTTTGAACATCTTTGAACAAGACCGGCATCATCGGCACCAAGCAACCCATACATCTCCGCACCCTCCTGTAGCATCTTCAAGGCCTGTTCCCGACTGAGGGCCCTCATCTGCAGCTGTTGCTGAGCCGTCTGCCAGCGATCGTCCTGGAAGACCAGCTGCGAAATCTCCTGCACAGCCAGGTCGTCAAGCTCCGGCATCTGGACCTTGGATCGGTGCTTGATTATTCTTGATGGTTGGTGGCTTCACTGCAGCTTGATCCAAAAACTACAAGATGGCCTTCATGGCCTTCATATCGAAATTCTTCAAATCTCATGGTCTTCAAAGAGATTGTAAAACAATGCCAATGAAATTCAAATAGTCATGAAAGAACATTGCCCAAACATACCCAAGAATTAGAGCAAATGGCCAAAAAGTGCTAAACAAACATGTCATATACCTCAAATGATAAAGCACACTGCAACACATGAACATATTTTTTCATAAACATCAAAATGGTCAGAGTCAATCAGAGTCAAACATGTAAAGAAACAAGTCAAAAAGATTCAAATGGCGATAAAAGTCAAATGGTCCAAAACTGCAGCAAATAGCCCACAACTGAATCTAACAATTACCTTATATACCTATTATGCACTATCTACCTATCTATCGATCGATCCATCCAATCATCCATACAATAGCCAAGCAAAGAACCGAAGAATCAGCCAACGAACCAGCCAACGAACCAACCAACGAACCAGCCAACCAACCAACCACGAACCAACCCTCAAACCAAAGAACCAATAAACCAACGAAGCAACAAACCAGGAGCAACCAACAAACCAAAAACCAAAGAACCAACCATCGAATTCATCTGCAAATGCAGGAATTTTCTCCCGACCTTGGCCTCCAGCTCCAGCTCCACTGGCGGCCTAGGCATGGTGAAGCCACGTGGTTTTTTTTGCGGCGGTGGTGCTGAGCCAGCCAAAGTGGCTGCGAGGAAATGGCGTCATGGCAATGGAAGCAACAACGAACCAAGGGCCGGCAATTTTCTATGAACAATGATTCAGCATGGAAATTTTACCATCAAAAATGATCAAATATGAGAGATTTTAGCATGATTTAACCATCAATCCGGGGATTGGATTTATCACGTTCGGTGTGCCTGAAAATTGAGGATAGCGTAAGCCCTAAAGTGGCGATTTGAATGGACATTGTGACTATAATGATCATCTGTTGGACTTGCCCTATTTTCAAATAAACAAATATGGGTACTCAATGCAGCATCGTTTTCTGGTTGGGTGCAATCAACCTAGGAATATATTCGGTACTCGGATGGCAATCAAGAATGCTACCAAGTAGATCTTCCATCACCACTTCCCATTGAACCTGTCCAGCATCAGCTCCCGGGTTCACCTCACCAAAGGAAGGATAGTAACATCAACAACATGTTATGTGGAAAATCGCAACATCAGCAGCTGGAAAATTCAGGCGGACCTCCATAAACGCTCCCTGCAGAGTCTGTACCAAATCCGGTCGCCCCTCCATCAAGGACACCTTGATCCAGTCTGCTGATGACAGGATGCTCCCAAGAAATTCGCCGTGTCAGTGCTTTGGAATTGAAGGTGTTGTATCATGTTCAACAATGTTAACCATCTTTAAACATATTATCATACCCTAAACTTCCAACATAAGCTCAAACAAATGTCGTTACCATAACCACCTTTTAAAATCAAGAAAATCCACATCCCTTCAGGAAGCCATATTTGACACTAAATACTCTGAATTGGACCAAACGCTGGAGTCACAGAAATTCCCAAGATCCACCAAGGGCAGCACATCTCACCTTCTCGCCACGCCATGCCATCCATGCCATGGTGCCCCTGAGTTCCGCACCAAACGGTTGACGTCAATCTCCCCAGCCTTGGGAAATGGCAGAGCTTGAGTGCTTGAGGAAGATGCACATGACATGGGACACTAATGATAGTGAATATCAATAATAAAAATAGTTGCCAATCATAGGAACAATATGAACCAATAATATTGATAATTGTGGCAATAACAACAATATACCATTATATGATATTATATGACATTGCGATATATTTTGATATTGGTCCCAAGTTGACCTCGCATGCTTGGCTTGAACTTGTTTTTGTCGGCATCTTTTCTGCTAATTCCGCATCTTCCTTAGCCGTAGAAAACACCAACAGGCACGATGTCTCGTCTCCAATGTCTTCGCAGGAAAAACATATGCATATACTATGTGGAATGTCATTCAAGGCCGCGGATCGCACATGAAGCGCCCAGTTGTTCTATGAAATGACAAACCAGGAGACCAAGCCAAAATCGCGCAATGGCCTATAAACTTTGGTATGCTTTGCCGATGGCGTTTTGCTTGTGAAATTGAGCCAGTGAATAGTCAACAGTTTCATCTTCGAAAATAACATGTGTTCCGCAATTCCCAAGAAACAGCACGCATAGCAGCAAAGTGTGGAAAAAAACTCAAGAACTATGACAAGTTTGAGCCCTCTTCTTCCAGCATTTTCCAGCATTCTTTCGCAGCTCCCAATTTCCCGAAGCTCAGGGTCTCGGACCATGTGTCCAGGCCTCAGCTTTGGATCAGCATCAGCCTACCCCGTCCACCCGTCACCAGGCCACGATTTTTCACGCAGCTTCACGCGCGAATCAGTGAAGGGCTGGTCATCTTGCCAGCCCCAGGGTGACACATCTGGCAGCCGTAAAACTATATGCTGGAAGTCATGAAGAATCAAATCAAGAATGCTAGGGATATCTATGAGAATCTATCATATATCATCATATATCTATGATACATCTGGGCTTATAGACAGACTGCTTGTCTCATGCTGCATGCAATTGCTGCGGAGCCCCACTCATCGACCTCCCTGTTCCTGCTCACCTGGAGCTTGTGCCTCAGTGAGATTCGATGCAACTTGTTACCTTGTTGCTATTCATACCTATATAATATATATCTTTATTATCTATAATATCAGGTTACGAGCCTAATATACATTATCTTTATATTATCATATATTATCTAGATGTATTATCCTCAGGGATCCCCAGCGCCATTCAGGCCAGTGTCTGCGAGCTTTGACTAGAATCACTTGAACAATGAAACATCTACAATCATTTATGCAGTGCATGAAAGAATTCTCAAAAGCACAGAGGTCCAATGTTGCCTGCTGACTGGGAGGGTGAGTGGCTTGGTTTTTGCATCAAGTACCATTTCCCTGTCCCTCATTTACTGGCATCCTACTGGCTATTAAGCCGTTTGGATGTTTTTTGTCAATCCCTTTGATCCAAAGAGCAGCGTGCTCCAAATAATTCGCCAGGTAGTCGACCGGGTTATCTGGGAGCACCTGGCAAGACCCGGGTCTAACCACTCCCAGTAACTTTGTGAAGATATGCCACCCAGTTCGAAAAATGAGAGCTCTGGAACTGAGCTTGGAATAGAGTTTGGCACACAGAAGTCAAGGGAAGCAACGCAATCGTACTCAAATCTGTCCCGCCCCCCAAATCCTCACACCTTGCAAACTTCTATGAGTCCCTCGGTGAGGTTGGGCACCATATACCTGGTGGACAAACATACACACCGCTGAGAACGTAGAGAAATCGTGAAAATACAATTCGCATCAATTTGCTCATAAATGTAAGAACGCGAGAGTTCCCCTGCTGCAGGGCAAAATTGGGGTCCACCGGTGCTTGCTTTTTCAATTTTGAGAGATGGGAAATTGCACATCTTTGAAACCACCATGTGTTTGATTGCATCCTCAGTCTTGTTGGTAAAAGCACTCATTTCTGTATAACAGTTGAAACCACAGGCCAGTTTTTCTGTGCTGCTCAATTCAAGCCAACAGACTGCATCAAATACTCCCGCAACGAAAGCTCGGCGAGCTTCTGCTGGGCAGCCTGCAAGCCATCAATGAAGCATTGCTCAAATCACATTCATCCCTGACATGTCAATGGATTGTTTTGAGCCAGTAAACCATTGCTGTTTTCAACACAGTGAATGATGTGAATGGAGGTTCCCACATATTCTTCCATCATCCAATTCTTGGAGTATGGATGTGTTTGCGGGATGCAAATTCACCAAGAAATCATCACACACCCCACATATCCCCACATGGCCTGGCTTAAAAAACAACAACAACATAAAATAAGCAACTGTTCAGGGGCGCTGCTACCTCAAGTTTGACCCATTCTGCGATACTGCACAATCTGTTACAACTTCGGGGGTGGGGAGCCCCCTTTCGGAGGCACCCTTGAACCCTTGCTATGATCTCAAGACATATATATATATATCATTATACATCTATATAGATGCATCTAGATGCTGGCGATACGTGCGTGTGTATCATCTGTTCTTTTTCCGAAAAACACTTGTCCGATTCCAAAAAGAATCTTGGATGAACGAATGAGTACCTGCATGCCCGTGGTCTCAATTCATGATGGCTCAAAGGCCAAAAAGAACAAAAGAGCTTGAAGGACCTAAGGACCTGGATCTTACTTAGGTCACATTCTGGCGCTGGCTAGGGGAGCCGTTCAACACATTCTTCGCAACTCACACAGCTGATTTCCGTATCTTACAGCATAACATGCATATTTCAGCCATAAAATATCACAAGAAATCAGGATCCTGGGACATAAATCCCATGACATCATCTTGATGGTTCCATGACTTCGCATAGCAGCTATAGCACTTTACCATCTGCACCTGATGCTCTGCCACCATCTGCAGTCGCATCTCGTGTCGCTGCTCCTCTCTTCGCTGTTTTGCTTCATGGTCATCTGCATCCTGTGCACCCATTGAATCGAAACAGACATCGCACAAATCACATCAAATATCATCAAATATCAAATGCTGGCAAATAATTTTAAAACAATGTCAATAATTTTTGTATATACATATATATATTATATATATATATATATACATAAATACATAAAATATCATAAAATTTATAGAATATCATAGGTAATACATGGTAATATCACATCACACATTCTTCATTTCTTTTTTTTTCAAATATGTATTTTTGTTGGATATGACCATGACCACGCCTTCGTGGAGGCTGCCATGGCCTCCTGGAGTTCCTGCTTCTCGGCACGCCGCTGGCGGATCTCTTGGGACACCTGGCGGAAGCCGATGACTGATGACCCTCTGGAAAGCTAAGATAGCTATGGAAAATCACCATTTATAATAGCTAAATACATTTCTAAATACTAGGATATGATATACTGTACTAGGTAAACCAACTGTAAATGGCTTGTTTTTCAATAGCCATGCGAAATTTCCAGAGGGATCCAGAGGGTAAACAAAACTAAACATGGAGGAAGGGAACAACTTGGGTAAAAAAAGATAAAAACATGTTATGAATGGCTAAACACTTGTCGATGAAGAGTTGAACCGGTTATGGGTCAAAACATGTCAAAACAAACAAGAGTTGACTGGGTGTATCATTCCACGATCATGGGAAAGAATGCAATCATAAAAACGGTTGTGTTGAATGAATTGAATAGAATGATGTTCAGATCTCTCTCCATCCTATCTCGATGTTGCATCACCATCCATCAAAAAATCCCGTTGGGACACCTTGGAACCGAACCTCAGCCTCCGTGGGGAGGTAGTTGAAGGGTCGCCCCGAACTCTCGATGTAGATCCTGGCACTTTCGAAGAGGTCCTCCTGCCAGCTGTGGTCATGGCCTGAGGATATTGACCAAAAATGTTGGGATGTGGCATGGAAAATATCGACGTTATAAGTGCTTTGATACCAAAAACCAATTTGATGAATATCGGCATCAAATAAGAATTGTTGCTGTGAGAAGAGATGATCCCAAGGGTTGAGTCCCGTCCCTGCAACTGTTGGTCTGTTGGCTCCTCATCCTTTCCAGCAATCGGCAGGTTTAGGACGCCTTTATTGGCAACGTCCTGAAAAAAGTCTTGGAGGCTGTGGATGTTGCTGGTCAGATTGCTCTCGATGTAGGCCTTGCAAGTGCCAAGGCCTAATGCTAAGGGAGCCATAAAAAGTGCTTGCTGCCCTGTATTATTTTACACTAGACATGATGTGACTGCTTCAAATCACCCATAGACATCCATGTTGTTGGGACTTGCAGGGGAATTTGACTAGCTGAGGTTCGATTTGTGAAAGCTAAGGCTGCTAAGTGTTACAGTATATACCGTATACCCATCTGCTTCACAGCCATCTGCCTGCATTGACTGCTCGAACACTTCCAAGGATGCGCCGCCAGCATTTTGCCACTTGCCCTTGCCTTGGTCAATGACAAGGCCACTTGACCCATGCATGGCCCGCCCTTCAAGGGGGAGAAGCAGGTCTTCGTTCATCTGCGGAACATTCCCCACAAGAAACCAATTCAAAATCCCCACTCCAAAGCTCTAGTATGCCCTAGTGATATCCAAGAGGCAGAGTGCAGCAGGTGCTTGAGTGATTATCACCTGGCATGATTCATGATTTCATCCATTTGATGGCCATGAACTGGCGTAGCTCGCCCATGAGGCATCCCAGCACAGTCCACCATCATTCTACAGTAGTATGTGTCAGTATCCATTATAGTAAAAACAAATGTAAAAATCCATAAAATGATACAACATGGATCAACATGGGCTTTCGAAACCATGGAAACCCGTCTCACCATTTCGCCACCAGGGCAGGAGCACGTAGGCTGGACACGTCTCCTCATTCAGCCGTCGTTCCATCTTCGGAGGAGTTGGTTCCACCTCCTCGCCGTCTGGTGGGGGTTCCTCCTGCCGGACATCTGCCCATCACCAATATCATTGCAATGTGGAAATTACATGTAAGTGCATTCGTATAGCAAATGTGGATGCATAAGTATACACACATATGCAACATATACATATGTGTATATATATATATAATATGATAAATCATAAATATACACATATATATATAAATTATATATATATATATATATCCGTTATATGTATCTGATTGTGGTAATCTTCAGCACTGTAATGTGATGCATTGTGAATCTCAACTGCAGCATTTCGTCCATCCCAGGCACCTCCTCCGACCTGGGCACCTCCACGTCGAAGCGGAAGAGCTTCTCCGCCTCCGCGAAGCCGATGCCGCCTGCGACGCGACGCGACGCCCTGAGGCCAACAAAATGGAGGGGAAAACATGGCGAAATCACGTGAACATGTTGGAAAATGTTGGAAAATGTTGGAAAATGTTGGAAAATGTTGGAAAATGATGGAAAATGTTGGGAACATGTTGGAAAATGTTGGGAACATGTTGGAAAATGTTGGGAACATGTTGGGAACATGTTAAAAATTGGCCATTTGTAGGTGATGTATCTAGTATTTTAATATGATGATTTTCCGTTTACCCAATGGGGATGTGAACTTATGGGGTAAATATGGGTAAATTATGGTAAATTTAGCAAATCTGGGTAAAGATCCCCTAAAGATCTCTAAAGTGACTATAGTGAGACTTTAAGTATCCTGAAAGAAAACTGGTTCTACAGTTTTGGGGACCCAGTACAACATAGAAGGGGGAACATAAGCAACCAAACATCACATGTGGATATGTATCAACAACTAGGGCTGAATGCAGGGATCCAAAAGGTTTTTCATTGCCAACCAAAATGGCAAGCTCACCAAGCCGCATATATCATGACTTCACTGGGAAGCATCAATTATCATAAAAAATTCCGGTTGGCTTTTGAGCCACCCAAGCCCGACAATATGAAAGCCAATGGTGCTTGCGATCATCTCACTTTCAGGATGGAAAATAACGCATATTTAGAGCTACCCTGGAGCGTGAGAGTATTAAGTGAGTCGGAATCATAAACCAGAAACTGGTTGGTAGTTGAAAAGTCCACTTTTGGCCAATTGGGCAATATATCCTGATCAAGTAGGGATGGAAACGAACTTTGTCACCACCACCCCCGCCAAAAAAGATACACATGCCCTGCACCTGCATCCAGGACGTAACCTCTATAGCGAATCACGTTGGAGGTGATCTGTGTTGCCCTTAGCTTCATACACAATAGAGCCAGTCGCAACAGTGATCCTCCGTACTGAGTGCGAAATAGGTTTCGGGCGATCACGGCGAAACTTTGAGAAGTAAGCTGCTGTGACAGTATCCATCCATCCCATCCTTCCATGAAGAACCTTGCCAACTACTCCAAAACTGTTTCGGGCAAGGCTCATCTTCTCGATATCGCTGCTTTGTGCTGGTACTGGAAAGGACAAATATGGCACCTCTTTCGGCCCCCTGTGAGGTCTGGATCAAGATCTAAGGCCCTGGAACCCCAAGATTGCCGTGTCATTTTTTGGATCTCTTAGCAGGAAAACAAACGACAAACCGATGTTTTGGGTCTCTCTCCACTTTTGGTCGTTGAGAATTCACTATTGATTATATAGACTGCTGCATGTATAAGTAAAAGGCCTCACATGTATATATAAACCTATTGGTATATTCTATAGCCTAATAGCAGCTATTGCTTGTATATATATATATATATTATATATATATATATCTCTCTCTCTTGTTATATCTTTATATTTAAATAACACGTTGGATAATTATATATATACACACCCAGTTAGTCCACATGATATTACATGATCATTATTAATCATTATTAATCATTATTAATCATTATTAGACAACTATATACAACTCATTTCACCACGTGTGACGTGTTAAACCCGTGTGACTCACCTTGAAGTGCTCTGCCACCGCCTTGGCCAAGTTCGATTTGCCCGAGGCTGGAGGCCCAGCGATGATGATCCTGGTGACCAAGTCCCACCGGATCCTATGATGGGGGGTCTTACCAATAAACATGGTGGTTTAAGCATAAAAAAATATAAGATGATATAAGATGATATAAGATGTACCCGATGGATACAGGCTGTACCAACAAAAATGGGGGTTTAAGTTTATATAAGATTTGACTATCAGTTTTTCACCATCAGTGAACATGGGAATGCATATAGTCAATATAGAAATACCCAATCATTTCTAGGTGGGTATCTTATACCATCTTATACAGGGGAAGGGCTGGATGTATCTGGACTGCAACTCATTAGCCACAACATCCCAGTTAAACGATAGCCCACATTTGGAGGTCTTCTAAAATACATGGGTCCAACCATGACATCACTGCGTTTGACCATGTTTGACCCTCACAAAAGTCACACACGACCATCACCATGCAACTTCCTCGTGCTGGCCGTGGGGATCATGGGGATCCATGTGCCGCGCCTCATGCATCGGAGTTTTTTCCCCGCACAGAATTCGTCGGCCATGCTACGCAGGTTTGCCAAAAGGCCGTTCCTGGCTGGGAATGTGGTGGTGCAGCCTCTTGAATGCAAAGGTCCAACCATTTTTTGGACCAAGATTGGTAGGCATGATTGTTGCACAACCCTTTGGCCAGCTTTCGAAGAAGTGTTTGCTGCCTGCGGGATGGCTAAGGTGTGCCCTAGATTCCTAGATCCAGGGGCATGGCTTTTGAGAGCTGAAAGGCTTCCTCCGTGCTGCCATGTCATAACGACCTCGCCAAGCTTCTTGCAGATCCATCCCGGAGGGTCGGAGTTTGCACAGAAGTCCTGAACCAGGAGAAGCCGAAATACATGGGTAGTACTGTAGATGGTAGTAGGATGGAGTAGAACTTCAATTAAATGGGACTCTCGCAAATTTTTGATCACTCTTGGTTGAAACATGTTGAAACCATACTATTTTGGTTAGCTGATTGACTCACGCAAGCAGAGACCCCTTGCAAGCCTATCAGCCAATACAACAACTCATACCGCAGAAATGCAGAAATGCATGAGCCGAACAGCTACCTCTATCCTGGATCCGAGTCAAGTCTGGGTGATCCCAAGGAGGGCGTCCTTCTCAGTTTCAGTAGAGTTCCATGGGTTGCAACAGCACTTTGTTCCACTATGGACATTTGTCCCTCTTTATCCTCTTTCTGGAACCTCGGAACCTCAAGATCCACTCATGCTCTGCCTCTGCGGCATCCCACCTCGTTCAGGGCTAGGGTAGATGGTTCCATCCACAGGTCCAACGTCAAGGCTTCCCGCACCTCCTGCAACTCAGCCACTGACATGGCCTGCAACGCGAGGGAAACCACGAGAAGCAAGTGATGGCTGACAGGGCAGCTTTTCTACAATAGCTGGATGGAAATTAAATGAAGTTTCCATCGCCTACTAGGGCTTACTTGGGCCATACAGGGCTTATTCCATGGTTCACTTTGGTTCACTTGATCCTGTCGCTACCCCACCTCATCGTACGAGACACGTGGGACCTGCAGGGCGACCATGGCCACGCCCAAGCCCTTTCAGTTGCTACCAATTCTTGGAGGAAACATTTGGAAAGTATCTACCACCGTCTTGGATTGGACATGAGTGGGCAAGGGCCTGATAGTGTTCTCCCATCTCATCCACTATGCCCTGAACCAGGTCTTTCTGAGTGGACACCGGTGGCTGTGAGGGCCTCGGTCTTCGAGTTTGATCTGCCATTCTGGATATATATAATGACTATATTCTGCATATTCTGCATATTTTTGGCGGCTGGTTCGTAGTTTCAACCTATCCCCCAAAAAACCCTGTATCCAAACATACAATCCACAGAGTCAATTGCGGTGAAACCTCAAGGGGCTCCGTTAGGTTTGAACGCCTGCGGTATCGGTTCTGATCAAGATTTTCAACATTGCCACATTGCACAAATGTAAGTGCTTGCAAGTCCATCCATGGCAAGGGACGGCTGATCCACTGCAAGAAAATATGGTGGTGTCTCCAAAGGGTTGATGCTCTCGGCAGTAAGGCTGACTTGCCGCACAAGTCGAGCCATGTCGCGAACGTGGACCTTGGCATGCGTGGCATGTTGCAGCACATGCTGATGTCTACGACCTGTTTTTCTCCGCCATGGAGGCTCAAAAATATCCAAAATCAACATGTCTGAAAAAAACACCTAGAATCAACCCGTTGCCGGCCTACCAAAATGGTTCATCTATATCCCCCTCCACCGTCTATTTTCTCCACAAACAGGAGATCTCAATACCCATATTTATAGATCCATTCAAACGTCAAGAACATATATATATATATATAATATGTATATGTATATACGTGATACAATCAATGCAGGGCATGTACATATTCAGGACATGCATCCCAAAAATACCAACATCTATAAGATCTACTAAAAAACACATCTCCCAACTTGTGCACCACCTCACAACATCTCCCGCCACGCCGTCGCTACCGAGCCGCTGTCGGCACCTTGTTGACGCCGGGGCTGACGATGGCATGGGACTGCACCCCTCGCCATGCGTCCTTGAAGAGATCTGCAAAGATCTGCTCGCCCTCGCCATAGAGGAGACCTCCAAAGATCTCCAAAGAAATGAGATATAGAGATGGATGGATATGGATACGCATGGAATACGATCATTTCTAAGGCCACTTCTATAGTCAATGGTGATTGTTATAGTCAATGGTGATTGTGTATAATATGTATGTCCAATGTATATATATATATACACAGATAGATAAACAGATAGATAGGATAGGATAGGCTAGGATTAGATTAGATTAGATTAAATAGATAGATAGATAGATAGATAGATAATGGAGGATGGTATATACGTATATATATATACCTATATATTATATACATTGTGTATTACATTATACGTATTTGTATATATGTGGTATGCTTGTGTCCAAGTTGGTGGTTGAAACGGTATTGGATGTTCTTGATCTCGCTTCATGTCCGCCAAGGGGGGGGCTTGAGCTGGCTCGGCCTACGGCTGAACCTCTTCTCAATAAAATTCCTGACCCCCAAAATTGGATGGTTTAATCTCTCTGCCGTTTTCTGGTGGGTCCATTATGTCGAGCCATCTCCAAGTCGGCCACAGTCACAGTCAGCTGCCTCCAGCCACTACGAAGGCTTTTACCTGTGATGCTTCACGATTGAAGCAGCTGAAGACCAGATCCTCCATCTCCTTCCACCTTGGGATCCGCTGATACCACCGAGTGGAGATAGCCGTTCAAAGCACGGTGGGTCAGGCGCAAAATTGGGGTGCCAAAGAACTTCCAGACTTGGTCATGTTCAAACATGTGTGGACATCTTTCAAACATTTTACATTGTCATACATTGTCTGGCAGTATTTTGATAATTGTTATACATCCCAAAATGCTGGTCAATGTTGAGCCATCAAATGGTCACGACGCCAGCAGCCATCCCTCAATGGCTGGTGGGCTGGGACGAGTCATCCATAGGGTCATAGGATGTCATAGGGATGGAAATGGAAAGGAGCTTTTTTCAGACTTCAGAGAGGGGTTGAACCGGTTGAGCATGTAAAGCATAGAATAATAAGTGGATCACAAGTGTACTGAACACAAATTTCTGATAGTTTCTGGCGATCTTTGAGTCAGAGCTTTACACTTTTTTGCTCGACTACTTCTGTAAAGCTTTGGCTTTGATCTCCTGTTTTGATATGGCAACCTATCCGTAGGGTCTTTGAACCCAATGATGTCCTTTTTGGATCTTTTTGGGAAACACATGCGGCCTAGAACCAAAGCGGCTGATCATTTACCCATTGGTTGTGAAGGTTGGGGGGCATCGCGGGAAAGGAATATTTTGATTGTATCTTGTGTGTATCAGTCAGTCGTTTTTACAGTATATGTTTTTATTCCCCCTCCAGTTTTCTTCCTCCAACCGGCTTTTCATCCCTCCAAGTTGCTGCTCAAATTTCGAGCCAACTTTGGGAGCTCGACGAAGGTAGTCGCTGTCCTGGCGCGGTGGTTCCCTTTGGAGCACCAAGGGGTTGGCTGGATGGCACGCTCCTTGATAGCAGCTCCAGGTGTCTCTGGCTTGGTTGCTGACCACACCATGACCTGAACAAACAAGGCCGGGACGGTGCTTGGAGAACGCATAAACACTGAGTAGCTTCGTAGCTCTCCTGTCTGCTATCAAGAAGCTGAAGAAATCACCATGAAGATGCACTCGCTCTCCAATTCTCCAAGCACTTTGGGTGGGTTCGCCTGCAACTTGACATTGATAGCTTGCTGATGCTCGTTGCACTCACTGCAACAAGTGATACGGCTGGGAGCAGCAAGTACCTCTCTCTACTCAATCAATGCTGACATGAACTCACCAGTGAAGACCCTGTGCCTTCGGGTCCACTTTTAGGGCACTGATGGCAAAGTGCAGGTCATCCAACGTGCAGTCGAAAAGGCTAATGACCTCAGCACATTTCGGTCAAACACTTTGTGTTGCCCGAAGCGCTCTCAAAACACTTTAAATTAACTTAAATTATGGATCAATCTGGCATTCCTGAAAAACTCAGGTAGGGGACCCTAAAACGTAAAACCCTAAATCCTAAGGTCCTAAACCCTACAATACTCTACAACCATGAAACAATCAAGGAAACACCTTAAATGCACCTCAAAAACCTAATTCTTACACCTTATAACCTTAAACCTAACAGCGATGTTGGGCGAAACGAGGTGTCTGCCCGTACATATTCAAAACATTGCACTTCATGTGCTGTATCGATTCTTTGCGGTGCTCAACCAGAACTGGATTGCTATCAGCGTAGCCGGAGCCTAGTCTAATCTATGTCGATGTTTAGATGTTCTGCTGCTACTTTCAGGAGGGATTCATGGAGATTTCGCTTTAATCGATTGTGGAAGCATGTTTCCAATTGCCAATGGACTGTGGGCTCCGTGCTTATGGCCAGACCAATGCCGATGACCGGAGGAATGCAGTCTGCATAGCTTGACATGAGCAAATGATAGCAAATGGACACGAGTGAATGGTCATAGTTTATTTTATTTTTTGGGACATGATGCCATCCTTGTCAACAAGTGCCTGGAACGGCGCGCTTAAAGCCTTTAGTGTCGTCGCTCTATGGATTTGCCCCCAACTTTGACGTCATCCAAGCAAAGTGGCCACAAGTCTGCATGACTGCATGGTTTCCGCCATCTTCTTCGCCTGGTGAACAGCCAATGGAGTTGGATCAAAAACACATCATCGTCATCATCATCATCATCATCACCCATACCCAGTCATCAGTCGTCAGTCATCAGTCATCAGTCATCCGTCATCAGTCATCCGTCATCATCCTCATCCTCGTCGTCGTCGTTGTCAACAACAACAATCACTCAATCACCAATCATCAATCACCAGACACCAATCATCAACCAACAGTCATCATCACCATCATCATCACCATCATCATCATGATCACCACCATCAATCAATCAACAATCAAACAACTAAAACAATTAAAGCATATTAAGACAAAAAATAAATGAAACAACCAGGTCACGCCGTGGATAGCGGCCTGTGGGCCGCAGGCATGATCAGCATTATCTTCTTCTTCATCATCATCATCATCGTCTGCACTGGAATTCTAGATAAACGAAGTTAAACATATGAGGATGTTCAAGATAAAGATAATGGTCCTATCGTACCCGGGGAGTCTACATTAACATACATTCCAAGAACACCTGACAATGATGACGATGACAATGATGTTGATGATGCCCGCAAGGATATAGAAGACATCGTTGGTCATTCTCGCGAAAATGAACATGATGATGATGATGATGATGATGATGATGGTGATGATTATGATGATGATGGTGGTGATGATGATGATGATGATGATGAGGTAACCAAAAGAAGCGGAGACAGGCAGTGCAGAAGAGACACAAAGGACAGGAACAAGTGAACGTTAACGTGACCCGCCATCCGTGACGTGGCATCAACTTCATGACGCAAGTGCAAGCGCACGTTAACATGCCACACCCGACCCCAAAACACCCCACCCCATCTGTCACGAAGCATCAACGTCATGACGCAAGTGCAAGCGAACGCTAACATGCCCCACCCCACCCCCCACCCCCCCATCCGTCACGAAGCATCAAAGTCATGACGCAAGTGCAAGCGCAAGTTAACATGCCACACCCCGACCCCAAAACACCCCACCCCATCCGTCACGAAGCATCAAAGTCATGACGCAAGTGCAAGCGAACGTTAACATGTCCCATCCCACCCCACCCCACCTCAACCAAAACAAAAACACGAAAACTGAGCTTTCACACACAGGCCGCGAGGCACGGCGCCAGCAACAATCAATTCAGTAAATCACCAAACACAAATCACCAATTACCAATCATCGTTCGTCTTCATGATCATCATCATGATCATGATCATCACCCGTCATCACCCGTCATCATCATCATCATCATCATCATCATCAACACCATCATCATCATCATCATCACCATCATCATCACTATCGCCATCATCATCATCATCATCATCATCACCATCATCATCATCATCACCATCATCAATCATCATCATCAACATCATCATCATCATCATCACCATCACCATCACCATCATCATCATCATCATCATCATCATCATCATTCAACATCATTAAAACAAATCAAAATCAAACATATATGAGCCCTGGAAAGTATTTGGCAGAGCGTGTATGTAGGGGGTGTTCCGACCTCGTTCATACTGGCTACATGCCACGTGTGAAATTCATACGTCGTTGTCGGGGTGTTCCCACCTCTCTTTGCAACCTACAGGAAATACAATCGTTTTTTGACAAACCGGGGTACGCCTTAAGACTACTCCTCCCTTCACCAAACAAAAGCCGTCGCTCACATGCGAATGACACCTCAAAATTGATGGGCGATCATCATTTGCACTGCGAATATAGCCATACATTGGGGTCAATCCCCAACTTGTGGAGAAGACCAAAACCACATTGTTGGTCATTAAACTAGATTTATATGTTTATGATAAATGTCGCCCTGGATTAAAGCAGAACTCGTTAAACCATTGAAAAACCATTGACACTTGGGGATGGCTAATTGAAAACCATTGAAACAGCATTGAAATACAAATGAAATATCATGGAAATATTGAACTACCATTGAAACACCATTTTAAATACAATTGCAACACCATTGAACTACCATTGAAACACCATTTTACAAACCATTGAAACACCTTGAAACACTATTTTAAATTGCGTTGAAACACCATTGACCTACCATTGAACTACCGTTGAAACAACATTTTAAATACCATTGAAACACCATTGAACCACCATTTTAAATACTGTCGAACACCATTGAAACACCATTTTAAATACTGTCGAACACCATTGAAACACCATTTTAAATGCCATTGAAACACAATTTTGAATACAATTGAAACACCATTTTAAACACCATTTTAAATACCATTGAAACACCATTTTAAATACATGGAACCGCCATTGAACTACCATTGTGACACCATTTTAAATAGCATTGAGCTACCATTGAAACATCATTTTCAATACCATTGAAACACCATTAAAACACCACTGAAACACAATTTTCAATACCATTGAAACACCATTGAAACACAACTGAAAAACCATTTTAAATAACATTGAAGCACCATTGAAACACCATAGAACTACCATTGAAACACCATTGCAACACTGTTTTAAATACCACTGGGACACCATTGAACTATATACCATTGAAACACCATTTGAAATACCGTTAACTACAATTGAACCAACATTTTAAATACCATTGAAACACTATTGAGCTACCATTGAAACACCAACACCATTTTTTAGTACCATTGAAACACCATTGAACTACCATTGAAACACCATTTTAATTAAATACCATTGAAACACCATTGAACTAAACACTGAAACACCATTTTAAATACCATTGAAACACCATTGAACTACTACCATTGAAACACAATTTTAAACACCACTGAACTACCATGGAAACACCATTGAAGTACCATTGAAGCACCATTTTAAATACCATTGAAAAACCATTGGCCTACCATTGAAACACAATTTTTAATACCATGGAAACACCACTAAAACACCATTTGAAATACCATTGAAACACAATTGAAACACCATTGAAACATTATTTTAAATACAATTGAAACACTATTGAAACACCATTTTTAAATACCATTGAAGCAACATTGAAACACAATTGAAACACCATTTTAAATACCATTGAAACACCATTGAACCACCATTTTAAATACCATTGAAGCACCATTGAAACAACATTTTAAATACCATTGAAACAGAATTGAAACATCATTGAACAACCATTGAAACATCATTTAAAATACCATTCAAACACCAGTCTAAATACCATTGAAGCACCATTGAAACACAGTTTTAAATACTATGTTAAATTCCATTGAAACACCATCGAAATACCATTTTAAATACTATTGAAACACCATTGAACCACCATTGAAACACCATTTTACATTGAAATACAATTTTAAATACTATTGAAACACCATTGAACCACCATTGAAACATCATTTTACATTGAAATACAATTTTAAAATCCATTGAAACACCATTGAAACACAATTGACACACCATTGAAACATAATTTTAAATACCATTGAAATACCATTGAAGCACCATTGAAACTTCATTTAAAAAATACCATTGAAACACCATAGAAACACCCTTGAAACATCAGTGAAACATGATTTTAAATACCATTGAAGCACCATTGAAACACCATTGAGCCATCATTTTAAATACCAATGAAACACTATTGAAATACCGTTGAAACACCATTGAAACAACTTTTGAAATACCATTGAAACACCATTGAAACACCACCGAAACACCACTGAAATGCCATTTTAATACCATTGAAGCACCATTGAAACACCATTGAAACACAATTAAATACCATTGAAAGACCATTGAACTACAATTGAAACACTATTTTAAGTACCATTGAGACACCATTGAACTATATACCATTGAAACACCATTGAAACACCATTTTCAATACCGTTTGAAGTACCACTTTTCATGGGCCAAATTGCCCACCGGGCCTTCTTTGGATCATCCCGACACACGATCCGCTTCACCGCGGCCGGCGCTTCGCCCGCGGAGGTGCCGAAGATGCGATTGAGACCCCCTGGGCTCCGAAAGCTTGGCGCAAAATCAGTGTGGAGGCCCCAGTCAGAAAACAAACATGTTGAATATACCATCATATGCTTATATATTATATAAGACTATGCTTATAAACAAAATATCTGATATAGGTTAACATACAAAAACACACACGCATATACGTTTATAACTATATATATATATACATAGAGTATAGTATTTTTAATTGATATATTATATATATATATGTATTTACAGTATATATATATTGTGCTTAACTTGCGTATACTTGCTTAGATTCAGGAATGGTTTGATACACGTTGATAGTCTTGTAGTGTGTTATAACATGTTATAGCTGATGAAGCCACTTATATTCAGTAATGATTTGCCTTGATTCCTCTGAAAAAAGACCCAAGGTTTCCAATTGCCCGTTTTGATTCCCAGAATGTGGTCTGATTCATCATCCCCAAAAAAAGATAAATCTAGTAGACAGCAAACAGAACTCATAGCTGCCCATTTGGAAGGCAAACATGTCTGCCCTTGAAGAACTCTTCCTGCCTGGGTTATCCTGGGTTCCCCAACAATCAGGCGGTAATATGTCAGGGTACGAATCACTCCATGCAGTTGTTACCAGAAGGCTTACAGGAACGTAAACACATTTCCCTCCGTAACGAAACATGCCATGGGAAAACCCAATCAGTATCATAAACAGGTATTTCACCCTATTGAACCTGGAGATACCTAGGGATTTTCCAGTGTCAGATTAATTACACAACTTCTAGACAAGTGTCCATCTGCCCTTCTGAGCTCCTTCACCAGAGCTCGACCAATGTAGGAATCCACATTGTGAATAAAAATCCTTCGGGCAATGCGATGAAATGTGGCAGTTGCGACAGTGGAATCAGTATTAGACCCCGCGAATGTCAATCTCTAGGTCGATTCCGTTCGCGGATATCAATGAGCTGAATTAGTATAATCCTGGAAGCCATTGATATCTGTTTCTACCATCAAAATCTTTCTCCATCCTCATCCCAGAACAAACATGAAACACCTGGTTTCTCTACAACTCTTCTCATCAGCGAATTCTGGAAAACCTCTAAAACTTACATTAACTCACCCCGATTTTGCTGGAGCTGCACGCCCTAGGTCCTAGGTCAAACCAACAGCTGTTTTTTAATAAATCAATATCCCAACCTATCGGAACCCCAGGTTGGGGTCTTGAGATATCTCAACAGGTAGGGACCAACGTCCCGACTCCCCAAGCCAGTCCTCATCTGTCGTCACCGCTGCCTGAGAGGCGCAGGCATAGGAAAATATCGGTGCTTAGGGACTTACGTTCACCCCATCAGAAAAATGACATTAATTATGCATCTGTATGGATGGAAACCAATGGAAACCAATGGAAACCAATGGAAACCAATGGAAACCAATGGAAACCAATGGAAACCAATGGAAACCAATGGAAACCAGGATGTTTGAAAACAATTGAACACATGCCAAAGGGTCTGTAGATGGGGCAACCTAAGTTCAGCACCTAGTGTTATCCAGGCTTTCTCGATTTCCCCGGACTATAGGCAGTTTTGCACAATCTGCCACAGAAGATAAGCACTATTGAACATCAACATGTGACGTATTAAGGCAAGCAAATACACTTTTTGGTGCTTTCAATCCACCCCATGTATAGTTTCTACAGTAGCCACCCCATGATTTTTTTAAAAAGAATCCAGCTGAATATCATCGTCTCAAATAAAGTGGGAAAAGCAGAACGACCAACTAAACAAAGGATCGGGGTATTTATTCACACGCCCATTCCCTCCATTTGTCGGTGCTTAATATCAATCTGTTGATTTTTTTTTGTCTATACCGGACATCACTGCAGATTGGAAGGGTTGAGAGGGTTCGTGGGACCACCAGTCACGCCCTGGTCCAAGAACAATGCAACCGAGGAGCAAAGCTTCACTGAGCAACGGGGAACAACTCTTGAGCCGTTGCTGCGAGATGCCGAACTTTTGTGGACCGGATAGGTGTTGCCAATATCTGCTCAATGCTTCAAAGAATTTTGTCGTGGATTCAAAGGACAACCCTGAGTTTCATGGTTAAAACTTAGTTTCCCCGCACATAGATCCTTGAATCAATCCAAACATCGATGATATTGATTGAGAGAACATGATTCATCAAACTGGAATAAGAAGGGAATCGGCTGCCTCGCAGCCCTGGAACTGTTGACGTCTTTTCTTTCCACCTTCAGGATCAAATGTTAAAAACGCATTGTTTTATATATAGTTCATCTTTGGAACCCATTTGAAGACCATCATGTTGTACTGTGTGGGCCAGTTCAAAATGAACGAAATGGTATTTCATTGAGACGAAACTATCTTGTTTTTGATCACATCCGAAAAAAAGGAAATATGTGTTGATGTGACACATCACATGCCAGCACGATTATTTGACGCTTTTAAAATATGTGCAAGCGCAGCAACAAATCTGTTTCCGTAGTATGTCAGCGTAGCATCTTATTATTAGGTACGTGCAAGCGTAGAAACGGATCTGTTCCCGAAGCATGGAACATATGTCAGCGTAGCATGTAAGGTGTGTAACCGTTGTTAGCCCCACTCCACCCCATGTTAACAAAGCATCACAACCATCTCGCAGAGCACTGGAATGTTATTAGCCCCGTCACCCCCCACCCAGTAACATGACCAAAGCATGCCCCGCACAACGCCCAAGTATACAGTAACTAAAAACAACGACCCTTCCGGCGGGGTGGCTAAGTTCGAAAATGGAATGGTCAATTGCAGCAATGTGGGTAAAACAATGTCATAAACAATCCCCCAGTCATCACCATAAATATATAGCTGGTATAGTATAAAGTATAAACATGTATAAACCATTCCCAGTCATGGGTTGTTTCTTGTTTTATCCACATTGACAATGATTCCCACCAGCCACAAACGGTTTACTCAGGTCCACGGCATGTGTGGAGGCATTCCACGCATGATGCCATGCGGGAGGTGTCCCGGCGGCCCAATGACCTGAAGGGGATGGTTTTGATGGTGGCGGCAATTGCTAACCGCATCAACGGGGAGAAGGAAAAATGGGGACATGGAAGGCATACCATGATTTTGTCCATTCATTTCCGATTTTGTTGCCATATGTTGCCATCTATTTCCCACAAAAAAAACATTCCCGTCCAATATCAGCATCGATTTCGCCATTGTGGAAATCCTAACATATTCAAAAGCATCAACCAGAATACTCTCTGGAATCTAATATAGCTATGGATCATAACCCATTCACAAATGAGCTACCTATCAAAATGGTGATTTTCCATTGTTACGCGAAATTACCAGATCATCATTTGTTGTATACATGATTATACATGGTGTACCTATTATCATGATGTTTGATTGTTAGATGACCACAGGATATCACAGGATAATACATTCGCTCAAGGATTTCCTTTGCTGATTTGGCCAAGGCCATGGCGTGTCCAGGCGGAGCAAACCTACAGCTTTGCACGGTTGGAATCGCCCAAATCTGGTCAATTCTGGTCGTGTGGCACATCAAATAATGCACCATTCCCCAATTTAACCAATAAACAAGTATAAACATCTAAAAAAAACCATCCCCCAACTGGGGGCTATTATGATTTATCAACGGTTATGATTGGCTTATTTGGCTTATATTGGGTTTGCCACATTAGGTGGTTTATGGTGGTTGCAAACTATCAAACAAGTCTCTGAGGACTCCCTCTTTCTGTCTCTGCATGGCCGTTTCCACGACTTTCTCCTACCAGCTACATGGGATTAATCACCACATGGAAAAGGAATCAGTTTTGAAGCCACGAGCCAGAAAAGTCTGAGACCTACAATTCAAAGAAGTACCCACATAGGATCAAATGAGTGTGCATGTGCCTCTTGTAGTATTGCCCCCAGTTGGTAGTGCGCAAATTCACGTTGTTGCCAAATCAGCAAAAACTCCACTCTCAGTCTCTCAGGTCATTGCATGATGGTGTGCGACTGGATTTGCAACCCCTGGCAGTAGTAGGGTCAACAAAATCCCAACACCATGAGTACCCTCACTAATCAGGGCTCTTCAGCAAGTGCATCATCTGTGTCCATTCACTAGAGAAAATTAGTGCATCCATTCGCTACAAGAAAAAAATGAACAATCTCCAAGTATATTTGTGACATTATGTCTATGATAACGGCGCCAAAATATTCAACATTCACTATAAATCACTATAATGTGACAACCCAATGTCTTCCAAGTGCAAGAAACTGCCTGCCTGGTTCGGCTGTGAGGGCCGCGGAGGTTGCACCACTTCCTCTGCAGAAAGGGAGATGATAATGATGGGACAGTGACCTGCCCCACCTGTCACTGACTCGGAGGTTTTGTGTTTTGTCAAGGTTATTGATGGTTATTGCACACAAGGTTTTTCCTAGGGAAATGTCCCAAGTTCATATACCCTCCGGTAAACTAACAGTTTGCTATGGAAAATCACCATTTGCGATGGGTTTATCAAGCGTAATGGCCAGTTTCCATAGCCACGTCAAATTACCAGAGAGTATATTTCAAGGTGATTCTACTAGGAAAAAAAAACATATATCCACCAACAGAACACATCTCCAAGGTCCTTGGTGGGCAGAAACTATCCCGGTGATGACACGTGTTGTCTTGGCAAGCATGATGTGGACTCAACGATCTTGTGATGGGACGTCTATCTACCTATCTAGCTATCTCTTTCTCTCTTTCTCTCTTTCTCTATTTCTCTATTTCTCTCTTTCTCTCTTTCTCTCTTTCTCCCTTGCTCTATCTATCTATCTATCTATCTGTCTATGTCTATGGCAATGGCTATGTCTATGTCCATGTCTATGTCTATATCTATGCCTATGTCTATATCTATGTCTATGTCTATGTCTATCTATATATATATTATATATATATATATGTCTATATCTATGTCTGTATCTATGTCTATATCTATGTCTGTATCTATGTCTATATCTGCCAATATCTCTCTCTCTCTATGTATATACATATATATGTATATGTCTATATCTATCTATATCTATCTATATCTATCTATATCTATCTATATCTATCTATATCTATCTATATCTATCTATAGTATGAACTGTATCCACCCATTTCCTTTATTTCGTTTTGGAAACTGGATAATTAAACTGGTAAAACACCTGTCCAGTTCTGCGAAGTGATTTTAAATCTTGCAGTTTCAGACGCTGCAGCATATCTGGCCTGCGACTCCGGCTCCCAGGGTGGCAACGGTGGCAAGCCCCGCGACTCCTGCAGGGAAGCAGCACCTTACACCTGTGATCTAAGACCCTGAGGGGCTGGTGATGGTATCTGTCGATGTATTTTCCTATGTCGGCCGCTGATGCTGTTAGTCTTGCTCAGCCTGTTTGCCAATGTTGCCACTTTACTCTTGTATCACTTTCGTCCCAAAATCCTCTGGTGTTGGGCCATGCCAACTCTACCCACCCTGTCGCACACTGCCCCATCTGCAACCCCGCGGCATCTTTCTGCGGCGCCGGGCGGTCTTCCGTTGCTGCTTGGCGTGGCGCTGCCTCCGTTGACGCTCGCGCTCCAGCGCCTCTGGGAGGAAGAACTCGAAGAAGAAATGGCGAAGCTCGGGAAACCTGGGATCAGAGGGGATCAGAGGGAATCAGAGTGGGATTTTGGGCACGGGAAATTTGCACAAACATGGAAGAGATTTGTTTATATAGTCATTTGGCAAACACACACAGACACACACGCACCCATATGTATATATATATATATATATGTGTGTGTGTGTATGTGTGTGTGCGTGTGTGTGTGTGTATGTATATATATATATCTCTCTCTCTCTGTGTGCGTGGCCATAGTACAACAAATAAAAGATAAATCATATTGGAAAAAGATCTCAAATCCTAGGGATTGTCTGTACCCCTACAGTTTCCTGTTGGTAACTTACATGGTCCATACCTACCATAACCCACAGCTGCACGGTTCAGGGTCTGCCACAGGAAAACTGACTAAGCTGACCCATGGGATCTCTATGGCGGCAACCAGGCCTTATCCCTTGTAGAGTCAGGAAGTTGCCTTTACCTGGTGTGTGCATACCTATCCATTTGCACCCAATGTGTCTCGGATCATCGTCCCCAAACAAGGGATGGACAGCTTATGACAGCTTCATCAAACATGAGCCTGCCATCCGGTCACCCCAGTTACAGTCATCCAAGTTGCATGGCTCTCTCCCACAAGTCTTCATCGAAAAGCACTCGCTGACATGTCTGTCGCCTTGGGGTCCAAAGGAACAAATCACACCACTGCAGTGGCTGCCCTAAGGCTTCGGAAGCAACTTTCATGCAGCCATTCACCTGTGCCACGGGAGCTTCTAATTGGTCAGGTGGATCCAATGATCCATAATTAAACTTGTGACAACTCACCTCCCTTGAAGGCTTGCAACATCGGCGAACTCATTTACTTTGCTACAAATATATACCCTCTGTGGCATCGCAAGTGCGAGCCCACACAGTCACCTTCTCGGTCTTGAGATGTCTCGAGTCTTCATGTATATATGAACGACAGGACTGATTTACCTTTTACATCTAATCTTTGCCAGCCGCCTCTTTGTTCCCAAACCTTCGACTCCTTGAAATCAATATTTCCAAACTCCAAACCATGCGCTATAGTTATCATCTTTTGACTCCTTCTAGGGAAATAGGTAGTGCTGACATCGTTTCACCCTGGAGATCCAATGCTTCCCAGCGTGCCTGGTATGTCCAATCCACAGGCACTTCGCCCTCGAACAGCTCGTCCCAGGATGGAGAAGTCTTGATTTCCAGGAGGCCTTGCCCGCATCCCATGGCCACCGTTTTTCCACACACTGAAACGAAAAATTGCTGTGTCAGCTTCAAATATCATGATGGATCATGATGGTTGAGTCAGCATTTTCAATTTTCATCATTTTCTTTGTGAACAGCAATGCTGTCAAGGTGGCATTCTGACTGACAGAGACAACCAGGATAGTCTGGCACTTGATTGCTCGCAACGTACTGGTTCCCTGACCCAAAACGACTGCTACATACTGCTTCCCTGATCCGCAACGACATGGTACATAATACTTTCCAGCTGCATTTGCTAGAAAAAAAGAGCCATCATCGGCACCCCGTCACAGAAGGTCAGGTCCCTGCCTTCTGGCATGCCGTCTAAAACACACAGCCCATCCTGAGGAGAAATGTAACAACTGCACATCATGGCGGCGCAAAGCATGTATTTCCGTAAACGTGCGTATTGTGCATATTTCCGTGCGTGGCCTTTGAATGTGTGCATGCATCGCTCCAACAGTTTGAACGGCAGAAATTGGATGACATTGCTCCATATTGACCCTTCAAGAGTAACAGCGAGGACACAAAATTACAAGCGCTCCTAGACCTCCAAACATCCAAACTGGATATTCCTGGAGTCGCCACGAGCTTTGCAACTGAGCGTCGGGGGAAGCGGCCAACCAGGGTTGGTCTGCCCAAATGCAAATGCCCAAGGCCTGGATCTGTAGGTTCAGTGCTCTGGTTGGATCACCTTTCCTCAGGGAGATGCTTGTGGGAGATGAAAACGACATGGGACCCACTGGGAAGTGTCGAAACTATCTATGTAATCTATGTCTTTAGTCTCATGGACACCTCTGAGTCTGCCGTTTTGATGATCTGAATCTAAACAGATTTTGCAGTGGCAAGAACCTCAAGGCTGCAACAACAGTTTGGTATACATGGTTATATCAGCTGTCTTGAGTCTCGGAAGTGTCTTAGGATGTCTTAGGTGATTTTAGTTGCGGCTGGTTGACGACATGGATGGTTTACTTCCTTTGAAATCCATTTAAAGGTCCATTTATGATCTTCTATCATTCCGATCTGCGTCAAAACGCTGGTTCCGCAGCCAGGGATCTCTGCTTCTTCTTTTCGCCACGCCACGTAAGCTTTTATGGCGACCTCCTCGTTTCTCACCCCGAACTTCTCGGCCTGCTTCGGTCGGCCTTCGGGCAATGTAAGCATCTCCTTGGCAGTGGAAGAAATGATAGGAGCAAGAAGAGTTGCAGAGAACCGCTGTTTGGCAACCTGGTAAACTGCATAAACCCAAAAAACCTCCAGGTGGGAATGGTATATGAAACCTTTGTGTGGTCAAAGCGACCATGGATTATTGGATTCTTCTATGGGTCAGCAAGATTGAACCCATTGACGATTCCCGATGTTCTTCGCATTCCTAAATGCACTGGTTGATTTTAGAAACCCTACCGATCCTACCTACTAAAAATGTTGCTGCCTAGTCGAGCATTGTATTCCCATTATCTGATCGAAGGAAGTTTAGAAGTCAAAGTTTCGACAGTATGGACAAATGAAAAGGCAGAAGGGGAAGAGTCAGAGAAGAGAAGGGAAGAGAAGAGAAGAGGAGAGGAGAAATGAGAAGAATAAAGAAGATCAGAGAAAGAGAGAAAGAGTCAGAAAACACAAGATCAAGGTGCGCGAAAAGGTAGGAAAGTCGCGAAACACTATGTTATTCCAATGTTGTGTGGCTCCGGAGGGTCAAAAAGTAAGCTCGCTAAAGCGGCGGGTGCGGTGCCATCTGGTCAGGTGAGAGATGGAAAAGTGCACGCCGTTGTGGTGCGAAGCACATTTCGAAGTCAAAATATGCAAAAAACGCCTCAGCCTCGGAGCACTTTTCGAAGATCAAATGTCGAAAAAGTGTACGCCGTCGTGACGCGAACCACATTCGAAGTGAACATGCTAAAAACACCACATGTTCGCGCCACTTTTGGACGTTGAAGCGTCGTTTTGTGGCAGGCGCAAGGGAGTCTATACCCAAAAGTGAGCAGAACGTGAGGGTTTTGTAGCAGTTTCAAAAGCATTGGCAGGCGTGGGACATTTGAAGAGTACCTACAAAGATGCATGTCGCATGGCGGGCGCAGTACAAGAGACACATAGACAGGTTGCATCTTGGAACACCAGATCTTCAGGTTTGCTGAGATGATTTTGCGTGACAGGTGCAGCACTTGTATGACCTGGCCTCACTTTTTCGTGGCAAGCATAGAACTCTGGACAGATGGAATGAAAGAATCGCAATACGCATTGGTGCGAGGCCATCAGCTCTGCACTCAACTTTCCATTTTTGAAGCAAGTCTCGCAGAATTGTTTCATTTTTGATGTTGTCAGCTTCGAAAATTGAGGAAGCCTCGCAGACTTGCTTCGTTTTTGACGTTGTCAAGTTCAAAAATTGAGGAGTCTCGCAGATTGCTGCGTTTTTGATGTTGTCAAGTTCAAAGATTGAGGAAGTCTCGCAAAATAGCTTCGTTCTCAAGCTTGCAGATAGACAGAAAGATAGACAGATAGATGGATAGGTAGACAAACATATAGAGAGATAAACACATAGACAAATAGATAGACAGCTACACTACACTACGCTACACTGCAACCACAACTAGAACTACAACTATTACTGCACGACAACTACAACTACAACCGCAACCCCAACAACAACAACTACTACAACTACAACTGCAACTACAGCTGCCACTGCAATTACAACTGCCACTACAACTACAAATGCCACTACAATTACAACTGCAATTACAGCTACAACTACAGCTAAACTACAGCTACAACTACAGCTACAACTACAACAACTACAGCAACTACAACAACTACAACAACTACACTACAGCTACAACTGCAACTGCCACTACCACTACAGCTGCAACTACCACTACCACTACCACACTACACCGCACTACAACGACTACAACTACAACTTCAACTTCAGCCACACTACAACTACAACAATGACGACAACAACAACAACAAAAAATACGACTACTACAAATACCACTACACTACACTAGATAGATAGACGGATAGATAGATAGATAGATAGATCGATAGATAGATAGATAGATAGATCGATAGATCGATCGATGGATGGATGGATAGATGGATAGAAAAACAAAAAGAAAGACACATAGATAGACACATAGATAGATAGAAAAATAGATAGATAGATAGATAGATAGATAGGTAGATAGATAGATGGGATAGATTAATAGAGACATGGATAGATAGGAAGATGGGCAGCCGGACAATCCAACCATTTGTCGGTCCAGCAGTGGAGTCGCTCTGCCATCCATGATTCACAACAACCAAACTCTCCTATAGGAAATCTTTGAAACTTCCGCCATCGCCTTGTGCGGTACTACTGGTAACATAATAGGAGGTTCAAAACCCACTAACCATCTCTGCCAAAAAAAAGTTGGGCGTTATTCAACCCCGCTGCAAAAAAACACATATATGGGATGCACAATTTAACAACCAAACAACTCCCCAAGTGTCAACCATTTGGTGGCCATCATCAATCATCATAGCTTATCCCAAATAGATCCAAATATGAGTAGGTTCAAATTCAAGGACCGTCGCAACTTTTTTTGGTGGGGTTGTGGATCCCACATGCACTTGACCCACCAGGCATCCAGCACTGCCGCCTTTCGATTCTTCCGCGCTCCACGAGCAGCGCAGGCGCAGGCAAAGCGAGAGGCCGTGAGGCGATTCTTCCGTGCCGCCAACCACTTGGGATGGGCGCGGCCATCGCCATAGCGCTGTGGAAGATGTAGGAAATCACCTGGTTGAGGCACAGTGAAACATACACATTTATTGCCGACTCGCTTGGTATATATATATAAATTTATCTAATTTGTTAATATGTTTTCACACGCATCTATATATATATTATATTTATTGTGTGCATGTGTATGTATATATATATATATTATATGTATGTGCTGTATATTTTTGTAAAAAATATAATGCATTGGGATCATGATCTGATATGTTATGAGACAATTTTCGGTAATTCCCAGATTTTTCGACGATCTAAACACATCTAAACTCTAAACACAACAGCAATTTGGGAATGGTTTTCACTACCAATGATCATTTATGATGAGGTCATCAAGAGGTCAATACACATGGCCTGGACCCTTGTAATTAGCCCCAAACGAGAGGAACATGATGAGAGGATCTTGGGGCGGGGTTTCTATCAATGTCGAAGTTGTTGACTGCAGAAAACACATTGAGATATGACAATAATTGAAAATAATTGAAAAGACATTTACATAGTGGATTGTTGGTATATTCACTTGAGCAACCAATGAGCACCCATAAGATCCAGTGCTGCCAAGTATCTGACATCTTTTGCCTTGACCTCCAGCGATTTCAAGAACTCTTCTCTGATGGTCTGGGACGCTTTGCGTTGATGCCCGGGCTCATCGGGCTCAGTCCCACCCTCTTCGTCCATTAGGTCCTCAGGCCCCGCGGATACGACGAAGTTGGCACGGCATTGCTGCCGGTCGCGAAAAGATCTCGCAGGGATACAAAGGGATACATGCTTCAGCTGCCGTTTAGTTGGGGCGAGTGCTTGTGGGAACCTGTGAAGCTGTGCATGCTTGTGCTGAAACGGCACAAAAGAAAAGTGATCTTTCAATATCGCCATCGCTCTGTATCAATCTCTGCGGGAACTGCCTCCATCTGAACCTGCTCAAATCTCTCAAGTCATTCGTCTGCACTGGATCTTGCAAGTTTGAGGTAAGTGCTTGTTGCCACTGCCGGTGGACATGCGCTTCAATAAGAATGCTTGAGGTCAGTGACTACAAGGGATGCAAAAATACTTACTTCCCAAATCCATCCAATCCTTCTTGCAGTCACTAAGTCTAAGTAACGAGCTGACTTGGCAGTCATTATATAATGTAGTAAACTTAGTAAACAACCACACAGCAGCATACAAAACAAGTGTAACACGTGATATCTTGGGACCTTACCTTTCCAAGGTGATGGATTTCAAAGGATGGTGGTGTCTGGACCCTGCAAAACCATGCGCAAGGAAGCTCCCGGAAGGCCATAATCTGAGCTCGAAGAGCATGGTTCGGCTTCAAAACCTGGGACAATGATGACCCATGATCACCCACATGCATGGAATATCTCAAGGACTATGACTAAGATCTCATATCAACAAGTTTCAAACACGAATGCATGTATAATATATATATATAACATAATCACATGGTTTTGATCCATCATATACATGATTCATGCTTGACCCATATTTCAAAAGTCGTTAAAAACACCAGTCGAGAATAAGCACCTGAAGGAAAAGGGAAATGCCTGCGAGCTTATCCCTATCACAACAAGATCCAGCCGCGAGCTTAGCATCATCGGGAAAACACCTCCAAAACAATCCACAACCCTTTGGTCAATGGGTCGGTTTAAGGGATTTTCTAAAGGAAAACCAGGTGTTTTCCCAATGAAATATAGGGTGTCCTCTAGATTTTAATGTTAACCAATCAATTCGTATCCATGCCTCACATGTTTAAGTAAGACCAGGTTGCCGCCGTGCTATGCCCACTGACCACACCTTGTCAGGTAGCTCTCGCCCGGTTTTCGGGGAGGTGTTGTGCTCCTCAAAGGTCAAGTTACCCGTTGTGGCTTGAATGGTTTGGATTACTTACTCCCAACATATGGCAATCACACACATACATTGATCATGCATGTACATATATATTAATATATATATAACAACATACGCATGTGCAAATATGATTACATAATACGTATAATCAATGACGTGCACACACACACATATATATATATGTAAAAATATAATTATATATATATATGCATATGATATTCATATATGTATATATTTCATATTTGGGCATATCGAACAGAGATTAAACGAGTGCATTTCAATCTGTTTCACTGACAGCTCGTGCAATTCTGGTGAATACTTCAGGAAGAAACACACGAGCCTCCAACCATTTGGCGATTGCGGATCGCTCATATGTATGACCTCAATGCCGCCAGTGGTCTGGCATACCAACCACCATTTTTTTTGTCTAAACATGGATTGACTGATGGTTTATGATGGTTCAGTACAAACTGAAAAACATGTGGGTCCACTGGCACCTTTCTAACATGCCTCCGGAGATCCAACTTCAAAACAAACTGAGTGATGTCCACATCCGCAGGTGATATTTACATAGAACATCAAATAAATTCATATAACCACATATCCAGATAAATTTACATACATTATCAATCATTATCATACATTTACCCTCTGGTAATGACTAACGTAGCTATTGAAAATGGCCATAGAAATAGTTGATTTGCCCATGAAAAATGGTGATTTTCCATAGCGAACTGTGATTTTTCCAGCCGCGGGATGGGTGTCCGGAGCCATCGGAGGTGATCACTGGGCGTTCCATCAACTCCCTGCGGACCATGGTGAAAGATGTTGGGTTAAATCATGTTTGCTATAAATCGTCTATTTAAAATAAGAATAATGATATAGTGTCATTATATACATATATATATAGAGTCATATCATTATTGTTATTGTTATTAATAATAATTGTATATCTCTCTCCATCGCCCTCTCCGGGAGTTCAGCATCTTGCTGAAGGCGAGCCAAGGACAGCTTGGCAGTTCAGCGCCCGAGCTCAGTAATAATAATAAGAATAATTATATATATATTATGTATATAGTTGTCGTAATTCGTTGAATGGTGTTTGTACAACTGGGTGAGGCCCCTGGTGGTCTAGTTATGTTAAATTGGAAGGGTAAAGGAAGTCCAAAAGGTTTGATTTCGTGGGTTTCTTTCTGTGTGAGGTAAACCACCCTGATTAGTCAGCTGGATTCAGCTGGGGTTTACTAATGAATCCGAGTTTGACATTGAATATAATGCGTTTCTGCCTGACCTGTGGGTCCTGAACGAGTCACAACTTCTGGTGGCAAGCCGTGTGTCGCCATGTCACCCAGGTTGCCTCGTGATGACACATCTGAACTCCTCCGGAATGTCGGCCCTGACAAGTCGAGATCAAATCAAAAAAGTAGATCCACTTTGTTGGCATTCAACATCATTCAACATTCATTATCAAACATAACTATGGTAACTGATGGATCTGATGGTAACTATGGAGAACCACCCGTCACCATTGTTTGATGGCCCAGGCTATTGCCAGATTCCGGGACGCAGGCTCAACATGTGCAGCGCTCTCCAACCTGATGTCAACCGATGAATGGACCCCGGCTGTTTAATTGGGGGGTACCATTTAAGTAGCAAATTGATGCAAATTGTACTGAAATTGTCAATATTTTTGGGAGCACCAGGGTGTTTGGGGTGAATGACATCACCTCGTTCACAGAATGTACCAGAAATGGGTGGTATAGTGTAAACCATCTTTTCAGGGACGCTACATTTTGCTGCTTGGAATACATTGTAATACTGCATCCTCAAAAACAAGAAGAGGAGGCCCCGACCCTCACAGATTATACAGACTTGGGATCTTTATGATCTTTCCTCTTTGGCCTCAACAGCAGCTTTAGTGCACTGTAGTGTCTAGTGAGTCTAGTGCACAAAACGTGTCTTAGGCACTGGGCATCGAGCGGTACAACATTCTCTGGCCGCACGCGGATGCTGCCTTTTCCGCCCTGAATGCTGGGATGCAACGGAGCACAGGGACTAGCTGCTCAATCACCCCAAAATGGATCACGGGATTTTCAATTTGGAACTCTTTGTGGGTTTGGTTCCATATGGTTCCATAAATCTATGTATAATTAATTATGATACAATATGATATAATTAACTTTTTGGGAGAGACTGACACTTCAAGGACGGTCAGTCTTCCTCTCTTTTGCCCTTTCAGTGTCTATTTTGCTCAAACCTTTCCTATCTTTCCTTCCACCCTGAAATAGTGCAAATAACAATCATGAAGCAAATGGTACCATTACGGGTGGGTTTCCAAAGGCCCCGGCTCATCCCGGCTCCATCAACATATCATATATAATATAACTGTATGCCATAGGACCACCATATCACCATAGGATGTGTCGGCATTGGTCACATTCAATCTGCCTAAAGCAACGCAGCAACGCCTGTAGTGTCAGCTCCCAGCGACCGGTCTGAGAATTGAAGGCCTCACAAGTGTCTGACACGGTTGATCATCTCGCTAGTGCGGTAGCATCCCAGCTGCATCCTTTTGAAAAAAACGGCATGACCAAAGGAATCAGAAAAGATCAGGAAAAGACAGATATATGATATATGTAGATATTAAATAACATTAAATTTTGTATAGTAGGTACTGGCTTCAAATAATATATATATATACATATGGGGATATCTGTGCCAAGTTCTTCGACTCAATGTTAAACGAGGGATCTTTTTGTTGCCTCCACCAAGCTTGGCTTCCCTGAAGCCCTCTGTACAATGACCTCTGTCTGGGCTCCCTTGGGGAGCTGAGTGCCACATGGCAACCAAAATTCGCACGTCGTTATTTTCTTTTGAGGGAGGGACCTCTCTTTGGGCTCAAAGTCACCAAGATTCCTTTCTGGGAGGCATCTATGATGTCACGTTGAAATCCAAAAGAACTCCAAGTCAACCTCCATTACTGCCAGAAGGCAAGGAACGAATCTTTAAAGCGCATCATCTACTAGCGGCTCATGCCATATCTGCATCCTGTCGCACTCGTTTTTTGGCTTCCTCAGCTAGATCAAAGCCTCCCAACATTACTCAACACTCTTTACAAACAATGTCTTGCAATGCATCATTCACATCAAAATACATCAAGAGATATCAAGAGTACATAATCTCTCAAATCAATCAGCTGTTTGGAAGTGCCAAACCCATTTTTTTTTTAAAAAAAACATGGTCCATCATGGTCCCTTTGCGGAACTGCAGGAATCCTATCCTCCAAAGCTTCAGCTTTTAGCCAAGCATCATAGGCTTCCACCACCTCGGTGGAGCTCATATCAACCCACACAGCCACCTTTCTGCCCTTGGTATCCCTTGGTGTCAAAGTTACGAAGCCTTACTAAGCCAAGCTGCATCTGCCACAGGAAACGCATTTAGACTTGTCTTCGATTATATATGATTATATATGATTATATATATATCAAGTCTAAGTGCTGTCTGTGCAAAATTCCAAGGTGCACTGAAGCACGGACGTCACTACCATTACCACCCTCCATAGTCCTCGCAGTCCCCGGCTACATCCGGCTACAATGACCCAGCTGCCTGATTCGCATCGTACTTTTCTGCTTTCAACGCCTGCCCAAGGCATGTCTAGTCTGTGATCTACTGTTCTCAATCGTGCCCCCAAGTTCACAATCACCGGGTGCTTATATTGGGACGTGGGTTTTGGAGAACAGCCACCCATACTCCAGGATAATTGATGGTTCAATCCCACGAAACAGCTCGAAAATGCTGGTAGAAATATATAGAAATATGGCTAGTCAGAACTTAGTAGCCTAAGTACCCTAAGTCATAGTTGGTAAATGGATGCTTATTCCATCTTATTCCCTTAATCTATCTGAATATGGCAATTTCACAGGCGACCCACACACAAAAAACAGGTTTTTTCCGGCGCCTGAATCGCCGCGATGGCCTTCTGCCGCTCCGCCGCGGCCGCGCGCTCATCCGAGCGCGCCGACTTCAAGGCGTCTTTCAGGGTGTCCTCGAAACGAGGCTTACCCCCGAAAAGCACCAAAAACATTGGGTTTTTTTATTCTGTTTTACTGACAAACAGTTACTGGATTTTGACTTACCACACCAATTATGGATCTCAATTGTCCAAAGATTACAATATATTCAAATTTCATGAATGATATCTAAATATATCTAAAGATTGAATAGATTCTCATATTTTTGCCGGCTGGGAAGATTCACCAGGGCTTCAAGGTGGGGATGGAGGAAAACCAGGTGCCAAGGGACACAAAACTAGTGATTTTTTGGCATTAAACCATCAAATTTCTGAGTGTTGAACATTTTGATCCATTCCCATGTGGGCAGAGGTCAAGACCGTGGTGAACGCTCGAACAAAATCCAAACTAGCTGGTAAAAAAATATGGTAGATCCTCCACGTGCTGCCAAAATAGTGGTTCCGTGCAATCCCGCAAATGATGAGTTTGCCATACTGTAGCTGCCATAGCTGCCGTCATTTTGGAGAATCTAAACGGGGATGCGCAGGTCTTGGTTTGGCCTCGTGTGTCTCATTTCTCAATTCTTTCAAGGAGGCCTGAGCACCAGCCAAGTTACGTCAGCTTGTGCATAGTGCTTGTACAGGGCGGTTCTGCGAGGGAACCCCACGACTTGAGCAGTTTCAACTGAAGTTGGCGCGCTGCATTTTCCATAGAAGGATCAAGCCCATGAATCATCATAGTTATAATTAATATAGTATACCCTCTGGTAATTTAACATAGCTATTGAAAATGGCCATTTATAGTGAGTTTTCCCCATTAAAAATGGTGATTTTCCATAGTTATGTTAGTTTACCAGAGGGTAGTCAGTATATGTCAGTATAGTACTGATGACCGACTGTCTCAAGCCATGACCAAGGCGAAGCAACGTCAAAAAAAATTCGGGGCCTCTCAGCGGCCGCAGTTTTCTCAGCCAAGCGGGCAGATTTCAATGACTCTTTGGCTTCACCTGCACAGTTTCAAGCAGCTTCTGATGACGTGAGATTTCTTGAGATTTCTTGATAATGTATGATAACGTGATAAACCCACTAATGGATACCAATAATTTGATCAACAATCCCCAATAATCAATAGAGGTTGTCATAGGTTCACTATTGGGATTTATTGGTGGGTATATCATCCCAATAGATTTTATAGCTCTTGGAATATGACTCTGGGAGTTGATGGAGTTGCAAGCCAGTCAACGGGTACTGAAGAGTCAAGCAGCCGATGGTGATGCGGCATTCCTCCCGCTTGCGCTTCCTGGGATTCCCAGTTTCCCATGGTGGCAGATTTTTTTGGAAACACAAAACACAGTTGGCACTGTCGCTTCCTGATGAAATTGGACGAAATTGGCAATTTGCGATTTGGAATGATTTGGAGCCGACCCTGACAAATTCACCTGTTTATTTTCATCCAATCCACACCTGGTCCCAGTTGTTCCCATGAAATGCCCATCAAATGAATCAACTCGAGCCCCATGCTATGCACGGACCCCCTTTCAACCATCAGCATGGGATGAATGCCAACCCCAGACTTACAACTGATTAACAGGATGGTCACCAAAATTGGTGATCATCCAAACTGAACACTACCTGCCATATGAACCCCCAGGTGGGGTGTTTCACCACTCTGGGCAATAGGAACACTTCCTGATTCAGAACACTGTGATCAATTTTGAGGTTGTTTTCTTGGCAATTTCATAGTTTTCATAGTTTTCATCCCATTTCCCCCACCTTTTCCCCACGTTTTGCAGCTCCCAGCGGTCCCAGGGGCTTCAGTCGTTCGGCTTCCTCCAGCTGCCGACTCTGAGCCTCCGCCTCGGCGACCTGCTGCTCCAGCTGGGCCAGCTCCGCCTGCCAAGCCTGCCGGACATGGCTGACAGGTATATCACGATTGAACATCATATTACTATAGCTATAATTATATATATATATATATATGTATGTATGTATATGTATATATGTATATATATATATATGGTGTATATTATTATGTAATGCATGATGTATTTTTTAATGGTATATACAATACATATATATATATATATAAGGAGTAGATGATATACCGTAGATGATAATATCTGATTATGATAATAATACAATTACAATATGACACATCTGTGGCTTCTTGTCAAAATGTTGGTTCCCAGAAGCGGTCGTAAGCTGTAGTCTGACAGGGCTCCGGTGGTCCACGGGAAGCTTTGCGAGCATGTTGCTGGCGCTGCACTGGCGCCGTGCTTAATGCAAGAAGCATGTGAAATGATCCAAAATTGAGTTGGACATAGCTTTGGCATCATAAACTCTAGCGCCAAGCTAGGGCGGAATAAGCGCTCAAGGGTGGATTTTGCTTGATTTATGTGCGGGCCCGCTTCATGTGAAGATGGAAAACATATGTCAACAATGACTTATGACCTGGTGAAAATAATGATGACCACCTTTTTTGAACGGAACCAATACAATACACATATATATATATAATATGACGATTATTGCTAAGTTCCAAGTACACAAATATGCATCTACATACAATCATAGCATATTATATCATATCATGTTATGTTATGTTGTGTGTACCATATTAAAATTATATTGCATTTTATTAGAATGATAGTGATTAATATCGAATAATGATATGTTGCAACGCATCATCTACCCACCTAGCAGCTGAGTTTCCGCCTGCAACTCCTTTGATGCTTTGGCACTTTCTTTTTCCACAGATGCGTGTCCTTAGTGGACGCGGATCTGGCTGTTTAAGCTCATCTTTCCATGACAGGTGGAGGAAAGTGGAAAGGATCATTTGGATACTGTGAATCATATGTACGTAAAACATCATAAAACATAACAAATAATTGATAAATGCTGATAATTGGACATACTTGGAGAATTGTGAAGCAACGCCAGCAACGCCGGCAACGGCGGCGATGAATTCCGATGGTGACGCGGCGATGCCAGTTGTGGTTTGTCAGCAAGCATCTGGCATTCTGCTCCTTCAACTTCCGGGCCGCACTAAGCCTAGCAACATGGAGGTGGAATCTGACTTTCCGACAATGGGAACTTAGGTACAAGATGCTGCAAGCCCATGTGCGGAGTGGATTGGGGGATATGAAGGGATGTCCATGTTTCAGATAGGGCACTCCAGTTTTATCATTATTCTACATCTGGCAATCCCCATGTCTCAATGATTTCCCCAAATTTTCGTATGAGAAAATGAGATAAACAAGCATTTCGCGTTGCCAAGCGCATCTGTAGGTCATTTACTGGTACAGCCTGCCACGGATGGTGCGATGCTTCTGTGCCTGCGCTTTGGCCTCAACTGGCATCTAGGAAATTATGGATAGTTATGGGATGATTGTTGGGATAATTATAACATGATTATTGGGATACCTATTGGAATAGCAAAGAAAATTCCTCATACTAATTTGGGGTTGAATGGGACAATGTTCGAACTGAATGGAGGATTTTGCAGCAAGCCTTGTTTGATGAATTACCAGAGGGTACTGTTACTGTACCCAATTTTTTTGAGTTGTCTAAAGTTTAAACGGCATAACTTCACCCACATGGTAAGTAAAATTATGCAAACTATTGTGTACTGTAATTATGTTCATGCGTGTTTAACTTGATACTGTAATGTTTGTTTTGGGTCTGCCACATCACAAAGCAGCTGCGACTGATGAACAACTTAAAGTTCATCCTCAAAATCCCTTAAACGATCCGAAACTTCATTCTCTGCACAAATATGCGCAAACGGGTGTCTGAAAATGGGGTATATCCCCTTAAATGGCCATTTATATAATGATGATTTTTATGACCAACCCAATATTGATCAAGGGATTTAGGCGTTTTCCTTTGTTTCCCCTCGAAGTTTTCAGACAAACCCAAATGGATACGGGTTGAAGATTTGGGAGGTTTCTCATCACCTTCCTAGGTCAAGACACATAGGCATCGCGATGATGGAGCAGCGCCGTCCAGGCTTCCTCCAGCTCCTCAATCTGATCATATGATGAGACTAATCCCTTCCTCCTAATACTAAACGTCCCCCTAATACTAAAAACAGGCATCCATCTCCAATTTCCGAAAATTTCAGTTTGGCCAATTTGACTTTTAATTGATCCCCTTTAAAAAACAATTTAAAAATCAACCTACCATTTGTGGGTTCTCCCCCCTAATACTAAAAACTAGTTCACCCCGGGGTGTTTAGTATTAGGGGGGCTAGTCCCAATCCCTCACTCCAAGCTGCCTAGCTACTCTAGCAATTAGGGGTAAGCTTCTAACTGCCATTTTTGGCAATATTTTAATTGCGTTATATAAAGAAATTTAATTGATTTTGAGATCGGAAAAAATAGTTTTTAGTATTAAGGGTTTTAATTTAGTATTAGGGGTAAGCTTCGAACTGCCATTTTTGGCAATATTTTAATTGCGTTCTATAAGGAAATTTAATTGATTTTGAGATCGGAAAAAATAGTTTTTAGTATTAAGGGTTTTTATTTAGTATTAGGGGTAAGCTTCGAACTGCCATTTTTGGCAATATTTTAATTGCGTTATATAAGGAAATTTAATTGATTTTGAGATCGGAAAAAATAGTTTTTAGTATTAAGGGTTTTAATTTAGTATTAGGGGTAAGCTTCGAACTGCCATTTTTGGCGATATTTTAATTGCGTTATATAAGGAAATTTAATTGATTTTGAGATCGGAAAAAATAGTTTTTATTATTAAGGGTTTTAATTTAGTATTAGGGGTAAGCTTCGAACTGCCATTTTTGGCAATATTTTAATTGCGTTATATAAGGAAATTTAATTGATTTTGAGATCGGAAAAAATAGTTTTTAGTATTAAGGGTTTTAATGCATGAATAACTAATTAACATGACTTCGATTTGGTTCCCTAATAATAAATACCACCCTAATACTAAAAACTACCTGCCGTGTTTTGTATTAGGGGGGGGGGTTTAGTATTAGGAGGAAGGGATTATAATATCTATCTATCAATCTGTCTGTCTGTCTGTCTGTCTATCTATCTATCTATCTATGTTATCTATCTATGTTATCCCAGGGCCGATCGAAACCCGAAACCCGAAACCGACTGTTAAAGTTGGTTTCGAACTGCGAAACCCGAAACCCGAAACCCGAAACCGACAGCGAAAGTGGGTTTCAATCGACGAAACCCGAAACCCGAAACCCGAAACCGACAGCGAAAGTTGGTTTCAAGCGACGAAACCCGAAACCTGAAACCCGAAACCGACAGCGAAAGTTGGTTTCAATCGACGAAACCCGAAACCCGAAACCCGAAACCGACTCGAATCCGACTTTTGGGTGGCTCTCCGGATCGGAACTCATGTTATCTATCTATGTTATCTATCTATGTTATCTATCCATGTTATCTATCTATGTTATCTATCTATGTTATCTATCTATGTTATCTATCTATGTTATCTATCTATGTTATCTATCTATGTTGTCTATCTATGTTATCTATCTATGTTATCTATCTATGTTATCTATCTATGTTATCTATCTATGTTATCTATCTATGGTATCTATCTATGGTATCTATCTATGGAATCTATCTATGGAATCTATCTATGTTATCTATCTATGTTATCTATCTATGGTATCTATCTATGTTATCTATCTACGTTATCTATCTACGTTATCTATCTAGGTTATCTATCTAGGTTATCTATCTACGTGATCTATCTACGTTATCTATCTACGTTATCTATCTACGTTATCTATCTACGTTATCTATCTACGTTATCTATCTACGTTATCTATCTATGTTATCTATTTTCTTTATCTATATTCTTTATCTCTCTTCTTTATCTATCTTCTTTATCTATTTTTTTATCTATCTTTTCTATCTATCTTCTTCATCTATATTTTCTATCTATCGTCTTTATCTGTTTTCTTTATCTATCTTCTTTATATATCGTCTTCATCTATCTTCTGTATCTATCTTCTTTATCTATCTTTATCTATCTTTATCTATCTTCTCTATCTTCTCTATCTATCTATCTACCTACCTATCTATCTGTCTATCTGTCTGTGTCTATCTACCTACCTATCTATCTATTTATCTATCTATCTATCTATCGATCTATTTATATGAACGTTTATCTATATCTATCTATCTACCTATCTACATATCTACCTATCTACCTATCTACCTATCTATCTATCTTTCTTTCTTATCTATCTATTTTATCTATCTTATCTATCTTATTTATCGTATCTACCTTATCTATCCTATCTATCCTATCTACAGTATCCTATCCTATCCTGTCCTATCCTATCCATCTATCCATCTATCCATCTATTCTATATCTATCTTATCTTATCTTAAAGTTATCTATCTAAAAAATAAAATCCCATACAACAAGCAAGAATGATTATAAATGATGGCAACCATATAATATAATATAAATATAAAATATGACCATGTAACTGTAAGAATATGAGGCCTGATGGGTCCCTTTTTTTGAGAACTGCAGTGGGTTTGGCTCCTGTTGGATCTGTTTTGGCACAAAGGACTTAACAGGGTAGCTACTGTAGTTGCCCGGCATTGCAATGCCAAATCTTAGTTTGGAACTCAATGAGCTGTGTCAAACCCATTCAAAACCAATCGCCGGATATCATCTGTGTGGCAACCTAGACATGGTCACTTAGCGGGCCTACAATCTTGGTCATTGATTCATGTGCTAAACATGACGGTATCAAACCATCCAATTCTTGAGGCAACTGAACTTTGACCCGTACATCAAATCACATTGTTCATCCGATTTCCAGCCCATCCACGCATCCCTCATCTGCACCTGGTCCCGTGTAGCTTCCCCACCCGAGTCTGTAGCTGGTAGCGTCTTGCGGAAGTCTGACGTTGCCTAAAAACAGTCCAGCCCCAAAGGCAAAACCACCACGCACGCATTGAGAAAAATAGAAATTAATATTAATATATCGAAAGTATCAGTCTTTGGCCGCCCAGGCCTACTAGACTTGCTAGACAAGTTGCATATCTGATGGTTTCAGCAGCCCCATTGAACTAGTGCCATCCACCCACTTGATCCCACTTGCATGTCGAGATACTTGGTTCAACTGTTCAGTGGCTTTTGAGCTTGCTACAACGGCCTTCAACCGAGCTGAAAAGCGAAGCACAGCAGGGGGATATACTGAAATATCAAGGGGAATCATGAGGATATAACTGATGTAACCATCAAAACTTGGGGGTACTTGGGGCAGAACAGTTGCTATCCGTCCAATTTCCCAACTCCCCCAGCAGCTGAACTCCTTGGCCATGGTCTTCTCAGCTGCTGCCTTCTCCTTCTCGGTGTTGCGCCGTGCCTTAAAAAAGAAAAGAACCCAGCTGCGAGCTGTGAAAGAAGCCCCCCAAAAAAGGGGCCATTGGAGGAACCAAGAAACTCTACCCTCTGGTAAACTAACATAGCTATTGAAAATGGCTGGCCATTTATAGTGAGTTTTCCCATTAAAGATGGTGATTTTCCATAGTTATGTTAGTTTACCAGAGGGTAACATCAACATGTCAAAATGCATCAAACTCCCATCATTTCCAATCCATCTGATTCCATCTGATTCCGCAGCTGAGATGCAGCTTGGGATGTCCTTAAGGGCATGCAGTTTTCATTTCCGAAGCCTTGCATCACGATGTTCATATCCCCCTGGCACCTGAAGTGGCTGCAGTGGCCTGACTCCATCCATGCTCTCCATGGGTTAGTTCAAGGTAAAATCTACGGGAAAATCTCGACCGAGAAGGGAAACAGTGGTTTTAACTTATTGGCTTATTGTTAAAGATTGAATCCGTGCTTATTGCTACTCACTCAATTCTTGCCAGGAAATAAATTCACGGATGCAAATCCAGCCCAATGATCATCCACAAGCAAGACTCAGAAGAACCCATCCTTAATGTCTCACCGCAACTGGATGGTATACAGACATGATCCGACATGTTAAATTACACCATCGCCACCTGCCACATGTTCGAAGCCGATCGCCGATGATCCCCATGATTTGGCCCAAGCGGCTCTTCGTATCGAGCTTCGATGTCCAGTAGTTTGTCCTTGTGCCGAGACATCAATGGAGGCTATGGAGGAGATTTGATTAGCACAATATTAGCACATAATTATTGCACCCATCCAAAATATCCAAAATCAAACTCAACCACTAAAATTACATACAGTTACAATTCCCCAGTTCGTTCCACTTTCCGGTTTTGCTCCACTCAAGTGGACGTCGATGCTCAGCTACCGTGGCACGTAGTGCATCTTCGACAGCCAAGGGTCCCACTCTTCTGCAACTGCCGCCTTGCTTTCTTGGTGAGCCTCCAAGGCCTGAGATAACTTTTGAGAAGCCTCAGTGCAACTCAGTACTGTGGCTGATGATAGCTGATGATAGCTGATGATAGCTGATGATAGCTGACTAAACACCTTCCACTGTGAAACCTTTCCAAAAAACCCAGCCCCTTCCAACAGAATAAGGATACACGGACGGGCGGTCAGGTGTTGAACCCAATAAACCACCAGCCGCATCCTCTCACGTAACGCCATGGCATTTTCACAAGCTCCAATGATGGGAGACCCATTTCCCTGGTCGCTTCCCTCATGCATTCCGTAACCTGGGATCATCTCTTGGGAACCGCTGAAACGAAATCCCCAACAACTGGAACAGAAGGAAATCCTTGGAAGATCAAGAAATTCCTTGGTCCATGGAAGATCCTGAAAGATCCCGGAAGATCAATCGCCTCCAAGGAACCTTCTCCATTGCTTTGGCTTTGGCCTTTTCCAATGTCTTCAGAGCCTTCTCCTGCTGCGCTCCCAGGAGGATCAAGCAGGAAGGGGTAGAACTAGTCGGAGATGGGTCAACCATAAGAGGCCCACATCTTTTGGGCAGTTTTAGTGTATATATATTTCCAGTCTCGGGGCTTTCAGAATTCTGACAGGCAGGCATTTGAGTAGGAGATCACCAATGGAGTGGTGATGGAATGAACATTGGCATCACCTGAATGACTTTCTCTTTCTCTCTCTCTCTCTCTCTCTCCTGAATGACTTGAATTCAGCATTTTTCAACTCTATTTGAAGAATGCGCCGGGACCTGTTATCAACGATGGCTTCCTTTGGCCCGAGAATAGTATGTTTGGATTCGGTGGGGCCGTACCATTGCTGACTTAGCTCAAAAGAAGCAAATCGACAGATCGACTCTGCCATTCACAGAGTCAAGATCAAATGGGCCGAGACTTTCTGTTTGACTTTTCCTTTGCCTTCGCATGGAAAGGGATAACATGCGATGGCCTAGAGCTTGAGAAGTGCTGAGGTTGGAAGCCTGGAAGGAACCCACAGTTCCTGCAGTTCCTGTCCTGGGCTTGCGCAATGCAATGCACTAACCGCCTCTCAACTTCGCAGAAGGCTTTGGAGGCTTCATCTGCAGCTTGCTGTGCTGTGGAAACCTCTGTTGCACTTTGCCATGCTGGAGGAGGAAACCAAAGGGACATCATCATATCACATTCCATCGCTTAGTATTCCCATCTTAACAATGCTTGGATCGATTATAGATGATTCGCGGTAGCCCATGGGATATTGGTCACTTTGCTTACCCAGCAATTGGGCCCAGCTACCCTGAGTAGGGTGTGGCGAAATGTGCTGTCAAAGTCTGCTCAACACATTTCCAAAATCCACAGGTCAAGAAAGCTACCTTCAAAGGTGGGGTACATGGACTCCATTCTTTGGGAGAACAGTTGATGGTTCAAACAATCCAAAGCAGCATGCCAAAAAACTCACACCCACAATTGAGAAACATGGGTGAACAAGACCAAAGTGCCATCCCACTATGCTACCAAAGAATCCTCCTCTTTGAGCTTTGACAGCTGCTCATGAGCAGCTTTCACCTCTTGTGCAGACGCCTCCGTGGCTTTCTTTACTTTCTCCTTGCGCACGCCGATACGACCATCCCTAGTCCACCGTGCTACAAAGGACTGAGAGCAGCTGAGGCACAGCTTCTGATATGATGGCACCCTCTTTGCGTTTTTTCTGCGTCAATGCTGCCTCGCTTTCAGCAGAAAGTCTGACAACCAAAGCGTTTGTCACTTGTCGCAATTGAAACAGGAGGCCGCAATACCCAAAAATGTGATTCAACCAGCAATAAAACTAGTCAACCCCGGGTGCTCATTATTAGGGTCCGCCTTTTGAAATCTTTTTCAAAAGATTCGAAATCCATTTTTTGGCGATATTTCATTTTGATAAGGAATTTCACTGATTTTGAAATCCAACATTCTAGTACTCCTGATTAATTATTTACTATCAGGGGAAAGCTTCGAAATCCAATTGTCGACAATGTGCTTCCTTTAGGTCAGAACAGTGAAATCCTCCCCCCAAACAATAAATGGCCATTGATAAAAACTACTCCGGGTGTTTATTAACTACTATATAGCGGGGATTACGCCTATCAACATTTTCCAACTTTCAACTTTCTATCGATTATTTTTCTATCTATATTATAGAATATTATCCAACAAGATATTATGAAGGTTTCCTCAAATGGGGGTACCCCAAATCATCCAAAATTACATCAGTAGTGAAAGCTATAGTTTTGGGGATCCTTCATTAAAATAAAACATATGTCAACATTGTCCATATTACAAGTAGTGGGGATCTTGTTTGTTTTCCAACTTTCACTGCTGCTCCCGCAACTGCGCACTGCCTGAGCTTTCTTCAGCTGCCCCGCTGCACTGCGGTTGGCCCGGCCGTTGCCCAAATCTTCCTTGGGACCAGGAAGCTCCCAGGCAAACCACTAGGACCAACAATGTTCCTGGTGACGAGTTCCAATTAGATCCAAGTAGTTTGAACATGTAATGTGCATACGCATACACACACACATATATATAATATATACGTGTATGTCACTATATATATATATATATGTGCGTAGGTATATATGTATACAAGAGGATAAATAATTATATACATGTGTATCTTCATTCATCTCCAGTATATATAGCCATGTATAGCCATCCATGGGACACTGGGACGGGCACCGAGATGCCATGGTGGTCTGCAATTCCTGCTGAGCTTTTTGCAACGACAGCTCCACCTGCTCAGGGATGCAGCTGGCAGGGTCACGGCCGAAAGGACTTGGAAATTTGAGAGCTCATATCCCAAAACTTTCCCAATTTTGGACTATGAGTTAATTTGACTTTCAACATGCCCAGGTTGGTTTCATGCCTTCTAACCAATTTTTTGAGATTCTTATTTCCAGAATGATTCATATAACATATAGCTAATCTATTTCCAGTGATCTTTCCCATGAAAAAGGGGACGTTTCCCGTGGGATTTCCCCGGAACTCTGCCGCCTCCGCCCGCAGCTGTGCCGCCTTACCGGCGGCTTCCTCAGCCACCTTGAGCTGAGCCTTCATCAGCCTGCGGTGGTGAACACACATGGAAAAATATGGGGCACGATATGACAAGTACATGGATATACATGTATAGTTACATGGAAAGCACATGGAAAATCATGGAAATTATATGAAAATCATTGGATAACCCTCTCTCTCTCTCTCTCTCTCGCTCCACCCCTATCTGGTCAAATTCGGCTAGGCTGAAGACTTGTTGCATATTATAGTTATGATATTATTATATATATTATTGGAACTTTAGTGAAGTTGGTATGGAACCTGATCATGCCCGATCTGCATCATAAAAGAGTACAACCTTCCAGGATCATGGATGACCATGGACGTTGGTGGAGTCTGATGTCTGGCCCCCGTCGCCAGATTGCACTCAGCTGAGACTTCGGACCATGGGTCTCCAGTGCAAGATTTGATTCACATCCATTAACATCCACACTGTTGCTTTCAAATCCCAAACAAAGTCGCTTTTGAAAGTCGATGTTTGTCATGTTTGATCATCATCCCAGGCGTCTCGAATTCCCCATATGTGGCTTTGTCTGGTCACATCCACGGGGAAAAGCCCTAAATTTGATGGTTGATCATCAGTTTGCTCTGGCCATGGCCCATTGAAATATACACATGATGATTTACCCTCTGGTAAATTAACATAGACCCTGGCAAATGGGGGTTTTCAGATTAGTTTCCACTAAAAATTGGTCATTTTCAGGATCCAACTGTTAATTTACCATAGGGTACCCATAATAAAACTGGTGATTTGACATATTTTGAAGCACCCCATTTTAGAAAGCACCACTGCCACAGCGCAGCTTGGGGCCTCACTTCCGGCGCCATCTCTTCAGCCACTTCGTCCTGACGAATCCGACTGGCTTGGAAGGATGCATGCCATACACACAAGAAACAATATTAATATTACCCTCTGGTAATTTAACATAGCTATTGAAAATGACCATTTATAGTGAGTTTTCCCATTAAAAATGGTGATTTTCAATAGCTATGTTAAATTACACTATATATCTGTATATATCATTACATATCTGTATGCATATAGGTTCATGGTAGGATTTTTAAGTCTTATAAGTCACATATCATTCTTATCATTCTCATAAATGTATGGTGTCATTTCAATGATAAATGACATAATGAATGATCAACAACAAATGGTGTCTGCGACGAAAAAAGACCATGTCGGCGGAACATCTTTCCCCCCCAACGTTGTTGAAATTGCATGTGTTGCTGAAACAAGCACTCTGAGACTGACCGGGCAAATTCAGTGCCCTGTTCCCCCGCCTCCACCTGCAAGGTGTTGTAGAGGTATGAGAAACTGCTCAAACCTGCCACGGTTGGTCTGATTGCCAGCCCCTTGTCGCACTGAGTAGTGCAGTCCTCGACACGCGCCAGCGTCATTGCGAAGAAAGGGTCACGAAATATATGAAATCACCGTGAAATAGGTGCATTGTATATTGTATTGTATTGTTGAGCACCTGGAATATATACAAAATTATACAAATATATACAAGAACCCATAGCAACCCCTGACGGAACCAGCAAAGAAGAACTGTTTCATGTTGTTCCGGAGCGAATCTGACTTCTTGCGAATGCGACTGAGAGTCTTCGATTCCATGCATATCACGCAGCAGTTTTCTCGTCTCTCCCTCTGCGGGGTCTGTCCATTCGAACAAGCCATGGATCTCATCAGCAGTGAAATACCTAACTTCCAAGGCTGAGGCTTTGGGACGGCAGATGACTGCAGGAAGCTGAAGATCTCTCAATTTTTTCGTGGTAAAACCAACTAAAACCCATTAAAATCAACCATCATTGAGGTTTATGAAACTGGTACACCCCTAGATGATGTTGATCCCCTCGGGGGCGCCAAAGAGTTGACCAATTTGCGGTGAAACATTCTGAGCCGCCAAAAAAATGAGGTTTTCACGCAAATTTGAACATCCCAAGTCCACTCCCTACTACTTTAGTCTTCGATTAATTGTCGGTTACTCATATATATATATATACATGTATATATATATATACATGAATATATATATATATATATATATTAGGGCGTGCGTCGGCCTCTTTGACTGTGAGGACAGAGATAGGCCTGGGGACTATTTATAAATTTGTTGGGGCTATTTATAAAATAGAAATCTCTATCCTCACAGAACAGAGGCAGATCCAGGCAGGGGGTTGCCACACCTGCGGGACTGTGCAAAGAGCAGCGGAACAGCCCGCACATGGAACGATGTTTTTTCCAAGCTCTCTGCCGTGGAGTATTTGCACCCTTATTTCCCACAGACAGCTCTTGCTGATGGGGCAGCCAAAAGTATAAACTACTTCAGTGGCAATCCCGGACTGAAGGGTTTTGCACTACTAGTATTTAGACCACAGTTGCAAACTGATCTCACTGCTTGGTTTTGAGTTCTCACACAAATAGTAAATATATTTTTATATATGTTATGAATATGTGTATGTTTGAATATGTCATCTCATATTGTATAATTTTGATCATTAGTAAGATAACTGTGTTTTGTGCAACAAACAAATATAAGATATATCACTCAAAGATCAAAGAAAAAAACATTGCATTTTCTTTGAAAAAATCCATTGTTTAAAAACGGCTTCAAGCGGTTTCAAGCGGTTTCTACCCAGCATCAATTCTAGCTGTTTTGAAATAGTTCCAAGCGGTTTGGAGCGGTTTCAGGCTATTTACAAAAGCTTGTTTATAAATAGCGCGGGACGGTTCGGAGCGGTTCAACACTATTTATACTGTCAAGACTATTCAGGACTAATTGGGACTAATTGGGACTAATTAGGTTTTGGTGGTATGAGTAGCTTGGAACGGCTTGGAGCGGTTCAAAGCTATTTGTAAATGGGTTTTACAAATAGCTCGGAACGGTTCGGAGCGGTTTGGGGCTATTTTTAACACGACCTAATATGCAGAAGGTATAAACGGCTCGGAACGGTTCCAAGCGGTTTCTAGTAAGAGCATATCATACGACATGCTTAACCTCTTTTCCGAACTATGATTTTCTTCATCTTCTTTTCAATTTTCAAACAAGAAAACAAGAAGTAGATCGTGAAACCAAGATGTAGAAACAAACAGCAACCATATTATTTCAACTTACAGACAAAGCATCCGGCAAAAAGAAAAAGGTAGCAGTACCAGACAGACAGACAGACAGACCTCCAGACCAGACCGATAGACAGACAGATCCGAATCCAAAAGCCCAACCTGAGATCTGCATAGATCTGCATCAAAGGAGGTGCTTTCATCAGCCCATAATGGATATCTAATACGTTGCGCTCTCGCTTGTTCAACACACTTTTGCCTTCACCCGGAAGACGTGCAGTGTACCCCTGCCCACGCTGTATGTTTTGAAAAAAACGCCTATTTCCTCCTTTGACTTTGCGGACACGCGGCCATCCTGCAGGACATGCCGGATTGGCCGGGTCCAGTAGGGGAATAGTCCGTTGCCAAAAAAAGAAACCGGACCCGTTCAGGCTCTCTTTTCGGCCAAAACGCCAAAAAGTGCGAATTAAAGAGGAAAAAATCTTTGGGACTATTTATAAATCCGAAAAAAAACCTTGCCGAGCTATTTATACATGTCCTGGGCGCCAGTGACTTCGGGTAGGCCTAGGAAATCTTCCGCGAAACCCGAAACCCGGTTGGATTTGGTGGATTTGTTGGGATGGCCGCCTGCTGGCGGTGGCCAAAATATGTCTCAGGAAGGCTCTGCGAAACCGGCCCGAAAACGCTCGTGTCTAATGAAACGCATATGCCTCAGGTACACAAAAAGGCTAGTCTTAGAGTGATGGTTAAGTTCCATCATCTAAAGACAGTGGGTTGTGGGCTGGTCCCAGTCACCGTTCTACCACTTCAAAATGCTGAGGCCCTGTATGTGGGATTGGGACTACACCAAATACCGTTTGCAATTTTGCGGCCGCAGCGCTCATTGAAAACCGTAGGGCCTATGAAAGAAACATATTTCATAGCGCGTAGTGTAGACATAGAAGCACACACCAATGCAGCGATAGCGCAAGCCGCAACGTTTTGCAACTTGAGCCAAATAAGTGAAATCAACAACAGGATGGGAGTAAATCACACATACATGTACAAACTCTATATAAATCCGAAAATTCCTCTTTATTTCATTTTAGTCTACAATTCATTGTAGAGCATGTTGAGCATGGCCGCTTGCGATGTGTGACTGCTGTGTGTGGAAGAGGTTGGAAGTGCAGCATGGTATGGTGGAAGCGCGCATCGAGAAAATGTAGAAAAGCGCAACGTGCATTTCCTGCTCTTGCTTCAAATGAAACCTGAATGTGTGATATGGCTGGGATTCACCATGTGGTTGGTGAGAAGCTGTGGTTCGCAACGCGGATTGCACAGATTGATTGGGTAATGGTTGCCTTCATGTCTTGAAAAAAAGTCACATGTTCGGGCTCTCAAGCTGTTTCACCGCCTTGAAACCTGCAATGTGTTTTCGCGTTCTGCACGATGCCGTGTGCAACAATGGACACGTTAGGGCGCTATGTCTCATTTAGCGTGTGCGGCATGTCAACACGATGTGTTTAAAATGCTCAAACAAAATTGGATGTTGTCAATGTTGTCCGTGCAGTGCTATGTTTTGTGATGCGCGCAACGCTTTAATCTTAACCCTAAAGAGCTGCTCAGAAATTGCAATTCTGTCAAATATATTCGGGATCGACTGAAAATTAGCTAACCCAAAAAGTGTAGAATGATAGTTTGATATTTGCACAAACCCAGGTGTTCCAGAAGCCCTTGTCCTTGGAAAAGGGGCAGTGAAGCAGATTGGCCCTAGTTGACATGGTTCATATCATATATTTCACATCATATTAGTTAATCTAGTCTTAAATGATTTATATATAGTCTTGAATGATTTATAAATAGTCCTGGGGAGCTAGGTATGCTTGACAGAGGGTCCCAAACAAAGAGGCCCATGCACCCACTAATATATATATATATATATGAATGTACATATACATTTTTCATCAAGTGTTTGCTTGCGTAATAGTATGACACCCAAAATCTTGCCGACCGCAGGAGCTACCGTTGTTGCTGTTTGGTCTCTAAGGCGGTCTTGGTCAAACCCATCTTGAAGACTTGTAAGCGGGACAAGGATTTTGTCCAAACTTTGCCACAGGTTCTTTGCTGGAACATGAAACTCATCAAGTCTGCAGGCTGACACATGCTACAGCCGGGTCAAGAGAGTACAAGCCCGGATCTTTAATTCTAAAGTTCTAAAGGATATGACAAATTTCACAGTGCGAAAAAAAGAAACACGGCGAAATTCAACCCCCCACATCTCCCCAAAACAAATAATACATGACCCACTCCTCAATGAGGCCACTCATGATCAGCCGATATGTCTTCACTTCACGCTCTTGACCAATCCGATGCGCGCGATCCACTGCCTGCATGTCTACAGCTGGGTTCCATGCAGGATCCAAGATGATGACGCGATCGGCGGAGGTCAAATTCAGGCCATAGCCACCCACTTTTGTGGTCAAAAGCATGCAGCTGTACTGTGAGTCCGTCTGAAACTTCTGCACCCGATCATTTCGTGCATGAACGTCAGTTTGTCCATCGATTCGCAGGTATGTGATGCCCAAGCGTTTCAGGACGCAAATCTCGACCTTGTCATGTGCAAACAATGGATGACAAGGATGAATTTCCGACAGCACTGCGCTTTTTTAAACGCGCTCTGAGCATCCAGCTAAATCCATCATCCTCACACCCTGTGAGAAGATCAAAGTTCGATGACCATCAGAAGCCAAAGCAGGTAGCCTCGCATCAGCATGAAACACGGGGAGTGCTTGCCCTGATGATGCATGGATTGAAACTGACACTATCTTCGAAAGTCTTTGAAGCCGCACAGTTTCGATTTGCCATCTCAAGGTGGGATGGTTTAACTCCCCAAATTCCATGGCTTATGGTGATGGGGATTCACCCAATTGTGATATTCCCCACCATAATCACCATGTTGGTTAGATTTGGTGAGTATAATCCCCTATAATCATCAAACAACCAGAGGTCTATAGCAGCCACTCCATTTTCAAGGCCCACGTTCCGTTTCCGTTCCCCACAGCGACGCCAAGCCGCAAAGCACTGAGGCACTGCAACTTGGCGCTTTGATGGACCAGCGAGGCCGTGTCACGCTTCAAGGTCCTAGGGGATGAAACCGCCGGGATTTTCCATGGGGATTTAGTGAGGATTTATTAGGGATTCAATGGGGATTTCACGGGGATATTGCATGATATTTGCAATGAATTAGTCATCTTGTAGAGCCTTGTAGTAGATCATTTACATTCAGGCACCTACATTCATTTTTCACCTATTCAGCCTATTCTCATTATTCTCTCTTGGAATCTCGCTGTGTTGACATTCAATGGATACCTGAAATTCAGCTCCAAGTGGGGCGCCATCTGCCAGGGCTCTTCAGCATTCGCTCCACGGCTTTACCAGGCTCCACATCTTCACCGACAGCTTCGTCGTCCACCTCTAGCTGCCAGGCTTGATGAAGGGCGAATCACCATCTAACATTGGGAGGAATCACCATTAGGGGTTTGGAATCCCGGTGAAAACATGATTGGACCTCTGGCTGGACTGTTTACTGTTTCGATGGAAATGCGCGAGGGAAAACCCACCATTTCATGGGGAATACAATTGTGGTTGTCCTGGAGATTTTTCCTTAAACAATCCCAATGATTGACTGAAACAGTTTGACCTGACTGTTTTCTTCGGCTACGGAAGGCTTTGCTGCGATATCTTTGATACAAAGCGCCACCTTTGCATGCAAAGGTTTGTTGCTCGATGCTTCTCCAACATGTATATAAGTCTTAGCAGGATGATAAATTCTTCCATTATAAATATATATATATATATATTATATTATGATCTTCTAATTTATGGTCGAAAATGGTCTATGACACCACCAGGCTCCATTTTTTTTCATGCTTTTCCCCCAGCGCACTCTTCCCAGGGCTGCCTCAACATGTTGGTCCTTGCCCGCAGAGGTCAAGAAGTCACGCCAAGCCTGGCACGTAACCACTGAGCCAAGGGGCGACAACAACGCAATGAACGTGTAACCCAAGCATAAGCCCACAACCAGCAAGTTTTCCCATTCAAGCAAAGTATCCTTCTAAGCGTTTCTCCTGTACTCTACTTTTGCCTCCTTTACCTCCAACTCCGTTGTCGCGCCTCCGTTTTTGCTCCCAGCAGTGGGTGATTGCAAAGCCTCTTGAGTAGTCCGATGGCGCGGAACACTTCGACTCCAAGTTTGCTCTTGCCTGTGCTTTCCCCAAAAGGGGGAGTTCTTCGGGAAGAATCTGGGGAGAAGTCTCCCGCACCTTTATTTGAATTCCAATGATTCATAGATGCAACTCACCCCAGTGAACCCACTAGAAACAGGCAAAACAAAATTTAACAACGCACACAAGGAGATATATGAGGACAAGCTGCTATTGGCTTCATGAATGATGTCACTGGTCTCCAAGGCTTTCTGGTACGTTCGCACTTGGTCTCGAGATGGAGTGAGCCAAACCACAAACCTTGGTTGGAAGTCACTGCATGTCCACTGCGGCAGGAGATGAAACAGCAACCACCGTGGACATGCATCAGCTGCGCCTGAAATCAGACACCGATAGACACTGAATGTCCGCGGATATATGGGATAGCCATGGCTTCCCCTTATTTAAAACACAATCATCAATTTTTGCCAGTTCTTCAAAACCTTCCAACCTCTAGGCTCTAGATGACTCTAGACTCTAGACCATTGTTTTATCCGACAACAAATGATGTCCCCTGAGCCACCGGGCTCCAGTCTGTTGGGCAATGGCTTGCCGATGACCGCCGTTTCGCCGGCCGTGGCGTTCAGGCGCTCTTTGGTGCGGCGGAGGAGGTGAGGCTTCGCCAGGCTCCAAAGCTGTTCCTGGTTCCGAAAGGTCACCCGTTTGATGATACAAAGATGGATGAAAATGGATGAACATGGATGAAAATTGGAGTTCCCCACCTGCCAGGTGAGGGTTGTTAGATTTTATGTCAGTTGCCTCCTCCTGCCTCCTGCCTCGTCCTCCTCCTCCTCCTCTCCTCCTCGTCCTCCTCGTCCTCCTTGTGATCCTTGTCGTCCTTGTCGTCCTCGTCCTCCTCGTCGTCCTCGTCGTCCTCGTCGTCCTCGTCCAACTGCGACCCGCGATCCACAGTGTTCTCTGCCGGACCTCAACCACGACCATCCACGCCCAGTGTTCCCTGCCGGACCTCAACCACGACCATCCACGCCCAATGTTCCCTGCCGGACCTCAACCACGACCATCCTCGCCCAGTGTTCCCTGCCGGACCTCAACCCCGACCATCCACGCCCAGTGTTCCCTGCCGGACCTCAACCGCGAGTATCCACGCCAAGTGTTCCCTGCCGGACCTCATGTAGGAAGATATGGGACAAAGAATGTGCAGAAGAAAGCTAGAAAGCATGTCAGAAAGAATGTCAGAAGATATGCCAGAAGATATGCCAGATAGAATGCCAAATAGAATGCCAGATAGAAAGCCAGAAGATATGTCAAAATATATGCCAGAAGATATGCCAGATAGAATGCCAGATAATATGCCAGATAGAATGCCAGATAGAATGCCAGAAGATTTGCCAGATAGAATGCCAGAAAATATGCCAGAAGATATGCCAGATAGATATGTCAGAAGATATGCCAGAAGATATGCCAGAAGATAGGCCAGAAGATATGTCAGAATATATGCCAGAAGATATGTCAGATAGAATGCCAGAAGATATGTCAGAATATATGCCAGAAGATATGCCAGATAGAATGCCAGATAATATGCCAGAAGATATGCCAGATAGAATGCCAGATAATATGCCAGAAGATATGCCAGATAGAATGCCAGATAGAATGCCAGAAAATTTGCCAGATAGAATGCCAGAAAATATGCCAGAAGATATGCCAGATAGATATGCCAGAAGATATGTCAGAATATATGCCAGAAGATATGTCAGATAGAATGCCAGAAGATATGTCAGAATATATGCCAGAAGATATGCCAGATAGAATGCCAGATTGAATGCCAGAAGATATGTCAGATAGAGTGCCATAAGATATGCCAGATAGAATGCCAGAAGATTTGCCAGATAGAATGCCAGAAGATATGCCAGATCATATGCCAGAAGATATGCCAGATAGAATGCCAAATAGAATGTCAGAAGATATGCCAGATAGAATGCCAGAAGATTTGCCAGTAAGAAAATGTATAAATGTCATGGTGGGGATCACACGAAGTAAAGTATTTTTTTTTCTCTCTCTCTCTCTTACTTTATCCATGTAGTATAATTAGGAATGAACTTGGTTTTGAGAACCCCTCGGGCACATGTACATGTAGATAAAATCATATAAAATCACTACATCAGCATAGAAACAGCATCGTGATATATATATATATATAATTAAAAATTCCAGGGTCCAATTCCTCACTTCATCACATCATATCACATGTATTCACATGTTACTTACCACGTCTTAGCGGCGCTGTTACCTTCCAAGCTTCGCAAAGGTGCTTCTTCAAGGCCACTGCAGAAGCTGGAGCATCCCTCAAACTGCCCTTCCTCAGTGGCGAACCCATGAAGCTGATTTGAATTGGAATATGTCTGCTCAAATCCACCCCAATGGCCCAAGCTCAGCATTTTGAGCCAAATCACTCAATGGGATCGTTGAATCGCTTGGTAAATGTAGCATGATTCCCAAGCAATCCTGGGGTTGCAGCGGGAAACGTTTCGGTGAGGCCAGTCTGAGCCCGCTTGAAAGCCGTTGAAGATCACTAACCATTCAAAGCGGTGATGCAACAAACTAATGAAGTGTAATCAATCACTATAGATATTATTATAGTTCTTGATCAACTAGAATTAGAAGGTGCGAAAATGAGGGTGATGCCAGCTTGCGCCGAAGAATAAACAGCCAGAAAATCCTGGAATGTGTTTCCGAAACCAACAATTATACTGCTTTGCTGCTGCCCCGGTCCTGGCTCCGCAAAATCCATGAGAGCCCACAAGTCTTGCAAGGCATTCCTTGGCGAAAAAAATGCCTTTCTCTAAGAACTACCTGACCTGAGCCATGGCCCCATGGTAGAACAATGTAGAACATAACCGCCTGAAACTCCGCAAGAGATGTTAAAGCATTCCAAAACGACCCAAGGTGCTGAACAGGCGTTCCAGTGAGGAGAATGCGACAGCGAGCTTGGATCTTCCGCATGGCTTTGCCAAGCAAAGTGGAGATGGTTCGCATCACGTGCGCTTCATCACAAATCACCTGGGTTGGCCCAAGTTGTGGCTAATCCATCATGGTCTAAGAGTCAAACCAAAAGATTAGCTGATTGGCCCATTACAGTAGGGCTCAGTAAGGAATGGCATGAATTTTATTTCTGAAGCACTGGAGAAAGAGCTGCTGTTGTCGTGCGCAACATGAAGCCACTGGCCCATCTGCACCTTGGCGAGTAACTTTACACCTTTAAGCTGAGGGCCCATAGAATTTTCCATTACTCCCTAGCAATCTGACCTGGCAAGAGACTATCCCCCATCTACAGCCACCATAGATAACTTTATATCTTTGGATAACCCCTCATTCTATAGTTTCCATTTCAAAAGATACCAGATTTCTAGGATTTTTGACGGACTTTTCGTGGATGTTGATGGATGTTGATGGATTGTTGATGGATTTTGTAGGGCATTTCCCAATTTCCAGCTGCCATGTTTGATGGGATCCCTTCGCTGGCAGCAAGAGACCAAGTCCCAGGGCTTTTCTGCAGCTGACGGCGCGGCATCCTGCCTGGAGGGCTGTGAGAAAACAATTTCATTCTAAAAAAGCACGCAGGATCATACTTAATATATCAAATAGGTATTATAATCAATTGTAAATATATATATATAATGATATATATATATACATATAGCTAAATGGATAATTATATATAATAATATATTACATATGTCATATTTAAAAAGGATATCAAACACATATCAACAACATGGGTTAGACTGAACGAGTCAAAACTTTTCTTCAACAAGCTCCCGGTCAATATCTGGAGGTCTTAAGCTGCCAAATCTGCCAAGTTGCTTCGGTTTCCCCAGCCAGTTCCCAGGGCTCAGCATCTCAGATGCCTCGGCAATGCTGACATGCTGTGGTCATGTTGGGACTGAAGGATTTTTGGTTGATATTGGCTGCTTCATGCTGCTTCTGTTGCAAATGAATCCCAAACTTAATTGAGTTTAGTGCTGTCTGCCTTTAGCAGCTATTCTGACTATTCCTGTCATTTCTTATCTAGTCTTATCTGCATCCAGAAAACTCGAATTAGTGATCATGGTGACGGTTATCATCGTGCTGGTGATGGTTATAATCGTGCTGGTGATGGAGGGTTTGACGGTGATGACATTCGATTGCCGCAAGGCACATTGACAAATGCCAACTTGTCCTCCTCATTCTTGATGATGGCATAGGATGTCAGCAACCTGGGTTCCGAACGGCAGGCGAACACGGAATCAGATTCTGTTCATTTCAGTCATAATCATCATCACTGGCCATCATATTTATACCATCCTTTACTTGCGTGCTTAAACAGTGAGATTTGCAAAACTCTATGGAGTTTTATCTGTATAATATATGATATACTGTATGCATATATATATATATACATAATTAGTCATATAGTTGCACACAGTTGTGAAGTCAATGTGTGTATGCGTGTGGAATTCAATGATAAAAAAACACACACACACATATATATATATACATACATACACAGGATATAAATAAATGTGCTAGGGTCATAATATGGCATCTGGTTTATGAATGTTGATGGTTTAGTCATCCTGTTTACCATCCATCCCCTGGGAATCCTCGTGGATAGGTATCAGGTCCAGTAGCACACCTCCTCGCCGTAGCACTGCCTTCAATGCTCGCAGTCGATGCCCTGGAGACCCGTGGTAGATGTAGACTGGGCAGCCTGGACACCATCGAGCCAACTCCTGCCGCCATGGGAAGTGAACGAAAAAATCGTGTGGTAAAATCTGGTAAAGCCAATAATGTAAACAGTGGATTAATAAACCCCTAGGCTGTTTAAATTGGGGGGGGTACCATTTATGTATCATAATGTAACTATTTGGAAGGTGCCCCCACAATTAATAAAGGTTTTATGAATCCGGAGTTGACATTAACCCCAATTTTACAGAAAAACAACAGAAATGGGATGAACTGGGCACTGGGTGGTATAAACATTCGCCCTAAGTGGAGGTTTGGCATTGGGTTTATATGGGGATGTGACCAAACAATTCGAAAAAACTCCCTCTCTGCTGGAAGATTCGTACAGAAGCAACTCCACCCTATGAAAATTGTGATACAATCAATAGGTGGATGTCGATGGCCCCAACTTTCCAACTCCTTGGCCCACTGGTCCAACAAGGTAACTGGCATCACCACCAGTACATGAGCCCGACTGGCGCCAGGAGAGTTCATGGCCTCTATCAATGCACAGGCTTGCCCGAGCTGGAGTCCCAGTGTGCCAGTGGAAATCGGAATCGTTGGACGGTTTATAGCACCATCCCCTCCCGACAAGAGGAACAGGGGAAATTGGGGATGGTGGATCCTATTGCTTTAAAAGTCAACAATGATTCATGGCGACGCCGCGCTCAATGTATTTAAAATATCTTATAAAGCCTGGGCCTAGTCGGCAATTCAAAAAAAAAAACGGTGCCAACATCTGCCAAGAAGTTGCACAGTTTTTCCCAAACCCATCTCATCCGCCAGAATGCCTCCTTGTTTTCGCAGGTAAAGCTGCCACAGCCATGCCACACCATGTCTCTGGTAGGGGCAAAGGCTTTCAACGAAATTGCGCCGGAGCTTTAGGGGCCGTGAGGGTGCTGATTCACCATCGAAAGGGACCTGAGGCGCAAATCTGGGGCCATGGGCCACAGGTCCCCATAAAAACATTCAAACACATGTAAACAAACATGTAAAACACATTAAAAAATAGTAGCAGTCCAAGCCAACGTTGTTGAGACCCAAAGGGGATCATAACTTGGCCACCTGCGTCAGCCCATTGAGTGAATTGAATGCATGCAGGGTGAGCTCAGGTATAGGATGAAATGGCACATTTTGCCAGCAGTATATCGAACACCGTTGAAATCAAATGCACAACTTGCAATCCAATCAAGACAAGTATCTTCACAAATCTCAGACTCATCAGCTTTGCGATCCTCCTGTGAGGCATGTTGCGATCCAGAAGTCACATTGGCTTCAACCACCTGTGTGGCTTGACGTAGAAATTCTCGTGGACCGTCGGACAAATCCCTGACCGCAACAGGAGATGCTTCCAGGGGCACGTCGATCACAGCCGGGGCCGCTCGGCGAGGCTTCTTGGAGGGCTGCGACTGGAACCTGGCTGCACCACACATCTCACACTCCTGGAGTTCTTGGATATTCTGAAAGGTGCAGTCGTGACATGTCCAATTTTCATTTCTGGCTTCCTCCTCTGGATCCTCTGGCACTTTCCCAGCTTTCAGTGGCTCTTTCTGCTTCAGCAAGGCATTAATCTGCTCCTGTTGTCGAGCGATCGTGGCTTTCAGGCACTCGGACTCATGGGCCAAGTCCACCAGGCGCTGATCTGCAGATCGGGATGCCGCTGGTGCTTCAATGGCAGCCACGGCGGTAAATGGTCGAAGTAATGTTTCCTGAAGCCTTAGCGAAACTGGTGGCAAAGGCCGTGCGAAAGATATTTTGGGGTCGAACATGGTTGGATATATCCTCTCAAACATCGGATGAGCATGGGCAGGCCTTAAGGGTGGCGACTAAATATCACTATACTATATTATCCATTGATTCTGTTGAGACCAAGCTTTCATAGAACCCTCCAATTTGAGCTGAGAAACTCTGGTGCGATCACTTTGTACAAATGCCTGGTGCAAAGTCAAAGTCACAAGTTTCCAGACCATTGTCAGGGGAGAACTCTTTCACAGAAAGCAGCCCATGAAACACAGAAAAATAACGGCCGCCTTAATAACCCTCCAGTTACCTGACAGTGGAAATCCCATTCGCAAATAAGTGTCTGGCCAACACATAAAGATTGTCCGAGATTTCCAGTTGCGATGCAGTTGCGATGTTTGTTTACTCTCTCTCTGCCATACAACTCTTCAATTCCGTGATATTCATTTGAATTGAGCCCTGGCAAAGCAGCTTCCACCTCACCGCACCTTGTTGGTGTATTCAACCCATCCCAAAAATACAATTCATAGCTCGTTTTTACAATGTAAAAATGTTAACCAGATAGGTATGCTTCACATCAAGCACCGCCATAATATATCGCCATCAACTCCAGACTCCAGGCCAGAATCCACCAAATTATATATATACGATTATATATATACGATTATATATATATAGTAATAAACTGATCCAAATTTCAGCCTTTAGCAACTTTAGCATCCTTTAGCAGCAAAGCGACTGAGCTTCCTCGTACTGAACATGGACAGAACCATTGGGCCAAACCTCTCGGACCACTCCAGAGATCCAAAGCTGTTGGCTCTTGGAAAACCTTGAAGCAACACTCTGGCCCAGGTGCATCTCTCAACATCTCGAAAAAGTAATTGTAGCATCACGCACTTCGCGGGGAATATGCGTAATGTCATAATATTGTAATGTCATAATATTTTTAACGATGCAGGTCCACGTTTGTTGGTTGTACATGTCCATATTTTGCGGTCCATGGAGTGGATAGGACATGCTTGAAGCCAACCTGCAGCATACAAATAATATACTTGGTTGGACTACTACATCCAAGAAAAGCCTTGGCGCTACCTTGCCTCCATATCTCCTTTGAGATCATTGAATGGGGCTGTGTTCCGAAATATCCAAAGTTGGTTGGCAGGCAAGAGACACTTGGACTCGTTCACCAAGCGCCCAGGTAAAAACTGATGATGCCTTTCTCCGAAGGGTTGAAGACTGAAGCCTCACTGCCGACCATAGGAGTCTACGAAGAAGATCGAAGAAGGGACCATAAGAAACATATCGCAAAAGGTACGGTGGAACTGCGGAATTCTGGGAGTAAAACCTGCACTCGAGTCTGAACCTCTGCTATAGAATGCCTCCCAGCAGGCAAGGTTCACCATATTTCACCATGGTTTTTCCAGGTATCATCCTCCAACCGCAAAGCGCTCAGTCCATGATGAGAAACTCCAAGGGGATTACCTTCTGGGCATTTCCATACCTGAGGTCGAATGCCCAAGGAACAACCTGCCGGTTTCTCTATAGTTCAACTCCGGATCTTGGAAATATCACGGGAAGGTGCCCACATCTTGATATTTAATGATATTTAGGTATATTATGGTATATTTAGGTCAAATCATGTCAAATCCAGCGAACATGCTAGGGACATCTAGGGACCACATCATATTCCTTCCGTCTTGATCATGAATGGAAAATCTTGCCGTTCGGATCCATACCTATCCAGCGACTTGCCAACCTCAATCAGGTATATTACGGCCCTACCCCAGTATTCTGGGCATCTTTTGCCATTGTAGCATAGGTCCAATCACAAGGGATGGGAATGTTCACAGGGAAAGGTTCCCCCAGTGGAAGAGAGAGGCAGGTGCCAGCCAGGCACCGCACCCACACCGCTTGGTCGGCCAGCACTTGGTGCACCACTGCATCTACCCATGCCTGGGGCTGCGCAAATGTTCTAGGAACCAAAAGCGATGAGGGGAAAATACGGCTATGCCATTGATGAACACCATTTTGAGTCCAGCTGGATTTCAAAATATATAGTTGGGATACTCATGCCCATCTACCCTATTTCCAGAAATATCCAAAGATCGTAGGTCTGGACCAAGCCCCATATTTGAATATCAATGAAACTGGTCCAATATCATAAGCCATGCTCACAATTCAGGTGCTTTTCCTGGTAAATCCTGGCCATGAACCTTGCTTTGGAAACCTGAACATGTCGATTTGACCAATTCATTCCCTGAAAATCCTAGCGGCTACTAGCGGAATAAGCTGGTCATATTTTGGTTGAACCAGGCATAGGATGCATACCTAAAAACCATCCACTAGCTGGCCATGCCAAGGGGGTTCAGCGTAGGGCCATATTTGAGCCAAGCATCGCCACTAGATTTGGACAGCACTTGAACTGCATGACCAGGTTGGAAGGTTCCCACCTCGTGCTGGAAAAAGGGCAAAGTTGGCATGGAATGGACGGATGCAGGCGGAACTCGGCCCAATCAAAAGGTCTTGAGTCCAAAAATCAAAACAGAAAATCATAGCATGCACGCTCCCAAAAAAATGGTTCGGATCATAGCATGCACGCTCCCCCACAAAATGGTTCAAACTGAAACAGTGGGAGCCTGAAGAAAACAAATGGTTTCAGGGAACAAGAAAGTGAACAAACTCCGGGATCAAAACGTGGCGTGGCCGTTTCTGTTGACAGCTATGACAGCATCATGACAAGACTTTCAGGGCCCTCAAGCCTGCCCAGCGGACATCGCACTCAGCACTTTTGAGCCAGCTAGTTTCTGCGTCAATGGAGCGTTTGAACATGTTTGAACTGGGCAGCCCACAAGTGCGATTAGAAGCTAAGCTTGCGCCACTACCATCAACTCTCTCTCTCTCTCTCACACACACACACACCCAAGCCGCTACTTGCTACAGGTCATTGTGGCTGCAGGATCATATGCATTCATCACCCTAATGTATCTTGAGATCACGAGAACGATGATGATTGGAACCGGGTTTCTGAGACACTTGCTGTGACATGCTATGACAAAGGCACAGTTTGGTATGTCCGTCCATGGTATGTCCCGTAAATTCTTGACGTCGATACCGAGAATACTCAGAGCAAACATTCTGGGCCACCAGGCAGAAAGATGCCCTTGGCTTCCGTTCAACTCCGCTCGTCTTTCTAAACCTCTTGCAGCAATGTTCTTCCCACATAGAGAACGGCAAGCCATTGCGGATGGTGCAAAGTTCCTATTCATTCTCAGCAGCTCTCCAAGTGAATATAATAATATATATATATATACAAATAGACACACACACATGTATATATATATATACATAAATATATACATATAATATATATATACACACAAATAAATATACACAAAAATATGATTTATTATATAACACTATATTATTATATTGTATAAATATATTGTCGGCATGAAGTCCATGCCATGGTTTGCGGAGACTCCTGCTCAAGTGGAGAGAACTTGCCATTAAAAACATATCGCATTGCTCGGGTTGGTCATGGTTGTTAGGAACAGCTCAGGAGCTGCTCACATCTCCCCGTGCATATTGCTGTGCCAAATCTATCAACATCTGCTTCAGGAACTTGCATTGACCACTACTTCGTGATGCAACTGCCCTGAGCATGAGCATGGATCAAACCATCTATATACCTTGATCTACTTATTGGAAGTTTAAGAAATATGCAACAAGTACCTATGTAAACGCATTGCCATCCAACTATCTGTTCAAGAGATAAAGCTTCTTCATAATTGTCATAAAATCATAGCTATAAGTGTTGATGTAATATGCAAGTCTTCCACCCTCCGGTAATCAAACGTGGCAATTGAAAATCCATCATTTATGGATGATCCTAGCTGAAACCTCCAGCCACAAATTGGGGATTTTCCAGCTAGCCACTGGCTTGATTACCAAAGGGTATCATGAATGACCAATACTATCCGATATTATCAGTTGGTTAGATACCCATCAGATACCATTCATATATATATATATATTCATATCCCATCTTGTGGTAATTTTAGTGATATCATTGTATTTAATTACCATCATTAAAAAATAACTTATAGATACTTATAGACATTTCTTTCCACTAGATAATGCTATATTTCATGGGAGATTAACTATAATAATAGCATTCATATCCCATTTCAAGCCCATAGTAATGATATTTCATAGTATAATATCCATATCATTACCATTTATTCATATCCCATAGTTATCCCATGATTTCAAGCCCATGGATCCCCAAATAAAGGGCGGGCCGAAAATCTCACCTTGGAGTCGTACCCGAAGACCTGGTCTCAGCGGCCTGCGACTGACTGGAAATGGATTCAACATAGCACCCTTTTTTTGGCACCAAAAATGGTGAAACTTGGGGATGGTAATAATATGTTTGTTTTACCAGCATGTAACCTATATATGTGGAATATGATTGTTTTACCAGCATGGAACCTATATATGTGGAATATGATTGTTTTACCAGCATGTAACCTATATATGTGGAATATGATTGTTTTACCAGCATGTAACCTATATATGTGGAATATGATTGTTTTACCAGCATGTAACCTATATATGTGGAATATGATTATTTTACCAGCATGTAACCTATATATGTGGAATATGATTGTTTTACCAGCATGTAACCTATATATATGTGGAATATGATTGTTTTACCAGCATGGAACCTATACTGTGGAATATGATTGTTTTACCAGCATGTAACCTATATATGTGGAATATGATTGTTTTACCAGCATGTAACCTATATATGTGGAATATGATTGTTTTACCAGCATGTAACCTATATATGTGGAATATGATTGTTTTACCAGCATGTAACCTATATATGTGGAATATGATTGTTTTACCAGCATGTAACCTATATATGTGGAATATGATTGTTTTACCAGCATGGAACCTATATATGTGGAATATGATTGTTTTACCAGCATGTAACCTATATATGTGGAATATGATTGTTTTACCAGCATGTAACCTATATTATGATTGTTTTACCAGCATGTAACCTATATATGTGGAATATGATTGTTTTACCAGCATGTAACCTATATATGTGGAATATGATTGTTTTACCAGCATGTAACCTATATATGTGGAATATGATTGTTTTACCAGCATGGAACCTATATATGTGGAATATGATTGTTTTACCAGCATGTAACCTATATATGTGGAATATGATTGTTTTACCAGCATGTAACCTATATATGTGGAATATGATTGTTTTACCAGCATGTAACCTATATATGTGGAATATGATTGTTTTACCAGCATGAACCTATATGTGGAATATGATTGTTTTACCAGCATGTAACCTATATATGTGGAATATGATTGTTTTACCAGCATGCATTGTTTTGTAACCTATATATGTGGAATATGATTGTTTTACCAGCATGTAACCTATATATGTGGAATATGATTGTTTTACCAGCATGTAACCTATATATGTGGAATATGATTGTTTTACCAGCATGTAACCTATATATGTGGAATATGATTGTTTTACCAGCATGTAACCTATATATGTGGAATATGATTGTTTTACCAGCATGTAACCTATATATGTGGAATATGATTGTTTTACCAACATGTAACCTATAGTATAGTGTGTAATAGAATGTAATAGATACATCAATATGAATATATTCATGAACATTCTAGAACTTAGAATTTCAGACAGTTTCCAGAGACCGATGCCCGTCCGATTAACATGTTTAGTATTGCCGGAGTTTTTGCAGTGGCTCATCTATATAAAGATAACAAAATATGTAATGCATATAGTACATGTAATGCGTACATATATAGACAATAGCAAACAATATTGTTACAATACTGTATATAACAAATTGCAATGTTACAATACTGTTTGAAATGGTTTGAATATAATAAATGACTCATGACTGACATGCCCAGAAATGGATTGCCAAATAATACTAAAAAACACCAACATCTGTGGGTTGGGTGGACGATGGTGATGTATGGGATAGTTGACCCTCATGAACTGGATCCTTCAATGGGAGCAGTGTTCTTGAATTCTTCACCAAAACCAATTTGCTATCCAAACAAGAAACTGCAAACCTTCTATTCCTGTTTTGTGGGGCGTGATACTCAATCAAACTCCAGTTCTTTGTGGTGTCGGCCCCTGGTCAGACACCGAAATAACTAAAATGGCCCGGAGCTTATTCACCCAAACCTCAGATGGCTGAGCCAAAAACTAGTACATTAGGTAATTAACCTAAAAAAATAGCTGGTTAATTGATGGTTCTTCCCTTAATATAGTAATTTCATGGGCTTTCACCCAAATATGGAAATCCAAGCTGGTCAATCGCCCATTGCCCTGAAAAAATCTTCAGCTGAGTGGCGCCGAAGAAGAACTTGAACCTTGCATCGACAGCGTGGGAATCGGCCATGACGATTGCACTCATGGCACGATGGGTGATTAGCCAATATTGGCCACCAGCACGACTGTACCCACTCAAGAATTGCCCTAATTAAACCAGTTTAGTGGTGATTTAATGGTGGTTTAATGGTGATTTAATGGTGATTTAATGGTGATTTAATGGTGATTTAATGGTGATTTAATGGTGATGGTTCAATCTCAAATTCCGATTTCTGTTTGTCATTTCTATTTGTCACTTCCCAGACTTCCCCTGGGTGCCCCAGCGCGCAGCCCCAGAGTCCTGTAGAAGTGGAACTGCTGTCATGCTCAAGGCCCCTAGTTTGAGTCCGACCTGCTACATCTGGACAAGAGTTTGGAAAAATAACTATAAAATAACTATATGATAATCATGTACAAACATATGGGAAAAACACGACCTTCTTGATACCAACTGATTTATTTTGATGATTTTTGATGAGATTGAGTTGGGCAGCGCGCCAGCGATTCATGGGTCAGTCCTGGTGCCTGGAGGCTTCACCCATTTCGACCTGCCCGTACTGGCAAGCAAACCACAACAAAATCAAAACAGTGAAGCATTTTAGACTAGAACTGGTATGAAATGATCATGCTGCATCAACCCCTGGCTCTGATGGCCTTGGGCAGGTAAAAACCTCCATATGGTGGGTTCATACCAGGCCTCTTCAGCGTGAGGCCTCGATGCCGAAGCTGACCTTGGGTTCCAGCAGCATCGCCAGCAATTCTGGGCAGAAGTTTTGGGGGAACTTCTGCCCCCAAAAAAGTCGGAAAAGGAAATCTAGATTAAAAGTCTCAAGAAAGCATGACATGGTCATGGCACAAGAAAATTGGCAGCATCTACAAATCAAATCAGGGCATCTGATCCTTGCTGAACATTCATCTGGGTCCTCCCGGCATGGCTCGGGCCCTGCCAGCCATCTCATCGTGGCCTTGGGAACTGGGCCGGATGCGTGTTGGCAGTTTTGCACATGACGGGCCCATGCCATGACAGTTATCAGGCTGAAAGTATGATGATTATGATAGAAATCCCATGAAATCCCAAGATAGAACCATATAGAACCATATGGAACCTATTTACTGTATATTTATATAGAACCAAGAATTTGCGTCCACAATTTTTGCTGCAACGCTATCACACTTCCAGCCCATCCTTGGCACAACTTTTTTTTTCCCGTAGCGCCCTGGGTCGTCGGGGTGCCAGTGAGAAGTTGCGCACGGCAAATCATCGCTTCGGCGTCAAAAGCGGCGTCGCTTGCGGGGTCTGGAGAGCTACGGGGTGGCAGGAGAAAGAGAATTGAAACCCGTTGCTTCACATGCATTAAAGAGGGAAACATACCACCCAACAAATATTAGCCGATATTAGCCGCAGCACGTGCGCTACACCCACAGGTACTTCACTATATACACTTTCATATGTTTTTTTTCAGGGTTTCTTTAACCTTTCTTTACATTTAGGGTTTCTGTTTCTTCAGGGTTAATTTAAGGTGTCTTCTAGTTTCTTTTTTGGGGGTGGTATGTCAAAAGTGACGAAAACCAGTTTTGGGGGACAGCAGATTTACCCCAGAGGATCATCAACGACATCTCTGGGTTTGCAAACCCAGAGTCAATCTATAGATATTAGATCCTCAAATGCTCGAAAGCCACAGCAAGGGTCGTGTCTTTCCCATCAATTTTGCCAATCAAGATATTCCCTTGAGGACGTCGAACTAGCGTAGAACTCCCATCCAAGCGTCGGGTGCGGCACTTTGAGAGGTGCTGCCTCTGCTTCTTCTCCTCAGGTGGACTGATTGGGAGGTGAATGGAAACACGATATGAATATTATTAGTCATTGGGGTCCAGGTTTTCTTGGGGGCTTGAAATGCCATAAATGTATGGAATATTATGGAATCATATTGAATAAGATGTTTCCAAGCGGTTCTTGTCTTTGCACGGGTGCTTCGATTATCTTCCCTGTAGACTGTAGATCCACTCTCAGTATCATTTCGCACTCAGTTCTGCCGGGGATCGTTCAGCCTCCTCCACTGCTAGGGCAAGTGCTGCGAATCCAGAAACCTCCTGCACGACGCTTCAAACTGTTTGTCCAACCTGGACTCCTTCCTAAGCTGGATCTTAGCCTGTCTTCTGCCCTGGCATTCCGTTCCCTACTCTCTCCAGAGTCCCATGCGTCTTGGAACCCTCAATCTGATAACCACCCGTGAGAATCAGCATACAACATGAATCTTTAAACTGCTGCAGCTGCTTGGGGGAATATGTATTCGTAATTAAATGGCATACAAACCTAGAAGCCGGACAATTGACTCTGCAAGATTTCAAGTATAAATAACGTTTTCATACATGGCTTGTCAGGCTTGTCGCGGCGCTTCTCAGGCATAAGTAGATGGACCCATGGACTGGACTGTCCCCCACTTTCAATTGCACCCTACTTGTCCTACTCTATTTGGCCTGGTTCGGTTTTTCGCTTTGATATTGCATCTATTTCTTGACATACTGTAAATATTGTTACCGTTAACATGACTTTTCCTTCAGCAAGCCTTTCGACATTTCAACTTCCACAAAGATTGTGCCAATTTCGGAACTTCAAATTCCCTTAGTAATATGTCACCGTTGCGAGGTATCCCTCATTTTCAAACCAAGCATGACTGGCACACCCCATGGTTGTTTCAAAGCCTGGCCCATATCCCCAGGCCTCGGCTGCCTCCTGAAACACTGGGCCGGTTGCATGGGCTTTTGGGCATTCCCATTTTTCCCATCAAAAAAAAAACTTATAGGACTTAGGACTTTGGTCAATGAACCAAAACATACTAAAACCAACAACGACTTTAATCCGTTGTGCTGAGTTTACCATAGTTTTACGGCACCAAACAAAATCCGACTCATTTTGATCCGTCTTGGTTCAGCCACCACAAATGGCCTGAATTTCCAACAAACACCCATAGCTGACCTTTCCCGCCCTTCAAAAATAGGTAATGTTTTGGATTGGCATCATTCTACCCAATTTATGGCTAGAAAACACCCAATTAGCCTACCTTGTCTACTATCCATTCCCGAAGGCTTGCTGAACTAGTTAGGTGTTTTTATTTGAGAAAAAAAGGGTTTACCCCAGAAAATATACTGATCAGATCATATTCCCAAATGTTCCATGTGAGACTTGCCATTGCGAAGAGTCTCCTGGAGGGAAAAAAACGCAGATATCCACACATTCTGTTTCCAATTATTATCCGAATCATTTCCACGTGTGATTATCCCAATTATTCTCCCAAGTCTTATTCCAATTGTCTTATTCCAATCATTAATCCCACAAACGCAGATACCTTCTGGTAAACTAACATAACTATGCAACATCACCATTTTAAATGGATTATAAATGGCCATTTTCAATAGCTATGTTAGTTTACCAGAGGGTATTCCAATTGGTTTTTCCAATTTTAGGATGCCACTTTCCGGGCAACCCCTCCTGCTGAAAGAGCTCATCATCCACTTGGACTTCGCCGCCATCGATGTCCTGGGGAAAAACGTCATGCACATACTGCAACATACATCCATGATCATCCGGGCATATATGCTTTATATATTGTTTTATGTATAATTATATATATGCATATATAATTATAATTACTGATAGATAAATATAAGTAAATATATATATATATAGTCTAGTCATATACTGTTTTAGTCTGCAGAGTCTGCGTCTCTAAAGGTTCTTGTTTCATAATGAAAATGGCTGTCATGATTCCAGGGATTCAAGCGTTCTTCTGCCGACAGATTGGGGGGAATCCCACATGTGCCGTTTCTCGTCGAACAATTTGAACCAAGTTGCATGAATTCCAGTCACACCATCAAACAAATCTGCCATAATCTGCCAAAACCTCCGCTTGTGACACAGCACGAGCCCGTGGGCATACGGTTTTTGAAAACGTACCCTGCTTATGACACTCCTGCAGCTCCCCAGTCTCAATATCTGCGAAGTCTTCAGCCTCAACCTGCAGGCTGGATACTTGACAGGAGACATGGGTTTCCCCGCAACATGGACATGAATTGGACATGATACATCTTCTTTCAGTGAGAAAGTCAATTGGCACTTCCAGGGCCCCTGGGTATCCAACCCGGCACGGCAATTGAACCCCCTATCAAAGTGTTCAGCTCTATCTTTTCTACATATGTATGATAATGTGTGATAATGTATGCACATGTTGATTTCCCAGCATGTCGCCATGTTAGGATATGTTGGGTACATTGTGGTTGAAATACCCTATGTTTGTCGATTTGACCTTATTGCTTCTTGGTTCAACTTCCAATGTTCCCAGTTAAATCCCCACCTCTGAAACATTATACTTCAATATACTTCAACTCTTCACGTGTAATTCTACTTGAGACATCTTGAGACTTCAATCCACAGATGGTTTTTCCATGGCTTTCCTGGCATTTGGGACCCCCCGATGATTTTTTTCAAAACATGGCGCCCCACAGCCGACCAACGGCCCCCGGGCCCGTCCTCCAAATCGCTGAGTCCCATCACCGCTTGCACCAGCAGCTGTGCCGCTTCCTCCACGCTGCCAGGATCATGGCCAGCCTGTGGCGGCAATCTGGGACAAGGGTGGAATCATCAGGAGATGGCTTCAGTAGTATTAAAAAAAAACACTATGAAAAACTATGACAATATATGTATCTTATATTCTCTGACTATATTACTTATATGAACATATTGAACTGTATATTTGATAGAGAGCATACATAAGTCTCTCTCTCTCTCTCTCTCTCGTTTTTTGCCCTATTCCTGCTACAAGTAGGCAATCGTTGCATGCCAGCATACAAGTACGTGTGTACGCATGTATGGATGCATGCATGTGTATATGCGTGCAATATGTTATATATATATACACAGTAAGTAAACTCATCATTGTGGTTAATCAAGACTAATTATATAATTTAGAGTAAGAACAGGGTTTCATTCCCCCCAAATTTGGGGGTAATTCATGGGTAATTCGCCATCATGACTCATGCAACACTTCACATGAAAACGACTGCGTCCAAGTGGCCTCTGGTGACTCTGGCAAATCAGTGACCGATACCTCCAGCTTTACCAACTGGGAAACGGGGAGGCTCTTGGAGACCAGTTGACTTGAGGACTGTCAACGGCCAGGAATTACATCAATTTACTCTAGTTTTGTCTATATTTATTTGATGTTATTTGATGTCTTTTTCAGCATATCCATGCATATCCCACATCCTGAGCCCAGCAATAAAAATCTCCAAGCTACCACTGGCATCGAGGCTACGGAATCTGCTGGCAGCTGCGGATCCTGCGGATCCTGCGGGTCTCTCAGCAGTTGCTCGGCCATGGCCAGTTCCGCCTCCAAAGTCTCCAGGTCCTGCTCCAAGGCCAGGTGTTCCGCCTCGGCGTTCACCTCTGGATCCAAGGGATCTGGATCCAAAGGATCCAAGGGATCCAAGGGATCCACATCACCATGCTCCACATCCACTTCTGCTTCTGGTGCTTCATCATCTTGTGGATCTTGTGGATCTCCTTCCTCCATCGCCATTTCCAGCATCAGCTCCGCTGCATCTCCTTCGCTGCCCGCGGTCAACAGCTTCCGCGGCTCGGGTTCCGGCTCCGGCGAGGTTCGCTCGCTGTTCCCAGCTGGGACCTGCTTGGACGCCACTGGCGCCACTGGAGCAGTGAAATCATCTTCCGAGGGTGTGCTGGGCGAAGGCGAACAGCCCGTGACAGCACCTGCACAGAAAATCACACAACTGGCACCAACTGCTGCCGAGCCATGTTAGTCAAATGGATCCTCGGATATAAAATGATATTCACATGGTAACTCATCATACAGCATCAGCCAGGTCTTAGATGCGGGTTTCCTAAAATAGGGGGTACCCCGGGGTACCCCCAGTTATCATCCATTTCAATAAGATTTTCAAGCAGATTTTCCGCGAAATAAACCATCCGGCTATTATTTGGGTACCCCCATGGCTATGGAACCCCCCAAATGAACACATCCGCCTGGATCAGCCGAAGCTGCGGTGTCATCTTTTGTCTCACCTGTGGCAGCCAGCCAGGGTCAACCTTGGGACTCTACAGTAATTTAAGGTCAAGACAACTTAATGACTTGCATATAGAATCATATAGATATATTAGTATGTCATACAATGTATATGTATATATGTATACAGTATATATATATATATATATGATTGTATATCATGCAAACATGTATGTATCATCGCTATAACCAGTATATCCATGAATCACATCTGTGAGAAATGTACACATATGAAGCACATCCCCACCTACAGCCGCTGGATCTTCGGATGCAGCTTCCTTGGGTCACAATTGCATCAGGATATATCAGGGTGCAACTCTCTCCTTTCAATTCAATGGGCTAAAAAAGAGGCAACAGGTAATGTACCGTATAAAGCCATACTTTGGGGGTATATCCCCTTACATAGCCATAGTCCTTACATAGGCCAAATGTATGGTAGGTACCTGCAATCTATGTACCTGAAATGGCCATTGATCCATCGCCATGGCCAAAGGCGAGCCAAGGCTGGATATTTCAAGATTAGTGTTCCTTTTTCAATGCTAACATTTTGTGAAACAAATGGGTGCAGCTCCAGAAAAAAACCGATGGACCCCACCCCCAATCTGGCGCACTTTTATCATTTGGCCAAAGACACTTAAAAAACATCGACTAATGAGCATATACAAGTCTTGTAAATACATATGAATACATGTAAATACATGTCAAACACATATATTTTAAATATAAATGCAAATAGAATCAAATAGATACATGTAAAATACATATATTTTAAACATAAATACATATAAATACATATATTTTAAACATAAATACATAAATACATATAAATACATATAAATACATATAAATACATATAAATACATATAAATACATATAAATACATATAAATACATATAAATACATATAAATCCACACACGTTTTTGGATCCTTTTTTTTTGGGTACCATCTCCAGGCCGTTCCGCCACGGCTCTGTTTTGGAGAAGACTTCGGAGCTCCCGGCGATGTCCACCGCACCGATCTGCGCCGTGCGCAGCAGCTGCCGCCGGTTCTCCTCTTGGACCTGGTATCAATAATAGTCATATATTATGGTTAGTTAATGTTAGTTATATTATTTTGGTTAGTTAAAGAGTCAAAGAGTATATATGGTATCACATATAGAATGAAGATTCCTATATAATTGCGGTTAGTGATGTTAGTTATATATGAACGTGGGTAAAAACAATAAACTAATGCGGGTAAACAATAAACCACCCATGACTCGGAATGGTAAACATACCACCTATATATTTATGGTGATTTGGGGGATTGTTTATTGTTGTTTTACCCAGTGATGAACTATGATGAACTATGTATAGAAATGATATATCACATTATCACATGTGAACTTTGTTTGCTTGGTTACAGTTAACTGTAATTAATAATTAAGCATATATATTTATCCAAATAGGGGTGAATGGGGTGAAGGATGCGCACAATCGGCCAAATGTAAGTCAATGTATCTATCTATGTTGATATGTCATCACAAAGGCCGACGCATGAGTGCCGCCGAATGCTGTCCTTCCAAATGTCGGGCAACTGCAGTATCTCAAGTATCTTGCCGCGCCTCGCTTGGAAGGGTGGTGGAAGCATTCTTCAATTTAACTGAAGAATCTCTCCTTCCCCATCGCCAAAAGAAGCATGGTTCACAAATCAACAGGCAGTTGCAACACCCTGCTCTGGTAGTCAGGATGCTGATCTCAGCAAATGTACCGCATAAAAATTTAGACACATGTAATTACTCATGTCCGCAACGGGGTGTGGCACCTCCAAATAACACGCTCAGCAGAATCCAAGTCGCTGTGTGGCTGGCATGGCGATGAAACCCGTTGCTATTGGATAGGATTCGTCGGCGTCCTTGGCATGTCCACCCATGGGGGCTAACATGCTGCAGTGCCCTTCCGCCCCTCCGCATAAACTGCAACGCGATGATTTCAAGAAACTTTTCGGCATGTCATATGTCCTACTGCCGCAGAATGTCATCTTCCAGTTGGTGCCTAGAACTTCATGGCCTTCTCTGCCCTGTTCCACTGCCCTGAATGAGCCTTCTAACTTCCATCCGCTGCACAAACATGCCCCTCCGGTTTGTCTGCCTTTGATAAAACCCATGGTATCATATCACATCCCATTAATTATAGTTGATCTATTCGATATTATATATATATATTATAAATATATATCATTATATATCTACCTATATCAGATTATCATATCACATCCCATTATATCACGTTATTATATCCTTCATTTCATGCACATCGATGATGAACTCCCCGGCCCTTGGCCGAACTCACCTTGTGATGCTCATCAGCTCCGTGCAAGGCATCGAAATCCTCCAGGTGTTGGATCAGCGAGGCCTTGTCCAAATGCCCTGGGAAGTCCATGCCACGAATCTCCTGGAGAAACAATGGACAGGGGAAACTTCGGTTGGGCTTCAAAGGGCTTCAAAGGGCTTCAAGTGCAAACTTTTGTTGAGAGGTGGTTTGCGAGAGATGGTTGGTGGAAATTCCAGTGGAAATGTCACAAATGTCCTCAAAAAAGTGCCTGCTGTGGTTCTGTGGTTTGGTCGAAGGATGCAGTATACCCATGATAGGCTCCTACCACTTAGAAACATTTGGAAACCACTTCGAAACCGAGTTGTGATTAGCCTTAGATAGCATTATGGCCATCTACTGATTACAGCTCAGCATAGCTCAACTGCAAGGGGTCCATCATTGCAGGAGCCCCATCGGAATCATTGACATCAATCTCAAAATATCTCAAGAACCAAGATTCAAAGAGTTCTCTCAGCTGCAGCGTGGAAAAGTTCCGGAAGGTTTGCCTGGGACAGTGACATCATCGTGGCAGGAGTATACAGGCTTTGGAGGCGAGATACCATGGTTTTGGACAGTTGTTTCTTACTCAACTAGTTATTTTGTGACATCTAAATCTAAATTGCATCTATATCTATATCTATCTATATATATATATTTATATTTATATAATGATATCCAATTGCTAAAATTACTATACCATCCTACTTCCTCAAAATATCTCATCACATTCAATCATTATGGCTTTGCAGGAAAATAGGCATCATCCCATTCCATCCAATGATTTGTCATTATTTTCTCTACTATATAGCCACAAAATCAGGGGGTACCCATATGGGTCCGTCTGTCAATGGGGGACACCCACTGGCAATGGCAATTTCATATGGTCAATTCGATCATGGACCATTCGAAAAAATGGGGCCATCATTCTCCACAGAGCCCCCTGGGGCCCCTGGCCTCCCAGCCCCTCGGCTCTTCCGCAACTTGGTGGGTGTCAAGTTGGGATGTCGTCCACCGGGCAGCCGCGGCTGGGTGCCACAGATCTTCTTCAAGCGCTCCCGGATCCAAAGGAGATCCTCCTGCAGGGAACTGGGGAGTTGGTCTTTCTATTGAACTCTTATTAGGATTCTTATAAGTGATATATACAGAAACGATATCTTAAATGAATGAACAACATAACCAAGGAAACAATGGGTGCTAGCTAAGTTTTGCCAGAATTCTGGTCTACATCGTCTACATCATTCTGTTGAAAGGGAGGCCTGGCTGCGCCGATAACACACATGAACAACAAATAGTGTGGTGCGAGGAGAATACTTTTTCCGACTGCCCCATGTGGCAATTTGTTGTAGGGACCGAGATCACGTGAGTGAATGGAAATGGCCCCAGAATGCTATGTCACCTTGTTGAAATGCCAAGGCCAAGCACAAATACAGACCTCCAAATGCTCAGAAAACCACTTGCTAGACATGCCAAACAGCCTACATTTCCCTCGGCGCTTTCCAAGCACCAAGTGCCGTCCTTCGCCGGGGCAACGACTCTGGATTTCGCTGGATGCCAAATTAAGGAAATGTTCCTTGCAGGCGCGCAGGGAGCAACTGATGCAATCCTACCCGCTGTAGCGTCGCCCCCAACTACTGTAGGGAGCCTAACTGAATAGTTGTACGGTCTACAAGGTTTTCTCGGGGGGTCTTGAATATTGGGGGACCATCAAACTCATCAAACAACGTGAGCCGTGTGCATGCATTCATGGCTCTGTTTGGATGTTAGATTCAAACGATATAACCTTGGTTTGAATCCAATGCTTTGAAAGAACAAGCTGGCTGCTACTCGCCAGCATCGCCCTTTTCATGAAACAACCCTTGACCAAGCCATGCAAAAGGCTCAACCTGTTTAGGTTCACACAGGAATCCTTGATCTGCATGCCAGAAAGCAACACTGCAAGGGCACCCAAATAACCAGCCCACAGATGCAGTTGACCCTTGACATCAAGGATAAGCCAATGGGATGGGTTTAATATGCTTCATGGTCCTTCATGGTCATGCGGAGATGAACAAGAAATATATCCTGCATCGTCCTGCAGTTGCACCAAGCTTCTCATGGTTGACCTTCCAGGGCATGATAGCCGACTCAGAACGACTCAGAATGACTCACTTCATCTCGCTTCACCCTGGTCATTTGATCTTCATCACAGTCCCACAGTCAGTTCCACAGTTCTGCCCGGCCTTTTGCATGGCCATCCACTCGGCATCATAACACAAGGGCACCACAGCTGGCACCGGAGGCTTCTGCTGCCATTTTGGGGCTGGCAGACTTCGCATGGCCGAGGGTGTCCGGGGATCGATGTCTAAGACCTGGCCGCGAGGAAAGACATGGGACCTTCAAAGTTGCGAGGAAAGACATGGGATACATTGGGATACTGGATGCGATAAGATGCACTTAAGATGCTCTGAGACTCTAAGATGCTCTGATATGCTCTGATGATATAACTAGATTCACTGTAACTGTAACTAGTTTTGTTTGAGGCATTTCTGCATGGTGGTTTCACCTGATTCCCCCCAAAAGATTGGTCATCTGGGGGTAAGATCCCAAGTATATACAGCGGATTTTTAGACACATTTGAAACCAACATCCCTGCATTCATGGTATTAATAGGATATTAGTGATAAAATGGTATTTATTGATGGTATAGTACCACGCATATCCCATAATTTCACGCTGTGGCCGGTGCCTGCAAAAATTCTCGGCCGCCTCTACAGCGCTCCAGCGCCAAGAAGCGAGTGAAAGTGCCATCACCGTGAGGCACCAGGGCTGGAAAGCGCACCTGCGCAAAGGAAAAACCATGAGAAAGCCATGGGAAACCATAGGAAAATATGGAATAATGTAACTTAAGCATTGAAAATATGGGTTCTAACCGCTAAAAATGTTGGAACTATGTTGGAACTTCACATACAGTAACCGAACCATGAAACATGATCGAACATTGAGAGATAACGTGGTATAACGTGGTTCAAGCACGAAATCATACGAAATCTATCGAAATCTGATATTCCATGCGTTGAAGAGAGGCCATCATGGCTACCAATGTCCAGGCTGAGGGGCCTGCAAACTGGCGGAAAACCAAAAAGGTGGCCGAAGCTTCTTCATCAGTTCCATGGCCGCAGGACTGCCCAAGGTATTACCTGGACATGACCGTTGAAATGGATTCACATGGGCAAACATTCAGAAGTTTTTGTAAAAAAGGCATATGTTTTGGTCGTTATGGTTGGTAAATGCTGATAAATGTTGATAAATGTTGATAAATGTTGATAAATGTTGATAAATGTTGATAAACTACACCAAATTTGGAACTCACATAGCACAAAAAGCTTCAACCGGAACCGGAAGTGCGCCTTCCATTTCTCGCTTGAGGTTCTCTCCCAAGTCCTGCCTTGGATTGCTAAACGATTAAAAGTCATCGCTTAAATTGCGATGAAAAGTCATAAAACACCAGTAAACATATATATAATATACCAGTATGTTATAAAACCCACCAGTCATAAAACACCAGTATATATTCATAAAATCCAATAAACAATACAATTAATTCATTCAAGACCAGGTTTGTGGCAATCTCAAAGATCAGGAAATAAGAAGTCCTCTTTTGTAAAAGTCCACACCCATACTGAAATCTATCTCTGCTTTCCAATAAAAAATGGCTCCGCAAGAATATGACCCTGAAATACCCTGAAGAATGTTGGTATTCACACTAAAACCATAGCTGGCGTTGAAAATGGCGTTTGAAGACGAGTCACCAAATTCACGGTTTCAACAAGACTAGCATCATCTCACACAAGCAATCCAAGGTTAAAGGTACACATTCATTTAACATCATTTGACCGACCTACCTGAATCTTGGCATTCGTAGGTGATGATGCATGTGCAGGATCCTTGGCATTCTGTAGAAGCTATAGCTACATAAATCAAAAGCCTGGACACTGCTCAATGATCTTCTGGTACGGTCCGTGCTTCCAGATTCCTCACCGGAAACGAACAGGAATAGTCTCTACAACTGTACGGCGACAGGTCATGCTGAGTTATAACATGTTATATACATGTTATAACTATCTTCAAACTCCTGGTGGCAAATGCTGGTCGGTGGTTTCAACCTGTACCGGAACAAATGAGTCAATTGGGATCATCAGTGCAGGTAGGATGGAACACAAACAACTCATCAAATCACGAGCCAGAATCCTCAATCACTAGGGCCAATCTACCCGGTCAATGAGAAGACTAACTGCAAACAAACCCAAGAGTTGTAACTTGTTGCAGGGCCTGTCATGGTAGGGGGACCAACTCAACAGGCAAGGCAAGTGGCCTTAGATGGCCTTAGCACTTCACTATCTGCCGGAATCGGCTTCAAGGAAAACTCACAAAAGAACTCGACCTTCTGTAGCTTGTCTGAAGCTATGGCAAAAACACCTCTCTCCCTGTCTCTTGTTTATTTCCCTTAAACCCTTAAACAGTATAACAATGGCATCGGCATGGTGTTCCTTTGCGGCTCATCCAAATTTCGCAGGGATAGCGGCAAAGTGCATTTACAACGGGGATTGCAAACTTAGCTGAATATAACTGGAATCCATCACAGCCCATCATTGATCATCATTGACTCAACCTGCTCAACCGGCAAATATGAAAGAACAACCCTTGCCACCCCGCATTTCACAGCAAAACACGGAAAAAACACAACATGTCATGGATATTCACTCCCCGATTCATCTACAAGAAAAGCATGGGTTTTGGCTCTTCTACATGCCTCACTGCCTCATAATCCTTCTTGGCTTGTGGTGATCGATGGTGATCGCCAACAAAACCGGGCCCCATCAGATCAGCTCCTCGTGGCCAATCGTAGGAGATCACCACATCCACTGGCTCTTGCAACTTCTCGAGGCGCGCAGCATCCCACTCCCGGGCATGGAAGGCGCTCCGCTTGAACTCCTAAGGAAGGATACGGAAAGCAGTGCCGATGTTCCATTGATGTTGATTCATTAAAGCAATAAAAGTAATATAAGCATAGTCAGCATAGTTACATGATGTTACATGGGAATCATCTTGGAATATCTTGGAATACTCTGCTGTTGCTCTTGCAATGGTGGATTTAATTAGACCTCGAGTGCTTTTGAAAATATCAAGTGGGGCCAACACAATCCAAAAGACACACCTGGCAGCCATTTTCTTCCAGGACCAGCCCATGAAACCCAGCTGGATGAGACCAGCTCCTCCGTGTATGGTGGACACTCATGCCGTCCTCGAAAGTAATCACCTGAGACATGGCTTCAAGATGTTGAAAACCCCACAGAAAGCAGAATAACATCATAGTCAGCGTCCCACACCACCATGTCCAGACTCAGTAACTGCACATGCAAAATTGATAGTACAAGGATGTACATCACACACACACATTGAACATCACACACACACACGCACATATACATATAAGATTATATAAGATCAGTTTCCAACATATATTATATATGCTTTCAAGACCTTTCACCAAGTCGCCTGAGGCAAAACTTCCAGAGATGCCTGCAATGCGCAAACAACCAACACGCAGCACGCCAGCAGCACCCATGTAATAAATGCCAGGAGCAACCCAGCCGCCATAGTAGTGTTCCCGAAGCCTGGCGATGACTTCTCATGTGGGACTCGCCCTGGCTGCCATTTCAACCATCCCAAAAAAAATCACCATGTATCACCATACATGGGTGGTAAAATCCATGGTAAAACCCATGCCCATGATAGGTTTATGATGGTGCAGATGGCATTGGTTGAATCCCACAGGCATTATTTGGCTACATATGGGGCCATATGGCCATACCATGGCAGACCATAGTTTGGTTCCCAGAAGGGGTACCAAACTCCAAGAGTAACTCTGAAACTTGGCGAAGCCAAGGATGCCAAGGCACAGGTTTGACGCTTCATTCTTCCCTCCGATGAACACAGTGGTCACTGGAGCCTCACAGGATCTCACAGGATCAAACAGGCTCTGGTTGCTGTGACTTTAACATACTTTAACCCTTAACCTGAACACTGAGCAAGACTCAAGTGCATTGAACTTTCAATAACAACGTCAAGAAACTGTTTTTTTTAAATATCAGTTGCTGAATCCGACCAAATAAGTTGCGGAATCATTTGTTGCTGAATCCACATAAGTTGCTGAATCCGAATTTGTTCCAAGATGATGCAACCAGCACAGCCGACTGTACTAGACTGCGCATGACTGCACACGCATCGTGGAATCGTTGAGATCGAGATCAGGTTGCCAGCATTGCCAGCATTTGCCAATGGCTTTGCCAGCGCATGTGTTGCACACACACTGCAATTTAGCCACGCGAAGGTGCTAAGACTTTTGAACCTTCGATGCGCAGCCGCTTTGGAGCCTCTGGCCTGTCTGGTGTGCTTGTCTCCGGCTTTGCCTCGGACGTATCAACTTCTTTGGCTTTGGAATCCTCTGCTTGAAGCTCCTTGAGTGCTTCTGGCGTCAGAACGGAAGCTCCAATGCCCTTCTTCTCTTCATATGGCTGAGACATCTGCAATAAAAAGTTTCCAGCTGCTTCCACTGCAAGATCCGTGGCCATAAAAACATGCCCTGGCTCCAAGAAATGCCGGATCCAATCTGGGATTTTTGAGCGCTTGTCGCTTCTAGCATACCGCTGGTCTGCAAAAATCATCACACCGTAGTCACGTTTGGAACGAATGACTCGGCCTAGACACTGTGATGCTTGCCGCATCGCGTCAAAATTTAGAAATTCGGACTCCTTGATATCATAGTGCTGACGGAGGAACTCCAACCTGGCTCTCAGCTCCCTTGACAATGTGTATTGGAAGGGCACACCAAACAGAACGACACAACGGCCGTAATGTCGATCAAAGTCGATTCCTTCAGCAACCTTCCCACGTGCCACAGACAGAAAAACGGCTCCTTGACCAGAGTCACATGCCTGACGATACAGGTTCAGTGCATAGGTCGTGGCCACCACATCCGCAGTCTCGATGAAGAGGAGCTTGTGCTGCAGCACCCTGGAGATAACACCAGTCTCATACCATTTCTCCAGAACTTGCTCCAAGTAGCGGTAGGAGGTGAAAAAGCATACAAGGCCATCAGGAATGGTCTGCACCAGCTGCTCCAATAAGCTGCCATAGTTCTGAACCACACTGGGATCCTCTCGCAGGCTAAACCGCGATGAGATAGGCACTTGGTCAGGCCCATGGGTCACGATCAATGGACACAGGCATTTCCTTTCCATAGTGATGGAGAAGGACTCTGTTGCCACCACATTGGACATGCCCAAAATCTTTGGATACATTTCCAGAGGCGAAATGGTACCAGAGGTCAAGACAACGGACTGATATCGCTTCAGCACAGGTCTGATGGCAATCGAGGCATCCAAGCATCTCAGAATTAATGTTGGGTCGTAGATACCTTGTGCCTCCGGATAGGGATCCACAATAATCGTAAAACCCTGAGAATATGTACCCAGCAGAGTGACGAAGTCCGCAACCTTCGTGATTGGAGTAAATTCGTCTAAGTTTGCCACCTGCAAGGTATTCAACAAAGAGCGAAGACGTTCATGGCAAAATTTCAATGACTTGGAGTCAACCTCAGCATCCTCTTCCAACTTGTGCGAAATCGAGAGAGGGCCCTCGCATTGCGCGCGCTCAACGTGTAAGTAGCGTCGGAAGAAGTTTACAACACGTCGAAGCAAGGCGACAAAATGCTCAGCCCGGCGGATGTTCCCGGGAACGGCCTCCGTGACTAAATCCTCTGGTAGGACTGGGCTCTGCAGCTGGTCAGCCATCGCATCATCGATCTGCCCAGCTTGTCGCAAACCCTGGACCAGCCGCTTGTACTCCTCCTGAAGACGTGATGCATCATCCCTTTTTACTCGGTCGATTTCATTTCCCAGCCTTGTCAGATTGCCAAAGGACTGATCCAGCCTTTGGCGATTCAGCTTCACGCTGAGCGACTCAATGCAAACATCGTCAATGTTGTGCGCCTCATCAAAGACCACAATGCTTGGTTCAGTTGCAGTGGCGGGACCTTGGCGACGGGCAGCAGGCAAGCTTGGAGCTCCTCCTAGTGAGGAAGCCATTGAGACCTTCGGGTCTAAGACGTACTGGTAGTTGAGAACTACCACGCTGGCTGCATGGATAAGACGTCGGGCTGCATAGTATGGACACCAGCCGAAGCCCTCTTCTAAGCCTTTTGCCCTCAAGTCCTCAATAGTATAGATGCCTGTCTCTAACAGCTGCGACTGATGGTTGAGAGCAGCTTCGTACTTCTCGAAGTGTGCGCAACCACTTGTTTTGCCTTTCTCCCGGGCCCATGGTGCAGTCAGTTGTCGGCACATCTCGTCCACGCGTTCTCTGTCGCCTTCTTTGCTGACCTCTGGGTGCACGCACATGTTCCTTCTGGCACTGAGGCCGACTGCAAGGATATGTCCAGCTGCAAGCCCTGCCGGCGAAGCTTCATCGCCGCTGCCTGAAATCTCTTTGGCCAATACCTCCACTCGGAAGTCGATCACCTTCCGAAGCTCCTCCAAGGCTTTACTCATCTCTGGAACTGTCCGCGTGCAGTAAACAAGGCGTCCCACTTCAGGGTGTGCCCATTGATACGAAGTGATCAGTGAAAAGAGGGTCACGGTTTTACCTGTGCCAGTTGGCATTTCCAGGACACTGTTGCCCTTGGCATCTAAGGCCCGCTTAAGCTCGCACATATATCGATACTGCTCCGGGTAAATGCTGTCATATGGGAAGAACACCCGGAGATCGCCGATGAAGAAAGTGAAGCCCATTCTTTGACTGCTCAAAGGACAAATCCTGACCAGGGGCAGACTCCTATACACTCGCCTCTGCAGTGGTACTGGTGACTTTCAAAATCTGCAACTCAATGCCTCGCCTGCCATGGCCTCGCCTGCCATGATGCCTACTGATCAAGAACCCTTGAGACCCTTGAGCTAATGAAGCAAAGATTTCTTCTGCCCAGTGAACAGTTTGGTCAAACAAGCGTTTGGAGCAAGTGTCCTCCCTAGAGGTGGAATAACGATGAATACCCTGAATACCCCAAATGCACATCAGTCATAGATTTGTGGGTGCTGGGATGGCCAGAAAAACATTCAAGGTTGATGAAGTTTGTAGGTACCCTGGCTGCTTACTCGACAAATCCAGGATTAAAAGATATTAAAAGTCCAATGAAAGTCATCCCTCCACTTGGCCAGACACACTGTGGTCACATATGACGCTTCACAGGAAAATGCCGAGTCTACATGCAAAGTGTTTTGCGGCTGAGAGCCAAAAAGCACATGAAAGGAGCATTTCCGCGGCAACAGGCTGTTGCGGCATTTGCTGACAACAGAAATGCTACAGGTGCCGTGCCCCTAGAAACAAACAGCCAGTCACACAGGAAGAAAATATGGCCTGTTGCAAAATATTATTATGCTTTGTTTCAGCAATCTGCACATATGCGCAGCATCGAGTTGCACCTCACTTCTGCCGCTGAAATACTTGGGAAAGTCTTTCAGGTCCTTTCAATCTTGAAGATTTGGAACGACGTTGTTAAATTGGTGCAGCACAGCAATTGCTGGCTGGTGGCTTCCATAAAGCTGCAACCATCGCCCCAAAAATGCATGACCTGCTGGGCCCCAAGGGAGAAAGTCCTCTTTATGATGCGCTGGCGCTGCCACATGCTCCATGTCTTTCCTGGCTTTTGTCTCACAGAGTCGCCCAGCACAAACAATTTTTAGTAACCTGCGACACGAGGTTTCCCTTCTTACCCCTTGACGTGAGTGCCGGGCACCAGCTGCCGAAAAACGTACAACTCACATCTTTGCTGGATCTAAAACTGCGAGTGTGACTTCAGGTATCTATAGAAAATCCTTAAGCCGAATCATAGGACTCAGGATATATCACAATATTATGGTTGTTATGGTTGCTGTAACCATCTGTAACTTATCAACCTCCATGTTTCCATGTGGCCAACCACGACAAGCACCGAGAAAAATCTACGAAACGCTAAGCCGCTAAGCGACTCATCGCGGACGGACATGAAGTCGCCACAGCAGATCAATAGGTCGATGGTGATTCCCTGTTTGGCGAGTTTCCTCGCCGGGGGGCCAGGGCTTTTTCTTGGGATTGGGCCAGGGCTACAGTGTACAGGATACTACAGGATGATTGGAACGAAAAGGTTTTTGTTTTTTTTGGGATTCGCAGTTACAGTCTACATAGACTATGACTATTATGATGAATGTGGAACCAATCGTAGAACCCAAATGTATTTTTTCGCATTACTTCTACATAGTTCTTCATCCATGCCCGCATGTGACAAACGCACACCATGAAGCTCAGTAAGCCCACAATGAATTGAGTCGTCATAAGCCCACACCCAGTCCTGACAGCTTCATAAACCCTGTCCAACTCGCCGTAGCACGAGCCAACAACCTTGGGACATGGCGCAGCAGTGAGTGATTAGTTAAAGGTCATCTTTACAGGAAATCACATGAAATTGCAGGGTTTTCCACTACATATGAGGGAAAACAAATATGAAAACAACATTTTTTTCCTTAAACACGTCCCTTAATTATTTATGGTGAGTGGTGAGGCTGTTGTAAGGTCGCTCAAACATTCCAAACAAATCCGATCACATGATTGACTTGGCCATGGTACCCCCTGTTTAACTCTACCCGTGAGGCGTCAGTGGCATGTGATACTCATGATATCTGCATCACCAAGTGGCACCAATCTTCATTCTAGATCACCTAAAAGCCAACACATAGCAAGCATGGGCAGAGATCGGGCTGATCATGCTGATCTGACAGGACATGAACTGGGACAAAAGCTCCCTCAACGACCACAGAATGTGGTACAGAATCCATGATTCCAACATATACCAAAACCATATAGGACCACTGTCAGCTGGGTTGCGCTTGTCCGGCAGGTTGCTTCATGAGCCTGGTTGCCTGCCACAACGAAGCTGTCTACTCTGCCACATCATTGGAAGGCCAATTCTAACCTGAATGAAATATTTGTGCATTTTGTGGCGGCCTGGATCTGGCGAAGGAATCTGAAGTCTGTGTTTCAACATTCATGCCACCCTTAACGCGTCCTAGAATCCACATGCTTTCCACGGTCAAATAAGGTTTGTTAGGGGCCTGAAGGCTCCTGGTTTGACAATGTTTGACCCACATCCATCTTCGGCCTTCGCATTCTCTGATCATCCAATCTCTGCTGGCTCTGTGGTCGCAAATAGGGGCGTGTCAATCCCAACCGTGTAAAAAATGTGGATGATGATATGTGTTGATGATCACAGGGCTAGAAAAGAATCTCTGGTGAGGTTGTCCTTTGCCCGGGAATAATATCCTCGCAAAGGCAACACTTTGATTTTCAAACAACAAATCATGAACCTTTCGTCCCCAACCTCAATCAATCTACCTTCTGATCAGCCTTAGCATTTCGTTCATCTCTTATGAGTGCATGACTCTGTGGAATCTCACCTTGCCTTTTATATGTGAAAATTGTGCAAGTATGTGCAGCTGAAACTGAGCCAATCCACAAGCATGGTCTCTGTGATTCAGGTGATCTAAGGCAATCCGTCCCAGCTGCAAAACACAAACGGCAACACGCAAATGCAACGCATCTGCCACTTTTATTCACGTTAGATGTGACATAGTCACACAAATTTTAGTAATGTCTGAAGCGATCGAATCTAATCGGAGTCGCATCTATCCGCTCGTGTGGCAGTGCTGTAAAGTATCTGTGAAGTTTATGCGAACAAAGCATGGAGCAGTTGACCCATGACCGCCATGGCCCGACAAGTGAGAGTCGCTTCAAAATCGGCTCCTCAGAAGCGAAAGTGCCTCAGCTGGACGTCATGTCATTGGCCACCATGCTGCAGGCATAGATGTCATCTGATGTTGCTTGGCTCATTTGGCTCGTGGTGTGTTTGGTTTCAACATGTTTCAAAACAGTTCTACAGTTGAAGTTTAGCTGAAAGGGAGAATAAACACGTTGGAACTGGCAAGGCAACACACCCAATGATCGTCGAGAAGCAGCAACACTGGCAGCACCAGCGATAAATGCGCAGGCAGTGGTACCCAATAGCTGCTGCCTGTAGCGCTTTGGAGGAAGTCTGGCCGCGAGGTCCGTTCCGGAGGCGTTACATTGAACAGGATACTGCTCGTACTCAGGCCACGTCTCCGCCTTGGCTCAGGCACCAGGGCTGAAGCACGTGCAGTTGCAAAAAATAGTGGGAGCTACTCAATGTATTGGCTCCCTGTCTCCACACTTAGCATTCCTACACAGCAGGACCACCAAAACTTATATCGTACCTGAGATGAAAATCATTAAACAGCACGAAAGCTCAGGTCTACAGCCCCTTGCCACTTGCCAAGATGCAAACAGGTTCAGCATTGAAATCGTGGAACGCCTATCGATATGTTCGGTATACTCGCAACCTGCATGCGTTTAACATGTTTGAATGGGAAGGGTCCTTAAGTTTGACCCATAGCATCCTATACCCGAACGGATATGGCCATGGTTTATGGGGAGACCCACTCTCAACCCACCTCAAAATAGGTTTCAATATGTTTCAAACCGCATATGTCATAGTCATATAGTGGTAATTTAAGATATCTTTTTATATCTTGTTAAAAAATAAATCTATAAAATATAGTGTAGTTACTATAGTTGGCATGATCTTCACCAGTGATCCTACAATGGGAATGGGAAATCATGGGAAGCCAACCATCACCTTTTCACCCGCCTGGGACTCCCTTGCCCAAGGCAAATCCGTGGGGTCCCCGTGCGTGGTTGCTGAAGCGCCAGTCGATCTTCTGCGCATCCATCCTGTCATAGAATTGGATGATGGGAAAATTTACAGGAAAGCCCTATATTTGATGGTAAAAACCATGGTTTCCTGTAGATTTTCCCTTAAACCAATCCAATGATCCTGCCTGATACCCTCTGGTGAACTAACATAGCAATGGAAAATCACCATTTTTAATGGGAAAATCCACTATTTCTATGGCCATTTTCAATAGCAAAATGTTAGTTCACCATCCTGACAAAGTTGAAAAACAACCCAAATCAGAGGAAATTTGGAAGTTTACAATGTCCAATTCTCAGCAATGTTTGCACAGTTTTTAAGACTAATTTTCTAGTAATGTCTAAGGAAATTCTGGGACAAGCATGCCGAAGCCATGCCAATCAAACGTCACATCGAAATGTACACAAGGCAAACAACAAGTACAACAAAATACAACAGGTCACAGGAAAACACTCACCGTTGTCATGTCCCTGTTTTAGTTTGGAACTTAGCCATTGCATGGCTATGTTGTGGTCAATAGACTATAGACCCATTGACCTTTCCAGTGGCCAGAAAGCCGAGCATCTCCTGAGCAAAGTCCTCAGGATTTGGGGGTGCCCCCATGACTATGGAAACCCATGGAAACCTCCATGCCCCATATCAACATCATGAACCATGAATCATGAACATGCTTCTTGATTCATTATCAAGTCTGGAATTCCAGGAGCGACGCTATGGGCGACTTGCGACAATTTGGCTTTGCTGTGCACAATGCAAGCTGGAAAGCTCCGCAAAACAGCGAATGCCAAGCTGTCATGACTGAATGAACATTACATCGTCAGAAAATCTCAGCCCATACGTCATGAATCGTCATGATATATTCTTACGAGTTGATCATGCATAGTTCCAATAGTGTTCCATTGAACAAGGAGGATGTCACCATGACCCCGCAAGAATCCTGAAGGATCCAAAAGGCCCAAGGCTCTACTATCGTGTCTTTGGGAACTTCTTGATCCAAATCGCCGTTCTCGATGAGAACTCGGCACTCCGTGTTGTAGTTGTTCGGTGCGGCAATCTTTGCATCGTACCTGGTGAAGCTCTGACTGTGTTGACCATCTTTAGATGATCTGCTATCCCATGCATTAGAGGTTGGGAATTTCCATTGCTCCATCGGAGGTATGATTTAAGGTATGATATCCAGGATATATATATATATATATACACAGATTATGCAACTATATATTATATGATCGTAATCGCATATATATATATATATATATCCCACAAAGATCCACAAAGAGTGTCACAGTAAATGGGCAGGAGATCTAAGATATAAGTGACATTGGATACGGTGTGTATATGCAAATGTATCATGTAAGTAAATTATATAAGTAAATATATCAACAATAACAATATATTTATTTAAACACACACACACCCCTGATATGTATATAACACTTAACATATGTGATAAGTAGTCAACATAAAACACATGTGACAAACACGGAGTGCACAATCGAGCGGCTCATCCTTGGGAACGCGCTTGGCAGAGTTGAAGGGTTCAGCTTCGGTGGTGGGTCTGGAGTGCAGCAGCCCATGGAAGGTGCAAACGGCCTGAAAAAATCGATCTGGATCTGCATGGCATGGCTGTTAGGAGTCAAATCAACTGGTGAATACTTGAAGAATTTGGTCTCTGAAGCTTCCAATCTGAAGGTCGGGTAGACTATGGTAGACTGTAGAGAAGGCAGAATTGTTTCCAGCATTCTGCTGCTGACATTGCAAACTTAAACTACAGCATGAGAAAATCCAAGAGAAAAGAGTCCATGTCCAAGCTCTTGTGGTAGCCTGCACTGGATGACCTGCACGCACATGTTCCAAACAGCTTTGACCACCCAAGCAGTAGCCAAAAGCTCCCGCCAAGCCCTTCTTCACTGCAGGATGCTGGAAGGCTTTCCTCCGCCGGAAAGGCATGCGGGGTCCATGGATCTTCCAGGATCTTCCTATAATCCCTTCCCCCTATTGCTGAACCACCCCCAAATAACAAAAACTAGGGCTAGGGTCCGTCTCCAATTTTGGAAAATTTGAGGTTGGCCTATTTGAGTTTTAATTGATCCCTTTAGAAAACAATTTAAAAATGAAGCTACCATTTCAGGGTTTCACCCCCTAATAATAAAAACTAGTCAACCCCGGGGTGCTTTCTTTTCATTAGGGTCCGTCTTTTAAGGTCGAAAAAAGACAGTATTATATATTAAGGTTTTCAATTTAATATTAGGGGAAAGCTTCGAAATCCAATTTTTGGCAATATTCCAATTAGATTTGAAAAGGAAATCAAATCGATTTTGAAATTTTAAATTTACAATTAGGGGGAAGCTTAGCACCCGAATAATAAATACCACCAAATAATAAAAACTACCTGAGGTGTTGATTATTTGGGGGGTGTAGTATTAGGGGGAAGAGATTAGTTTGGAGCTTGGGCAGTTGCTCCATACAATAATCAATAATATGCAAAGTGCAATGATATGCAATGATCTTTCTGGCTCAGGAGTGGCGTAAAAATGATACCAACCTGAACGTGAAGCCGGTGAAACAACGGGAAACATGACATGATCTCAAAGCGGTGCCTGGAATTTGCATTCCTAATGGGGAGAAGGATGGTAACCTAAGTGATTTGGGGAAGCCCCAATTGGAGACGCTCCTATGCACACCGAACAGCTGGGGGATCGCTTCTCAACCAGCCGATAAACCTGTGGGCTGTTCACACACCATTCCACTAAGAAATAATCCAAATGATCGCTATTTGGTGAGGAATCCGCCTAATTCATCAACCTCAGGGTTCATTTAATTAATCAGCATCAATCAGCCATTTTTTGGATAAATTGTCCTACAAGCCACTGAAAATATAGGGATTTCCTGATTTCCCAGCCAGCCTAATGTTTCCTGAGTTGACATTGGCTGAGCCAAGCTTCTCCAAGTATGCCTTCATCATATCCCGCCAGCCAGCTGGGTCGCAAAGGACCCGACGCATTTGAATGAACCCACCCAGAAAATTCCGAACCAACTGAAAGTCTACTCTGCCTGGACACCCCAGGACTGCTCAGGGGCACAGGATGTCATGGTGACCTCTTTTTTTGAAGGATGGTAACGGCATTACGGGATGCAGTGCGGGATGCTTCACGGGGAATATCAATCCTGGATTAAGTAGTATCAGCCTGTATCAGCCGTCGTTGAAGGATGTTGAAACGGGATAATGCCCCAAGAAAATAACCCTCTGGCAATCAAACATGGCAATGGAAAGCACATTATATATATATATATTATTAAAGAATAATAGATAGTTCATCCGGGTATGTTGCAACAAGTCAGGTTTTGATCTATATAAGTTGCAATCAAAACGGCCCCCCAACAAGCAACCCAGTTTTCTCTCCTGGTAACACGCCTTGTGCATCCTTTGGCATAGCATTGAAGAACAGGTCCAACTCTTGCCTCGATTGTTCGTCTTTGGATTGGGGGGATTTTGCAAAGAGGATGGTAGAAGATACATCGACGACTTAAGGTAGTTAACTACTCCCAGCAAACATCATTGATTTATTGAAGGATTCACTCCCTCGGCATTGTTTAGCCTGCACAATCTAAATGCATGATCAGTTAATTATGTGCGTATAGCATGTATGATTACATAGACTGAGAGAGAGAGAGAGAGAGGGCGACGAAAAAAAACAAATAATAAAACAACTTTCATAAAATGGGCTGCTTGGTGGCACCCAGAATATGGGTAAACCTAGCTGCGGGCTGTACTCCGAGGGATTTCGCTGCAAGAGATTCTCAGCTTTGGCGCAAGCGTGAAAGCCATCTCGATCGACCGGTCGTCCGGAGACCCTTGCCCTGTCGTAGCAAGTAAAAGAAGGAGTCTCCTGGTACAGATCCACGGCCACGCCCACATAGCCCGCCCTGAAGTTGAGATGGTCAAGAGTTTTGGAGAACTACCATGAAATGGCAGATGTTCAACAGTTTCAGTCAGTTTACAATGGTGTTTACAATGGTGTTTACAATGGTGTTTACAATGGTTGCTTGAAGTATGCTTGAACTATCCTGCTCTGGCCTTGCAATGAAGCACGCTTGATCCACATCAAACTGTTTCAGGCCACAGTAGTTGTGGTGGACCAGAATCACCGGTCTAGGATCACGACCCTTGACATAAGCGATCCGCCCGAACTTGTAACAGTAGCCCCCAAAAGTGATGGGAAACTCCTCCACGATCAGGTCCCCAGGCTTGGCCTCCGCACCAAAGCTTCTCCAAGATTTCGGGACTTCGGGCACAACATCATGACAATTCATGTATATGATCATATAACACTAGGGGTTGAACATTATTATATAACATATGTGATCAAACCGTTGAAATATGTTGAAATAACTTGTGAAAAAAGCACACCATCTCATTTTTGAAAAACACCGGCCAGTTTGTGACTTGGTTTGGTGAGCCCAAACAATTTTTTGCTAGCCGTGGGAAAACCAAAGAGAAGGCCGATGCAAAATGGTACCTGGGGTGACTGCAAAGAAACAGGGGAACCATCCTCCTTTAAATTAAGCTGACCCCCCCCCCATACAACTTTCTAGATAGAAAACCGGTGCCCCTACCGACATCTAGAAATTCAACTTTAAAAACTGACCCCCCCAAAGGAGCATACGCGTTTTTGAATAAATATACTTGTGGTTCCCCAAGGGAATCAATTCCCCCAGGCATCCGTTGTTTTCCTTAATGCGAGCTCCTAAAATTCAAAGTATTCTGCACAAATCTTTGACTCCATAAGCCCGCTATGTACAAGTATCCCACGACTAGAAAATTATGAAAATTGCATTGCGAAGGGTATCCAAAATTAAGGTGGAATCTTCAAAATCTCTAGAAAATCAAAACCCTAGGGTCCCTATAAAAGCAACACAACCACTTGTGCCCATAACATAGCCAATAAATAACCACTAGTTAGGATTCCTGGAAAAAATGCAATTTTCTGTGATGGGAGTGCCATCGGTTTCCCAGAGGAAATTCCAAGGTGGATGGGGGACCTATTTTTTCGTTCGAATACTTTTTGTGCCCCCCCTTATGGACCTTTGGACACAGTTCTCCTCCAGCATTTTTTCTCGGATTCTCCAAATTGGATTGTTCGGCTAGAAAATAATTGAATGACATCATGGAGCATCCATCAAGAGTCATTCCATTCCGCCGTGTTCAGTTCGCACTGGCTTGACTCTGAGTAGCTCAAGCTTGGGGATGCCAGTGGTAACAATTCCCCAGAGGCCCCCTTGCGGCCTGGTCCTTTGGAACTGGCTTCAAGTTCTTGGGCGTAACATACTGGTCACTTGCCAAGCTCGACTGGTCCCCGCCGCACATGGCGCTCACCGCCGCGCTAAAATGCGGGGGTACGAATGTGAGCAATCTTGAGCCCAGGTATCACGAAATGTGTCAAATTCGCTAGCACCCCTTGAAATGAAGCTGAAGGATACGTCGTGACCAAAGGTCTCAATCCTTGTCCGGACCTTTGAATGCCAAGGAGCCCCTTTCACGAGTTGGTGGTTTGGTTTCACCCCTCCGGAAAAGCCATGCAGTTTGGATCATCCTCCATCATCCTCCCATTTTTAGGCTGCAAAATGCAATATTTGAAACCATCAGCCAGTTCACCTTGACTTTGGCATACTTTCTGGCTGAATTTTAATAATTCACTAACCTGAGCAATTGGGGATGGCTTCCCCAATCCTAATCCATATTCCAGTGACATCACGATGTGCCACAGTAGCTCCAGGCTTCCGAACCATGGAGACTTTTTAGCGCCCTGCGGAATCTGGCAGCATGGCCTCTGACCAAGCCAGCTGTCATCAGCTGTCCCTGGTGAATGGAATGAAGGACATTGAAGGACACGTCCGAACCCATCTTTAATGTTCGAAAACATGCTAACGCGCTGTCCTGTACTATATTATGCATTATTATGCTGTATTCCAACCCAAGAAAAAACAGAAACAGAACAGTAGTTTATCAATAGCGACAGGATCATACTTTTCTACCTTTTTGACGCCTCGTCCAAATTTCGAACTTCGCTTGACCCAACTGTCACTGCCTAAGCGCAGCAGTGCCAAAAGCTCCTCATTGCACAGGAAGTGGCATGGGGATGTCGAATTAATGAAGATAACACATATGTGAAACCGCGTGAAACCAGCAGCTCAGCAGTGAAATTGTGCTCTTGTAGAATGAGTGTGAACAAGGAGCTTTTACATGCTTTTACATCTTTTACATTCTTTTACATCCCTTTAACCTTAAAGCAACATAAGGAAGGATTGGCCAAGAAGTAGGTCAAACTTTCTGTACTACAGTAATGATCAATAATCCAGATCATGTTTCGCATACAACATTCATTATCATAATTACCATCATTAAATTATCTGCCTTTAGCTCTTGCTGCTTGCATATTGTGGGCATGCTAACATGTAAGTGAAACACACCAGCGCAGAAAAAGTTGCTAAACAGGTGTGACGAAGGAATATCCCACACGATCGCAGATGCCAGCCTCAACCTCTTCTGTATTGAGGTCCTTCAAAAGGCCAAGGCTTACGTAGCCTAAGTCGCACACAATTGCAGTTCAATTTGTGTCCTTTAGCCATCAACTCTTGCATGTCTAAGTTTGGAATCCACCATTTCAACATATTTCAACATGGTTCAACAATGTCCAACGATAATCTCTGGTTGACGTGTTCAACCCAAGGAAGCTACCAGCCTAGCATTCCCCTGCAGCCGGCCCTTGATGGCCCTTGGGCATCCCTGGGTGCCGAACCATGCCAGGCCAATGTATTCTTCAGCACGCCCAGCTGATGTTCCTGTCGAGTCGATCACTCGATGCTCACAAATTGCTGGTGAGTAACTCAATTTCGAGCAATTTTTTGAGCAACCATAGCAACCCAACTTTGGTGGTGAGTAATTTTCAGCGCCAACCAATTCGGTGTGGTTTGGCTCAAACATTGGTACCATATTGGCATCAAATCTGCTCACACATTTCGCCGGAGACCCACATCCCAACGGATGAGACAGAATGGAACATCATATCAACAGAAAAACCAAGGATCAGTCTTCATGTATGTTTAAGCGATATTCTCAACGCAGCCCAACACATGAAAATATAACCATATATATATATATATGAGTGGTGCTTAGCAAGAGGGCCATGATTTCACCCCTCTGCCTTTTTAAGGCCCTGACAGTGAGCCACGCTTCCATGTCTGGGTCCAAGGTTTCCTGGAGAAGGAGTGGCCTGAGCCGAAGCCGCTCTGCCACAGGTCGCGGTGAATCAGCGTCATCTGAGACCAGAACGGGCTTATCGAAGGCTCCTGGATCTGTAAGTTGCGTCAGAAACCACGGTGTGGGCAACGCCGGGTTCATAGTTTCTACTTGTCAAACTTCATCAAACTTCCCAAATTCTTTTTGGGTAGATATCAGGAGCAGTGACTATATTTCGGTAATTCCAACAAGTTTTGCCAAAACCTGAATTCTGCCACAAGTGCGAAGCAATTATATAGATATATATACAGTATATAGGATCACAAACTTCAAACCTCTTCAGGGAGCCAACGCATGACACGATAAGCGATATCAAATCTATAAACGTTCTACCTGCCCATCTACCCATCAATCTATCTGTCCGCTTAATTATCATACGGCCAGGCCTACCCATCATTCCTGTGACCAACGTGAGGTCATGATACAGCAATTCATCCAAATATGATTGATGATTTCCCCATCAAAGCCTCCATTTATAGTGAATTTACCTATATTTCTAGTGGATAATTCATCGAATCCAGATCTATCCATCTATACATGTATGAATCATATGAAACATAGATGTGACATGACAGTTGCTTCACCAACCTGGCTGTCTGGTGGGTCCGGCCGTGGCACAGTTGCCTGACGCGACTGTTGCGACTGCATTCAGATTCCCCAAACCATTTTTTGGGGACAAAGGCCATTGCGTGTCCCTGTCAGCCTGTTATATGTGTGGGAGTAACTAAGAATGGGTAATTGTAGATATTCTTCCCCTCCGAATTCTGAATGACAAAGCGTTCCCACAGTTTGAATCAGTTTTAGTAGATGGATTTCCTCCCACCATTTTTGGGACAATAAATGCTGATCCACTTCCGTTGGCTTAGCACTTGGCCCCGCGAAGAACTACTGGTCGTCACAACCCCGATATATCCCAATGAAACATGTAAGTCATTATTAGGCTATCATTATATATAATTAAGTTACCCTCTGGTTATTTAACATAGCAATTTTAGGTTAAACAGCCAAGCAAAGCACCTTTTTGTGGCGCTTGAGCTTGAGCCAAATAGTAGTACGCGCCTCTGATACTTCGATCAAGGCAGAGCTTGCAAACAAGGCGTGGAACAAAACGTCCCCCCGCGGCCAAAACTGCCACAAAATGATCTCCAGGTCCAATGGAAATTGCCCGGCCCAATTTCCGTAGGCCCCGGCTTTATGGTGGTTTTTGGTCGAACAGGTGCCTTAAACTAATTTACAAAAACAAGGGCAGTGAAAAGTCCAACTCTCACAGCTGGAAAGCACAGCGAAGGGCGCAGCTGCAGTTGGAGATTCCACAAGCGCCGCCAAAAAGTACATGCCAAAAAAATGCCACCTCTGTCCTTGGGTGGCCCCGCATCAAGTGCTGGTGACCCACCCCCTTTTTGAGAAAACGTGTTAAGTGCAGGTGAGCTAAGGCAAGGATCACTAAGGGCGGAACGCTTTTAAGGTCGAGACGACACGGGACTCCATAAGTACAGACCAAGGCACGACACATCGTAATCCCTTCCTCCTAATACTAAACCCCCCCCCCTAATACAAAACACGGCAGGTAGTTTTTAGTATTAGGGGGGTATTTATTATTAGGGAACCAAATCGAAGTCATGTTAATTAATTAATTAAATTTCCTTATATAACGCAATTAAAATATTGCCAAAAATGGCAGTTCGAAGCTGAATACTAAAAACTATTTTTTCCGCCAAAAATGGCAGTTCGAAGTTCCGAAGCGCCCCAAAGTTAACCCTTAATACTTATTTTTTCCGATCTCAAAATCAATTAAATTTCCTTATATAACGCAATTAAAATATTGCCAAAAATGGCAGTTCGAAGCTTACCCCTAATACTAAATTAAAACCCTAATACTAATGCCTTAAGTTGCTAAAAACTATTTTTTCCGATCTCAAGATCAATTAAATTTCTTTATATAACGCAATTAAAATATTGCCAAAAATGGCAGTTCGAAGCTTACCCCTAATAATTACTAAATTAAAACCCTTAATACTAAAAACTATTTTTTCCGATCTCAAAATCAATTAAATTTCCTTATATAACGCAATTAAAATATTGCCAAAAATGGCAGTTCGAAGCTTACCCCTAATACTAAATTAAAACCCTTAATGCTAAAAACTATTTTTTCCGATCTCAAATCAATTAAATTTCTTATATAACGCAATTAAAATATTGCCAAAAATGGCAGTTCGAAGCTTACCCCTAATACTAAATTAAAACCCTTAATGCTAAAAACTAGCCCCCCTAATACTAAACACCCCGGGATGAATTAGTTTTTAGTATTAGGGGGGAGAACCCACAAATGGTAGGTTGATTTTTGAATTTTTTTTAAAGGGGATCAATTAAAAGTCAAATTGGCCAAACTGAAATTTTCGGAAATTGGAGATGGATGCCTGTTTTTAGTATTAGGGGGACGTTTAGTATTAGGAGGAAGGGATTATTTGTTTGGTTGGAGACACTTCGTAAAGGAATCCCCGAGTTGCTCGGCCGTGGGCGTTTGGACTAGGTCACAAAATTCCTTGCATGTTTCGGATAGGGAGGCTAGCGACAATTTAGGAGTACGAGCAAGATGCCTGAGCTTAATGCTGTATCCTTTACGAATCGCAGCTACAACTGCCGAGTTGTCTTCCCTTATTGTCGGACGAGGAATGCAACCTACTCCTAGCAACTTGGTCAGTAACATGGCGGCTGGGATGAGTTCTTCATGCAACCCTTCGGCTAATGAATTTAACTCAGCATCAGCGGTGGATCTAGCCACATGCTGTTGACGCCTAGCATGCCATGCTATGGGTACAAAGGTTTGGGGTCCACGGATGACCAAGTATAACCCTGATGTACTGCGTGCCGTCCATTGACATCCACCTAGATCGGCATCACAGAACAAATCAAGTGTTGACTGTTCGGGAGGATCATTGACAGAAAGATGCATGCATAAATCAACCGTACTGTTGAGATAGCACAACAAACGAAACAGCATCTTGTCCGAGTTTCGGCTCCAACAAGTCACTTGACCTGCTAAAACACAGACTGGATACGACAAATCTGGGCGACACAACCGGGTGAGCCACAGGATTTTCATGAGGATGCTGGATGCCTTGTCTGAGATCTCTCCTGTAGTCTGGTAATCACTGTCAATCAACGAACCTTCGGAAACAAATGGTGTGGTAACCGTTCGGAGTTTGGTGGATTTTCCAACAATACTGAGATACAAGTTGACTGCTTCGCGAGAATAGTCCCTCATATCAAGCACACATGACCCTGGAGAAAGATGATGAAACCGTCCAAGAAATTGGGATAACTCTTCTACATCATCAAGTTGAACTTCCTTCCTAAGGGCAGGCCAAAATTGGTCTTGTGCATGCTTCGGCCCACTGGCCAAAATGTCATCCACGTAAACCACAACAAGGAGTTTTGTTTCATGCGGGAAAAAGACGCTTGGATGTCCGTCCACAGCCTCAAACCCAAGAGACGTGACCAAGACCCTCCGCAAGTGCTTGTCCGAGTACGCAGATGCAAGGGGATGCCCGTAGAGAGCCCGTCGCAGACGAACGGTAGGCCGCCTGAACTTGCCCTTCCATGAGGGAAGCCATAACTCGTGAGGGAGTATGACATAGGTGTCCTCACTGGATTCGAGCAGGGCTTGCAAAAATGCCCTGGTAGCATCAGCTACCCTCAGCATACATCCTGGCAGAAGACCGTAGTACAAAGCTAAATGGACAGCCTGAATGTTTGTTGGTGTCGAATACATCTGTCCAAACTTTGCGGCAGAACCGTACTGATCCAAAATTCGATCACCTCTAAAACTATCCTAGCTTTGTGCTTACGTTTGTCAGGGATCTCCCAAAACTTGATGGAGCAGATACTCATCAATTCAGCAAGATGAATTGTATTGCCAGATTCCTTTGCCAGTTTCTCTCGCTCATATTTCTCCATCACGGTGGAATCATCCCATACTCCTATTTTTCTCATTGCAATCCCTTCTTCTCGAATGGCCTTCAATGCCTTTTCATCGTTCATCATTTCATTCCGAGATAGAAGCTTGTGAATTGCAGCAAAAATTGACTCATCAAGAACAGGGAATTGGACTTCCTTTTCTCTATGAGCATGTTGATTAAACGGAACTACTGGCAATGCAGGAATGTGGTCAAATGGCAAACCAGGAAACAGTGTAGCAATAATACAGGTAGCCATAGCAACATTGTAGTAACCAGACTTTGTGGTGAGTGAACCCTCCAAAGGATCATGGAAGCCTTTTGGATGACGACAAACTTTCCCTTGGAATTCATTAATCAAACGTTGTGAGTCAGTCATAATCTTCCATGGACGTTGGGGTCTCTTACCAGCAACCTGCAAGTTGAAAGCACAACCATCTACCCGCACTGACTTGAGGTCTAATGCATTCATGGTTTCAACCACTGTCGGATCCAACCATCCCTCTGAGTCGCGTGACCATTCAAAAGTGACCGTGCCACCCCTAGAAAGCTTCACAAGTTGTGCGGCATCATGAAACCGACGAACCATAGCTCTAGATTGATCACGACGCTGTTCCAGTTTATCACGATACGAGTCTCCATGCTTGGCAATCGCCATTCTCTGCCATGGACTCCAAGCTGTACGTGGAACACTAGCCCAGAGATGAACTGGACCCTCATTCTCTTGCACTTCAATCTGCAACCAAATGAGAAACTGTTGAAATGTTTCTTCATCTTCAACATTGAGGGATTCCTTTGTAACGCCAAGATATGCGATTTGCAAATGTTCAGCAACCCTTTTGAGAGCACTGTTCTCGGAGCTGCAAAACTCCACAAGGATACCATGTTTACGATTTGATTTGAACAAAACCGGTTTACCAACACCCCCCGGAACCAACTCTTCAATTTGACTGATATCATCATTGATAAAACCAGATTCTGCTGAAGAAGCTGCCGAAGTTGGTGTGTATGATGGTGATTCCGGCGGACATTCAGGAACCAAATCATCATTCATGCCATTTTGAACCGTATCGAACATGGTAGGAGGATTACGATGAACCTCTGGTGGGTCAGTCTCGTTCCCCCCCCCCGGCTTCCAATTGCGGCGCCAAAAGAGGCTCCGATGCATCCAGAAGAGCGTTGAAGCGTTCACGGCAGGCTTGGGTGTGTTGATAGGTCCCATTGATGCATCCATTACAGTGGTCAGTTGATCCAAAAATTGCAATTCTCCGTTTGGTAATGGATCTGTTTCGAACTGCAACGGAAGCATCATCATTAGCTTGAGAATCAGTAGACTCAATTGGAGCTGGTGATTGGAGGTCGGGTTTGGGCTGACACAACATGGGAACTTTAGTCAAAGGAAAATACCACAGACCAACCGGTGGGATGAAATCACGTGTGATAATTTCCCTCACCTTATTCTCGGAAGTCAACAAGTGCAAATCCAACAAGATATGAATGTCCTTGCAACGCATTCCAGGTAAAACCTCGGGTCCAACATACACAGCTGGCTTACCATTGGGAGCGAAGCTCTTGGGAGCTTGTGGATCTTTCGACTTGCCTAAGTACCAAACCATACACCCAAAGGGTAACATCCTAGGTTCAGGTTGATAGGTCAAAGCCATGTGC